ATTCCATTACCTACTAATGCTTTCCAACAGGGGGAGTGGGTGCTAAGGGAAGGTAAAAGCCTTCTGTGTGTTAATGTAATTTAAATAATCACATTTGACTAGTGGCTACTGTATTGGACAGTGTTTAAACTTCATCCTGTGGTTATGGGGGCCATTGAAGGTATTTGAACAGGAAGGAAGAAATGATTAGGTTTAAATTTAACAAATCCCATTAGTAACTGTGTATAGGGAGGAGAAATTAAAGCTATAAAGACCAGTAGAGACCTATCTAACAGTTCAAACGAAAGATTATTTTAAACAATGGCAGATGATTGAATGAATATTTGAGAGCAGAATCAGTAAAGTTGATTTTGTAGTTATTTCGTAAGTGCTTATTTTATTAACACTGAATCATGGCCAACTTGATAGCAGAGTCTGTATCTTAATAATGGTAACGGGCATGTTTTAAATAATCGCTAAATGACAGGCATTGTTGAATGCCTTACGTGTATTATCTTATTTAGTGCTCTCAACACCCTATGAGGTAGGAAATAATATTATAGATGAAGATCGGATTGCAGAAATCAAGTAACCTGGCCAAAGTCACGCAGATAATAAATGCAAAGAGATTTAAAAAGAAAATAATACAATTAAAATCATTTGGCAAGGGGGATCATTTATGTTTGTTGCATAGGGTATTCTGTTTTATGGGAGTTTCCTAATTTTGACATGTAGTAGGTTATAAAAATATTATTAATACTTAAGCATATACTCTGTGCAAGGAATTATTCTAAGTCCTTGACATGTATTAGGTTATTTAATTTTTATAGCAGCCCTGTAAGAAAGGTACTATAATTATATTCATTTTTATAGAGGAAAAAACTGATATACCAACATAGGATGACTTGTTCAAGAAAGTGGCCAGGCAGATATTAGAGTCCCTGTAATTTGGCCCCAGTGCTCCTGAGTACATAATACGTTTATGTGTTATGTTAATAGTGTACAAATGGTAAGATAGGTTGTACTATGGTGTTTCAGCATACCAAACTCTTAACCATGAAAGTGACTAAATTTGAGATTTAATTAATATGGTTTCTGGGTTTGTGGAGATCTTTCTTTTTATGGTTTTTGGCAGTAAAGTGTAGATTCTCTAAGAATTTTATCAGGCTGTGTAGAATGTGGCTGTTTTTTTTGTGTTAAATTTTTATGGCTTTGAGTTTGCTGACCCTGATAACTCTTTTCCTCTATTTGCTCACTAAAGCTGTGCTCGTATTTCAAAGATAGCATAGTGTAGTAGAAGGAGCACAGATGGATTCATGTATCTTGCATTTTAATCCCAGCACTATCAATTACTAACTGTGTGACTGGACAAGTTACATATTCTAGAACATCCCTTTTCTAACCTACAAAATGGGGAAATGAAACCTCTGGGGTAGGTGTAAGGAGTAAATGGAATGATATGTATTTGAAAATGCCTGTTGTAGTACTTAGCACATGGATATGCTCAAAAAACTACAACTGCTTTACTTTTTATTAAATGAAACATTTCCAGATTTAAGTATCTTTTCTTTCAGTATAGTTGTTCAACTTCCTAGGATAACCTTGTACCTGCCAACCATTTGGTAACCCTGACCTTTAGACTTTGAACCAGATACTGTAGAGTTCCTAAATAAACTATGAGGACAAATGCATTAATTCTTTATGGTGTTATGAGACTGTTTTGTGTCTAACTTTTACAGAGAGATAATCCTCTGCTTTATCAAAAGTGATAGGGAGAGCTCCAGCTATTTGTATTTCTGGATTCCATTTCTGAGTGGATAAATGAATAAATGAGGACTGTGCTAGTTGGAAATGAAAATAGCAAGTAATGGAACCCTTGAGAAAATTTCTCACATGAGAAATCTTTTTCCGAAATATTTCCATTTTATTTCTCAGTGATGATGTAGATAGTGGCAATTTACAATCTGATTTTGGAACAGTATATTAATAGAAAAAAGCAAATACACAAAAGGTCAGCAGTCTCTGTACATTCTGGGAACATTCTTTTAGCAATTCTGATTTGTAGTGTAATGCTTTTATTTTAGGAAATAAATTACTTGAGTTCCCTTTCCAAGTGCAATGCCTAACCAATAATATTTAATGACTAAGTAAAACTTCTGAGAATTGTTGAAATTGACTGCAGTAAAGAAGAGTTAAGGAGAGGAAGGAAAGAAATTTGAGCATCATTTTTAGTGATTTATATTTAAAAAGACATTTCTGAAGAAGCATTTTTTTTTTAAGATTTTTTTTTTTTAATTTATTTGACAGATCACAACTAGGCAGAGAGGCAGGCAGAGAGAGAGAGGAGGAGGAGGCAGGCTCCCTGCTGAGCAGAGAGCCCAATGCGGGACTCGATCCCAGGACCCTGAGATCACGACCTGAGCCGAAGGCAGAGGATTTAACCACTGAGCCACCCAGGCGCCCCCTGAGGAAGCATTTTATTTCAAATAAGCTTTGAGATATAACTTACAGTCTGTGAAATGCACACATTTTAAGTGTGAAATTGCATGTTTTGATACAGGCAAACATTGTGTAACTACTATATAAAAAAATAGAAAATTCCTATCACCTAGGAAAGTTTCTTTTCTTCCCTTTAGAGTCAGTCCTCTGAAAGAGAGCCAGTGATCTAATTTCATTTCTGTCACCATAGCCTGCTCTAGAACTTTGTATAAATGAAATCATACAGTGTATACACTTTAATGCCTGGCATTTCTTGCTGAGTCATGTTTTTAAAATTTCTGCTTGTCATTGTATCAACTTTTCATTTAGTATTATTCCTGAATAGTAATCCACTGTATGAATATACAATACTTTCTTTGTCAGTGAACAGGTTGATGGAATTTTGGGTTGTCTCTAGCATTTGCCTATTAAAAATAATTCTTCTATGAGCATTTTTGTACATTTTTGTAGTTCTGTGATTTTCCTTCTCTCATGGAAGGGCCAAGTGACATGTCTATGTTTAACGTTAAAAGAAACTGCCAAAGGGGCACTTGGGTCACTCAGTGGGTTAAGCCTCTGCCTTCGGGCTCAGGTCATGATCTCTGGGTCTTGGGATTGAGCCTTGCATTGGGCTCTCTGCTCAGCAGGGAGTCTGCTTCGCCCTCTCTCTCTGCCTTCTCTACCTACTTATGATCTCTCTCTGTCAAATAAATAAAATCTTAAAAAAAAAAAAAAAGAAACTGCTAAACTATTTTCTAAATGATTATACCATTTTATAGTCCCACCAGAAGTGTGAGTTCTAGTTGTTCCACATCTTCTCCAATACTTGGAATTACCAGGGTTTTTAGTTTTGGCCATTCTAGTGAGTGTGCAGTGGGTATTCCATTAGATTTTTATTTGCTTTTCTCTGGAGAGCTAATGATTTTGAGCATGCTTTCATATCCTCGTCATTCCTGTATCCCCTTTTGTGAGGTGTCTGCCCTTTGTCCATCTTTAAATTGAGTGGTTGTCCTTTTGGTATTGATTTTTAGGAGTTCTTTATGTATTCTTGGTGTAAGTTCTTTGTCAGATATATGTATTAAGAATATTTTCAACTGGTATATGGCATGCCTTTTCATTTCCTTAATGGTGTCTTTTGGTGGATAGATGCTTTTTAATTTTGATTAAAACTTATTATTATTTTTTTGGTTTGTGATTTTTTTGTGTGCTCCCCAAGAAATCTTCGTCTACCCCAAGGTTGCAAAGGTGTATCTCATAAAAGGTATATTATATCTCCTATATTTTCTTTTAGAAGAGTTTTAATTTTTATGTTTAGGTTAATGATCTATATCTGATTTTTATTCATGTATCTTGTATTTCTCACTAATTCATTAATCACATATGTATTGAGCACGTGCTTAGTGCCAGGCACTGTTTAGGCACTTGGTATCCATCAGTTAACGAAAAGAAGTCACTTGTGGGGGCGCCTGGGTGGCTCAGTGGGTTAAAGCCTCTGCCTTCGGTTCAGGTCATGTCCCAGGGTCCTGGGATTGAGTCCCGCATCAGGCTCTCTGCTCAGCAGGGAGCCTGCTTCCTCCTCTCTCTGCCTGCCTCTCTGCCTACTTGTGATCTCTCTCTGTCAAATAAATAAATAAAATCTTTACCCAAAAAAAAAAAAAAAAAAAAAAAAGAAGTCACTTGTGATAAGCCCTTAGAAAGGCCTTACACTTGTGAAGCCTATATTCTAGGGGTAATGACAGACAATAAATTAATAACTAAGTAAATGACATGGTATGATAGATGGTGAGAAAGCATTGTGCAGTGGGGAAAAGAATAGGACCAGGTAAAGGTTAGTAAGAAGATTTGCAGTTTTAAGAAAGGGTGGTAAATAGGCTTTTCCAAGAATGTTGTTTAAGGAATGACTTGAAGAAGGTGAGAGAGTTAGCCATTCATCTATCTGGGGGAAGAGTCTTCTGGGTAGAGAAAGCAGCTACTGAAAGGAGTTAAGGTGGAAGTATGTCTGGCTTGTCTCAGTAACAGCCAGGAAGCCAGAGTAGTAGAGGCTAATAGTGGATAAGGTCAGAGAGATAGGGGAGGGCAAATTGTTTAGAATCTTGTAGGACATTGTTAAGACTGTAGCTCTTTGTGTGAGTGACATGGGAAGCCATTTGAGGGTTCCCTGTACTTAATAGACATTTTATTATTTTATTAGACATTTTATTATTTTTTTTAAAGATTTTATTTATTTATTTGAGAGCGAGAGAGAGAACATGAGTGGCAGGGAGGGACTCAGGAAGAGGTAGAAGCAAACTCCCCACTGGGCAGGGAACCTGATGTGGGCCTCCATCCCAGGATCCTGAGACCATGACCTGAGCTGAACGCAGACGCTTAACCTGACAGCCACACCAGGCGCGCATATAATTAATAGACGTTTTAAAATAGCACATACATTTTCATGAATATAACTTAAGAGATTTCATATTATTGCTTCATATCTGCTTATAGGAATGAAAGCATTTTTTTTTTTCTGATAGATGTACTTAATCTTGGTTTTCTTATTTCAGAAAGATCCAGATTACCTGAAGCTCTGGTTGGACAATTTTGTTTCTAGCTATGAACAGTTCTTAGATGTTGACTTTGAAAAGCTGCCTACCAGGTTTGTAGAAACAATTTCTTAACCTTAGATGAGTTTGTTAATTTGAGGCACAAAGACTTCATTGAAGACCTGTTAGAAATATGGCGATTATGTGACATGCAAAGTATTCCTGCATAACCCTGCTCTCATGGCAGACTTTATTAATTGATTATAACAGGCTTTCCTGCTAATATGAAATTTGGCTCCGAGGAGTAGAGAGAACTAACTACTAGCAACTGGGTGTCCTGCAGTTCACTTCATTTCTAACACTACCTGGAGTTAGTGGCAGATCCCACAGATTAAGAGCAAAGTCCTCAACGAGACTGCCCTCGCTTCAGACACCAGTTGCACGTCTTGGAAGCCACCCATATCTCTGACCAACTGGATACAAATTTGAAAGCTTTCATGACTCAGTAATTAGTTCAGTAATTAGACCCACAGAATTCACTGAAAACACTATACTTAAAATTATGGTTTCATTATAGAGTAAGGTCTTAGAAAACATCTTGGAGGAGGTGAAGTATTCCGATTTTTCAAAGCTAGATTTAAAAATCATAAAATGGGGGGGAATTCAAATTTTGTGGAAAAGTGCAAGTGAAAGTATAAATCTTAGCTCCCATGGCTCTGCCTACTACCATCCTACATTACAGTTCCTAGGCCCACTTCCCAGAAAAAGTTTTTTCTTTTTTCTCAAACCATCTTGAAGACGTCATACTTGTTACTCAGGTAAGAGAGGTTAGGTTGGCTGGGGTAAAAAGCTGGAGAAAAAAAGGAGACACTAGACACTTTCAGCCACAAAAGGAATCCATTTATAGAGATATACTGAGATGGAAGGGGAGAAATGGGTGGTGGTCGATGACGGGAAAGAGTATTTAGAGAATTATAAATCTTCAAGGAAGAAAGTGTTTGCAGTTTGGGGATAGAGGTAGGCAGTAAGAGGGTGGGCCTGTGTGAACTGAGCCTAGAGAATCAGAAGCCAGATCATAAAATGCCATGCATGCATTGCTAATGGACTTATATTTTTTGTAACAGAAGATGCGAGGCTCTACTAAAGAATTTTCTGCATGGGAATGCCATGATGAATTTTGTTTTTTAAAAGTCCTTATGGTAGCATTAGGATGTTGAACTGGAAATGTTTGAGACTGAAGATAAGCACAGTTAAGAGGCAATTTTAATAATTCAGAGAAGATATCATTAGAGCTTTGGACCAAGGCATTGAACTTAAGATGTGCTTTAATGCTCAGAAAGCACTAGTGCTTCATTATTTATAAATACAGTTTCAGAATTCTTCATTAGATGACTTGTAGTAGGTTTATAAAAGTTGAAAACTATTAAATCTTGAACTCAAAACAAGATTACATATTATTGGTTTCTACTCATAGAAGTATTCTTGTGGTTTGTGCTTAGAAGTGCTTTTATTTTAATAATTTGCAGCTCATTTAAAATCATGAGCCTAAGGATTTTATGAGGTCAGGATTTGGGCCTTTGAATACTTCGAATATTGAAATGAGGTCTTCTAAAGTTTGGAAGATGTACTTATTATACATATCTCCTTTCTTGGGAGGTCATATCTAAAAACATTATGTAGACTTACATTGCTACTATATTTAAAATAAGATGAAGAATGCCAGAACATTGCCTTTTTCATGATTTAGCTGGTTTATTTAAAATTTTATTTCATACCTGAGAGTAAACCATGAATTTAGATTTTACTAATAGAAAACTTTTAGTTTTTCAAGTGAATATGATGTACAAGATGTGTAAAACTAGTCTGTTCACCTTAAAGATAAGAAACTCACAGATAATCCTCATTTAAATTAAACTGACTTGGTAGAACTTCCAAGTTAGAGAATTCAAAATGCAAGGCAAGGAATGCTTTTCCCAGAATTTAAAGCCTTGGAATTTAAGCTGGACTTTTTCCTGTGTTAGATGGAGACAATAATGAGCAGCTGTTTAATATAGACATTTAGTAGCCAAACAGAGGAGTGAAACAGATTTCTGGGGATTGGGAAATTGCAGCAAAAGATGCTTAGAATTTGGGGGCAGTAAAGTCCTAATCATGGGAAAATGCTTCCAAATTCTTTTTTTTTTTTTTTAAAGATTTTATTTATTTTTTTGACAGAGAGAGATCACAAGTAGACGGAGAGGCAGGCAGAGAGAGAGAGAGAGAGAGGGAAGCAGGCTCCCTCCTGAGCAGAGAGCCTGATGTGGGACTCGATCCCAGGACCCTGAGATCATGACCTGAGCCAAAGGCAGTGGCTTAACCCACTGAGCCACCCAGGCGCCCCATGCTTCCAAATTCTTAAATCCTCATCACATTAGGAATATGGCCAAAACTTTCTGAGTCATGTTCTAATCAAAGCTTGCCAATTTTATAATGAGTATAAGTACAACAATAGATTTTTCTTTTAGGAGCTAATTTTTTTCTGTCTAGTAAAAAAATTTTTTAAAGATGTTATTTATTTACTTGACAGAGAGAGAGATCACAAGTAGGCAGAGAGGCAGGTAGAGAGAGGGGGAAGCAGGCTTCCCGCTGAGCAGAGAGCCCAATGCTGGGCTCAGTCCTAAGACCCTGAGATCAGGACCTGAGCTGAAGGAAGAGGCTTAATCCACTGAGTCACCCAGTTGCCCTTGTCTAGTAAAATTTTTTTTAATGCAACAAAGAATGGGACAATGAAGGAAAAAGGGAAGAAATCCTTTAAGTAACTAGGATTGAATATTGGGAAATCTAATGTTTCTTTCTTGTTGACTTATGATTTTGGAAAAGTGAGTAGGAATAGTTTAGCTTAGTCTTAAAATCAGTTATATTTAAATTTAAATATTATTTAGAAGTTACTGTGGTTTTTCTCATCACCTCTTTTTAGCTCTTTAGCACGGAAAAATGTATGTATAAAAATGAGAGTTTTTCTTACACCACTTATAAAAGAGAATGAAGGAATCCAAGTTATAAGTGAAGTGATTCCCAGACTAAAATGAAACATGTATTTTTGTGACATGGTTATAGAATTCTGCAGCCTTGGTAATGTGCTTTATGATTTCTGTGTAATTGAAGTCATGTGTTTATTTTATAAAGCACTTTATGTTGTGGGATGATTCTGGAAGAGGCTAAAAACATTTGTCATATATAATTATATGACTACTGGTAAGGTGCTTCAAATTTTTCTGTCTACAGTGAATGAAGCTTTAAACTCAGGGTAAAAATAATAGTAAATCTTCATCTTAAGTGTTACCTGAAGAAGATACTGTTTATAAAGTAGGATTGTCATTTAATCATAGGAGCTCTTCATGATGCTCCTTTGCAATTAGGTATTTTTCTTAATAGAGATAGGAAAATTAGTATTCAGTGATTTTATGAAAAGATATGTAGGCTTTGGTGATAGTATACTTAAAATATATTACATTTTTATAGTTCTTTACATATTTCATTGTTAAAAATGGACATTGACCTTTTGGCTTCAGAACCCTGTGAAATAGGGCAGATGATATTACAATTTTATAGATTAGGGCACTTCAGAGATTAAGTACCATACTTTATGGTACAGAGGTAGAACTTGGTACAAAGGTCTTCTCACGTAGATTCTAGGGGAATCTCTCTAAGACAGAGTAGCCAGTCACATCTGGTCTTGGCTTTGTCCTTAAAGAACCAGATGGTTTTCTACTTCTTTTTTTTTTTTTTTTTAAAGATTTTATTTATATTTATTTGACAGACAGCGAGAGGGGAAACACAAGCAGGGGGAGTGGGAGAGGGGGAGAAGCAGGCTTCTTGCAAAGTAGGTAGCCCGACATGGGTCTCAATCCCAGGACGCTGGGATCATGACCTGAGCGGAAGGCAGACGCTTAACAACTGAGCCCCCGCAGGCACCCCCCAGATGGACTTCTTACCCAGAAACCAGTTGTCATAAAATATTTATGTATTACTTTAAAAAAATTTATTAATGTTCATGCTTAGGGTTCTCCATTCACCTTTCTCCTTTCCTTTTGCTGGTTAATTTCTCTCCCTCTTCTGACCACATGGCTTGGGAAGCCTATAGGTAGGTGAATATTGTTTATTTAGTAAAGTAGGTGACAGATATTAAACTAGTTATAGGTACTCCATTTTTATTTGCTAGTTATTGTTCCTTTTAGAAATGGTATACACGTATATATACACACACGTTTTATTTCTAAGTAGAAAGTGAATTAATTCTTAATATTTTCTTTGAAAATAGCACAATTGAAGATATTGAATAGATTCGCTCTCTAACTCTCCCTCTTTTCAGTAAGCCTCTTCTGAAATGAGACTAACCACTGTGCTCTACTAACCTTCTAAGGGATCACAGAGATCATCTGGTGGTGACTTGTGGAGAAGGCATAGAGCATATGGAATAAAAGAGTTTTCTTTAGGGTTTGAGGTGAAAATGCTATTCCTTTAGCGTGTCAAAGATTTTAGTCCTGCACTTAATCACCCTTCTTATTTTTCCCCCTTATAGGGTAGATGATGTGCCTCCAGGAATATCTCTCCTTCCTGATAATATTCTGCAGGTTTTAAGGATCCAGCTACTACAGTGTGTTCAGAAAATGGCAGATGGGTTAGAGGAACAACAACAAGCTTTGTCAGTTTTGCTTGTCAAGTTCTTCATTATTCTTTGCAGGTATCTGGTACAAACAAACTAGTTATATGTTTTTAAAAATTACCAAAATAACAATGCATTTGTTGATTATTAATGTTTGTTGTTCATATGGAGCTTTAAAGATGAGTGCGCCATTTTTTTTAAAGAGTTTATTCTTTTTATTTGAGAGAGAGGGAGAGAAAGAGAGAGGGAGCACAAGCAGGGGAAGAGCAGAGGGAGCAGGTGAAGCAGGCTCCCTGCTGATGGCAGAGCCCGACTCAGAACTCCATCCCAGGACCCTGAGATTGGGACCTGAGCCAAAGGCAGACGTTTAACCAACGGAGCCACCCAGGCACCCCTTGAGTGCAGCCTTTATGAACGGCTTATAATTTGTTATAATACTGGAAAGCTTTTTATTTGTTTGTTTATTTAATGTTTTACTTCTTTATTTGAAGTACACTCTGTGCTCAATTTTGGCCTCGAATTCAGGACCCTGAGATCAAGAGTCTCATGCTCCACCGACTGAGCCAACCAGGCGCCCTACTAGAAAGCCTTTTAGGTACCATACTTAGTTATAGAGAGACTCAGCCAAAATTAAAAAAAAAAAAACAACTTATTCTAAAGACAGTGACTGAAGTTTTTACCTAACCAAGATTTGTTGCACGAGTACTGTGTATTATCATTTGTGAAATGTATTTTTCTAATCTTTCATTTTATAATTTCACCAAAAAAAAAATAGAATTATTCTACAGCTTATATTTCCAGGTTTATAGATGATTAGGTCTGTGGCACTTAAATTTTGATGTGCATAAGTATCAACTGGGAAGCTTAATAGGACTACAGAGCTTGAGCCTTATGGAAATTCTGACTCCAAAGAGCTCAGGCATTCTGGTTTTTCATGAATTCCCTATTAACCTGCATATGCAAATTTAAGAACTGTTGGGTTAGGGGCATTTTATTCCTCTTTAAAGTCTATCTTCTTTTTGGAAACCATTTCCTATAATATATGCTATTTGATTTGTAAGTATTTTAGAATTAGTAGACAAACAGGGACTTAAATTACTGTGCATTTATTTACCTTTCACATAATTGCTCATTGTATTTGATTACAGGAATCATGGAAAGATTGAGCAATAATTGCTAAAATGTTTTCCCTGTAATTTAGGCTCTCCCAGAATTGTAGACATTTTTTTGATTTTGTGCTCTTTATTATCCTTAAAATTCAGAAAAATAATATAAGAATTAAAGGGGTGAGGGAAAGAGGGTTTATTTAGGCAATAAAACATGAGTTGGTCTGTTGATCTATTTTATCCTGTTAACTACTTAGTACAGTTTTACAGAAATCAGAAATCTATAGATAAATAACTGTCTTAAATCCAGTATGTTTAGGGGCTCCTGGGTGGCTCCATTGGTTCCAAGTGTCTGCTTTCGGCTCAGGTCATGATCCCAGGGTCCTGGGATCGAGCGCTGCATCGGGCTCCCTCTCCAGCAGGGAGTCTGCTTCTCCTCCTCCCTCTGCTTCTCCCACCGCTCATGCTCTTGCTCTCTCTCTCACTCAGATAAGTAGATGAAATCTTAAAAAAAATAAATCCACTGTGTTCAGCTCTTTTTAAAAAATTATTTATTTATTTATCTTAGAAACAGGAAAAGAGAGAGCATAGGTGTGTGCATGCAACTTGGGGGAGGGATGGAGGGGGAGAGAGAGAGAATCCCAAGCAGACTCCACTCAGCACAGAGCCTGATACAGGGCTTGATCTCATGACCTCGAGATCATGACCTGAGCTGAAATCAAGAGTTGGAAGCCCAACTAAATGAGCCACCCAGGCTCCCATAGCTCTTGATCATTATAGGCAAACACTGGAATATTCCAACACTCTTTTGGTTGAATTTTTTTTATTAAGAGATAATTTCTGATGATAAGTGTAATGTTTATTTTATTTCAAATTTAATGTCTAATAGCTATCAATCACAGAATGTGTTTCTATTTTCAGAGACCTCATTTAAAAAAATTCTTTTAAAAAATTTTAGTAAGTTTTATGTTGTATAGCAGTTTAGTTTTATATAAAAATTTGGAAAAAGTATAGAGTTTCTGTATGCTCTTTCTCCTTCCTCCATAGTTCCCCTATTATTAAGATCTTACATTAGGTTGATACCTTTGTTACAATGATGAAAAGGTATTGATATATCATTAAAGTCTGTAGAGTACATTAGAGTTTACTGTGTTGTACAGTTCTTTGAGTTTTGACAAATGCGTACTGTCATGTATCCACCATTATAGTATCTTACAGAATAATTTCATCACCCTAAAAATGCCCCATGCTCCATCTATTCATTTCTCTCTGGTCATGCCCAACATTTGACAACCGCTGATTTTTTTTTTTTTTTTTTTCCTTTTTTTTTGCTTTTCCCTAATTTTTTTTTTTTTTTTTTTAATTAACATATAATGTATTATTAGCCCCAGGGGTACAGGTCTTTAAATCATCAGGCTTACACACTTCACGGCACTTGCCATAGCACATACCCTCCCCAATGTCCATAACCCAACCACCCTCTCCATACTCCCCTACCCCCAGCAACCCTCAGTTTGTTTTGTGAGATCAAGAGTCTCTTATGGTTTGTCTCCCTCCCGATCCCAGCTTGTTTCATTTTTTCCTTCCCTATCCCCCAAGCCCCCCATGTTGCCTCTCAAATTCCTCATATCAGAGAGATCATATGATAATTGTCTTTCTCTGATTGACTTATTTTGCTCAGCCTAATACCCTCTAGTTCCATCCATGTCGTTGCAAGTGGCAAGATGTCATTTCTTTTGATGGCTGCATAGTATTCCATTGTGTATATATACCACATCTTCTTTATCCATTCATCTGTTGATGGACATCTAGGTTCTTTCTATACTTTGGCTATTGTGGACATTGCTGCTATAAACATTCGGGTACACGTGCCCCTTCGGATCTCTACATTTGTATCTTTAGGGTAAATACCCAGTAGTGCGATTGCTGGGTCATGGGGTAGCTCTATTTTCAACTTTTTGAGGAACCTCCATGCTCTTTTCCAGAGTGGCTGCACCAGCTTGCATTCCCACCAAGAGTGTAGGAGGGTTCCCCTTTCTCCGCATCCTCGCCAGCATCTGTCATTCCCTGACTTATTTTTAGCCATTCTGACTGGTGTGAGGTGGTATCTCATTGTGGTTTTGATTTGTATTTCCCTGATGCCAAGTGATGTGGAGCACTTTTTCATGTGTCTGTTGGCCATCTGGATGTTTTCTTTGCAGAAATGTCTGTTCATGTCCTCTGCCCATTTCTTGATTGGATTATTTGTTCTTTGGGTGTTGAGTTTGATAAATTCTTTATAGATTTTGGATACTAGCCCTTTATCTGATATGTCATTCCTGTATATCTTCTCCCATTCTGTCAGTTGTCTTTTGGTTTTGTTGACTGTTTCCTTTGCTGTGCAAAAGCTTTTGATCTTGATAAAGTCCTAAGAGTTCATTTTTGCCCTTGCTTCCCTTGCTTCCCTTTGGCGATGTTTCTAGGAAGAAGTTGTTATGGCTGAGGTTGAAGAGGTTGTTGCCTCTGTTCTCCTCAAGGATTTTGATGGATTCCTTTCTCACATTGAGGTCCTTCATCCATTTTGAGTCTTATTTTCGTGTGTGGTGTAAGCAAATGGTCCAGTTTCATTTTTCTGCATGTGGCTGTCCAATTTTCCCAACACCATTTGTTGAAGAGACTGTCTTTTTTCCATTGGGCGTTTTTACCTGCTTTGTCGAAGATTAGTTGACCATAGAGTTGAGGGTCCATTTGTGGGTTCTCTGTTCTGTTCTATTGATCTATGTCTGTTTTTGTGCCAGTACCAGACTGTCTTGATGATGACAGCTTTGTAATAGAGCTTGAAGTCTGGAATTCTGATGCCACCAACTTTGGCTTTCTTTTTTAACATTGTTATGGCTATTTGGGGTCTTTTCTGGTTCCATACAAATTTTAGGCTTATTTGTTCCATTTCTTTGAAGAAAGTTCCTGGTATTTTGATAGAGATTGCATTAAATGTGTAGATTGCTCTAGGCAGCATAGACATTTTCACAGTATTTGTTCTTCCAATCCATGAGCATGGAACATTTTTCCATTTCTTTATGTCTTCCTCAATTTCTTTCATGCGTATTTTATAGTTTTCTGAGTACAGATTCTCTGCCTCTTTGGTTAGGTTTATTCCTAAATATCTTATGGGTTTGGGTGCAGTTGTAAATGGGATTGATTCCTTAATTTCTCTTTCTTCTGTCTTGTTGGTGTATAGAAATGCAACTGATTTCTGCGCATTGATTTTATATCCTGATACTTTACTGAATTCCTGTATAAGTTCTAGCAGATTTGGAGTGGAGTCTTGGCTTTTCCACATAAAGTATCATATCATCTGCCAAAAGTGATAGTTTGACTTCTACTTTGCTGATTTGGATGCCTTTAATTGCTTTTGGTTGTCTGATTGCTGAGGCTAGGACTTCTAGTACTATGTTGAATAGCAGCGGAGGAAAAGCTTTCAGTCTTTCACCGTAGAGTATGATGTCTGCTGTAGAATTTTTATGTATGGCTTTTTATTATGTTGAGGTATTTCATCCACGACTCTTTAAGTTCCCTTAAAGTTACTTCATCCAGAGAGCAAGGGGCTCCCAACAGTGGGACAAGGTGCACTAACAGTGGCTGCCCATCTCTTTGTCTACATTTCTGTGATCAGCAGCAGCAGTCAGTGATCAGAGCACAAATCCCTGATATTTGAAGGACAAGGTCCTTTTGCCCACCCTGGTTCCTTTCACTTGTTAGCAGGAGGTTCTGGAAAGATGTGCAGAGCTGCCTACCACATGAATGGTTGTTACGGTGCTAATAATAGCTGAAATTTACCAAAATTAATGAACATTAACTGCAGTTTACTGTCCCATATCTTCCCCTGGAAGTTTCCAGCATTCAGCAGACTTCAGAGTTCCAGAATAAGTTTTATCCAGCACAGTTGTTTTCTAGGTATGGAGACAGATTCCTGGTGCTTCCTTTTCTGCCATCTTCCTAGACTTCTCCATAGGGTCTTTGAATTTTACCTGTCCTGTACTTTTTCTTTTCCCAAAGAAGTCATGCCAGTCTGACTTTTTATATTAAAAACTGTTAATCCTTTTTTTGTTAAATCAGCTATCCAGAGCCACTTGTGTTTTCATAGAGGCTACTTGTTCATTAATAGTAAGGCTACCACATTTCCAACTGACAGATCAGAATTCCAAGGACATCACTGCTCCATATTCAGTAAACATCTGTTTTGATGGACTATCTTTCTGAGCAGAATTTCCATTTGAATATCCATTTCATGCTTTGAATTATCAGACAAGCTTTACGTCCAACCTATGGTGTTCAGAATTGAGGCTAACATTTGAAATATCAAAGCATTAAAAACATAAACAAAAAGGCACAAACAACTTTAAATTAACTTAGATAACTGTACAAATATATATATATATATATATACACACATTATTTACAGTATCAATTAAAAAAAAAATTCTGGCTTGTTACAGACAAATTCGCTGCCACAAGCTGTCCAGTCTAATAGACAGGATTCTGATTCCTGAACAGTATCATTCAAATCAGAATGTCAGAGCTGAATCTGTGTTCTGACTTAAAGAACTTGACCCAGCCTCATGAAGGCTAGAGAACGCACATCCTAGCTGTCGCTGGAGGTCAGTGAGCTTGCTAAAATTTCCCTTCTCAATTACACTCTACAAAGAGCAGTCACCTACTACTTGAAGATGATAATAGTTTCTACAGGTGCCCTCCCACTGTTCACAATTCATTTACTTTTTATATATATTTTTAAAATTTTTAAATTAACATATAGGGGCGCCTGGGTGGCTCATTCGGTTAAGCGGCTGCCTTCAGCTCGGGTCATGATCCCAGAATCCTGGGATCAAGCCCCACATCGGGCTCCCTGCTCAGCAGGGAGCCTGCTTCTCCCTCTTCCTCTGCTGGTGGCTCTGCCTTCTTGCGGTCTCTTTCTATTTCTCTGTCAAATAAATAAATAGAATCTTAAAAAAATAATTAACATATATTATTTGTTTCAGGGGTACAGGTCTGTTATTTCTGTTGTTTTTTGGGTTCTTTTAACATCTTTTGTATTTTATTTTGTTTTTTAATTTAAATTCAGTTAATACATAGTGTATTATTAGTTTCAGAGGTAGAGTTCAGTGATTCATCAGTCTTACATAACACCCAGTGCTCTTTACATCACGTACCCTCCTTTAATGACCATCACCCAGTTACCCCATCCCCCACGCTTCCCCTCCATCAACCTCAGTTTGTTTCTTCTGATTAAGAGTCTCTTAAGGGGGGACGCCTGGGGGCTCAGTGGCTCAGTGGGTTAAAGCCTCTGCCTTCGGCTCGGGTCATGATCCCGGGGTCCTGGGATCGAGCCCCACATCGGGGTCTCTACTCGGCAGGGAGCCTGCTTTCCCCCCCTCTCTCTGTCTGCCTCTCTGCCTACTTGTGATCTCTGTCAAATAGATAAATAAAATCTTAAAAAAAAAAAAAAGAGTCTCTTAAGGTTTGTCTCTCTCACTGATTTCATCTTGTTTTTCCCCTCCCTTCCCCTATGATCCTCTGTTTTGTTTCTTAAATTACACATATGAGTGAGATCATATGTTAATTGTCTTTCTCTGATTGACTTATTTTGCTTAGCATAACACCCTCTAGTTCCATCCATGTCATCCTAAATGGACTTCTGCGGTATTTTAGATAAATAGTTTTTTTCAGTGTCACAGTGTCTCAGAAGTGAAAATTAATAGACTGTTTTATTATGCTAAGAAAAAGATTGGTGATGTTAGATGCACGAAATGCTAGCATTATGTGTCCTATCTTGTCTTGTAAAAATGAGGTAAAAATGAGGACCACAACCACATTGTAATTAAACATCACTTATTGAGCCACTCACTGCTTTAAACAAGATATATACTACGCTCGCATGGCGAATGTATGTACAGATGCTGGCTTTTCTATCAAGGCCTTTCAGTATAGTTGAGAAATATGTCTAGATAAGGGAACTGTAATTTCAAAGAGCAAAATGAAAATTCTGAAACTATACATATGCTATAATGGCAATAATATGTACAAAACCGAACTAAGAATCTGCATACAAAAATAAAACAAACCTGAAAAGAAATAATCCAGAATGTAAATAGTTGTGAATATTGGGGTTGAGAGAATATTTCTGATTTTTGTTTCTCTTTTGTTTCTACTTTGTGATATTTTTTACTTTTTCTATAATAAATAATTGCTAATCAGCATGTACTTCTTAAGCATTCTGTTTAGAGTAGCTAAATGGTGCTTGAGGTGTGTTTCACATTCTTAGTGGAAAAACAGTTATGTAATATATTGATTTTAAGTTTTAATAAATGTCATTTATATTTCCTTTACCAGCATGTATTTTCAAAATTCATCCTGAATAGATGAACATACATTTTTGGCATTATTCATATAATAAATATTCCTTTTTTCCTCACAGAAATTTGTCTAATGTGGAAGAAATTGGGACTTGCTCATATATTAATCATGTCATTACTATGACAACACTCTATATTCAGCAGGTAGGTGACTTAATATATTCCTTTTGTTGCTTTACTGAGAGTAACTAGGTTTTACTTTTTAAAATATTATCGTAAAATATTATCGTAAAGTTAAAAGTTTTTAGAGGAGGTAATCAAGAAATGAATTAAAATTTCCATTAGGGGTGCACCTGGGTGGCTCAGTGGGTTAAGCTGCTGCCTTCGGCTCAGGTCATGATCTCAGGATCCTGGGATCGAGTCCCGCATCGGGCTCTCTGCTCAGCAGGGAGCCTGCTTCCCTCTCTCTCTCTCTGCTTGCCTCTGTGTACTGTGATCTCTCTCTGTCAAATAAATAAATAAAATCTTTAAAAAAAAAAAATTTCCATTAGGTACTATATATTTCAGAAATCTTAAACATATTATCTAAGAAAAGTAATTATTAATTTATTTTAATTAAAAATGAAAGTGTTTTATAAATGGCTTTTTACAATGACATAATTTGTCAATTTATGTATATTATGTATATGTTATTTATCATCAAATATCCCTCTTATTGAAAACATATTCTGTTTTGCTACCCATTCAAAACTCTTCCTAGGCCATATTTAAAATTTGAAGGATTATGTCCAGTCCAGTCCATATGATTAACTGGCGCTTTAAACTCCATTGGAACTTAGGTTTATTTGAATAAAAATGATTTATTAGATAATTAATAAAACATGTTGTCTTTAAATGATGTAGGTATGTTATGCAGTTTAATATTTCTAACTATAATTTTTTTTTTAACTTTACTCCCAGTTAAAAAGCAAAAAAAAAGAGAAGGAATTGGCAGATCAGACATCTATTGAAGAATTTGTAATCCATGCATTGGCATTTTGTGAGAGTTTATACGATCCATATCGGAATTGGAGGCATAGAATTTCAGGGTATGTCTTATAAATCATAATGTTCACTTAAAACCTGAATGTGGGGACCCCTGGGTGGTTCAGTGGGTTAGGCCTCTGCCTTCAGCTCAGGTCATGATCTCAGGGTCCTGGGATCGTGCCCCACATCGGGCTCTCTGCTCAGCGGGGAGCCTGCTTCCTCCCCCCACCCCTGCCTGCCTCTCTGCCTACTTGTGATCTGTCAAAATAAATAAACTCTTAAAAAAAAAAAAACCTGAATGTCATAAATATATGTAATTCTTCAATGCAGGTCTTATTCTCTGTGAAAGAAGTATGCAAGGTGTGTATAAGACCCCTATCTTTATCTCTGAGATATAGAACCATGTTAGAAGTAATGAAATTTCCTGTAAACTCTTGTTTTGGAATTCTAATAATCTAATAGGAAAATTTCAAAGCACAGTAACATCAAGTAGAGTGTACATATTTTTCAAGGAAAGTTCTCTTTTTTTTAAGCTCATTTCATGGGATGAAAATGATTTTAACAGTATTTTGTCTCTTAATTGTGGAGCTTGTGTCCACTAGGGTCTGGTCAGGAAAACGGAAATCATACCAGTTATTTTATAAGATATAATAGAAGGAAATTGTTAAATAGGTATTAGAGGACTCAAAAAGCAAGTAGGGATACTGATGTAATACAGAGATAGTGACTTCAGGAAGCAGATACTTCCCTGGGGGTATGCGACAAAAGGAAGAAACTGGAGTTATCTGAAACTATAAGTTTGAGGAAGAGCTCCTACAGTTGGGTCTCAGCCCTCTGTTGAAAGAGCATTGCTTAGCTGTGCAGGTATCACTGAGCAGCCGTGAGTAGGCTGGTGCTGGAATTACCAAAAATAACCTGAAGACAAAGAACCAGCTGTGAATGCTACAGTTAAGAACTGTTGGCTGATAAGAAAATAAGGATTAAGAAATCAGTTTCTTTTTCACCCTTAGCCTTCCATTCTCTGTTTAGTATGCACTGTTGGTGAATCCAACAGTGGAGTACCTGGAAAAAGAGAAGTATAGTTTGCAGAGTGCTTGTCACAGCATCACAAAGCAGATAGAATATAGGATGATGGGTTTGCAGCTTAGTGACAGTAGTATAAATAACAGTTCAGGGCTTACAGAGAAGAGTTTTGAACTCATAACTTTATTACCAGTGGACACAGAATAGGAAGAGTTGTATCATTAACTACAGTCAGGCTTCTTTTTTAGGTCTCCCAAATCTGCTATGTTTTCAATCTCAATATTTTTTGAGATTGAAAAATCTTTTTTTCAATTTTTCCATTTTCATTTTTAATTTAATCAACCTACTTATACCAATGCACTTTCTGCAACTTGCCGCTACTAAAATGTTTCGTCTTTATAGGCTTATTAGGGTCTTATACCCTCACTTTGAGTTGCCACCATTAGATAATGGTGAAGAATTGATTAACTGAGAGAACATTTATGTAGACTATATGGTGGTACTTTGTTCTGTGTGGTAATATTTTATTGAAATAACACATCCTATAGTTAAAGTAAGAAATAAAAAGTAGATATAATAGGAACAAGTACTCTAGTTATTAAATATAACAATCCTATCTACTTATTTTTACATGGTCTTTCCTATATATGTTGAAAGAAGTTGTCTTTATTAGGTTTCATCATAGAAACAGAACCAGTAGGGGGGGTGTGCGTGTGCTTGGGTGTGTGCGTGTGCTTGTGTGCGCACGCGTGCATGTACACGCACAAAATGAGTTTTATTATAAGCAGTTGCTTCATGTGATTTTAGAGGCAGACAAGTCCAAATCTGCAATGTGGGCTCTCAGGCTTATGACCCAGGAAAGCCAAAGTACAGTTACAGTCTGAAAGCTGGCAGATAGAAAGCCAACGTTCAAGTTCTAGTCCAAATGTAGTCAGGCTGGAGACCCAGAACTGATGATGCAGATGAAGTCCAAAGACATTCTGGTGGAGAACTCCCCCTTGCTTAGAGAGTCCAATTTTTTTGTTCTGCTCAGTCTTTCCACTGACTGACTGAGCCATTTAGTATAGGGTAATCTCCTTTATCCATATTTGAGCAATTTGAATGTTGTATTTTTTTTAAAAGATTTTATTTATTCGACAGAGACAGCGAGAGAGGGAACATAAGCAAGGGGATTAAGAAAGGGAGAAGCAGGCTTCCCGCTGAGCAGGGACCCCAATGTGGGGCTCGATCTCAGGATCACAGGATCATGACCTAAGCTGAAGGCAGATGCTTAATGACTGAGCCACCCAGGTGCCCCTGTATTTGACCAATTTAAATGTTAATCTCATCCAAAAACACCCTCCCAAGCTGACACATTAAATTAACCATCACATTGTCCTAATAATTTTCTTGACTGTTCATTAATGGGAAGTAAGTAATGACTTCTGAATGCTTCCTTTTCTCCCCTTCCCACCAAAGGAACAATATTGTGTTCAAAGAAATACTGCAATTGGAACCAGGGTTAAAAGGTGCTATCTAACAGGAGTCCTGCTTTAAAGAATAGATAAAAATAGTTTGTACTTATTATATCAAAATACCAACCTAAGCTATACCTAGCTTTTGCTTACAGTGCACTTATATTATTGGAAATTCATGACTCTCAAATTTGTGTCAAGTAAACAGTTCTATTACAATTTACTTAGTATTGAATACTTCTTTTCTATTGAGCTTTAATATGTCTTTTTTCCCAGAGAGAAAGTGCTTTGAATTTTCCTTGACAAAGATGTTTTATCTGTCAGGATAAGACAGACGATGTTGCAATAACAAATAAAGGGTTAGAATAACAAAGGTCTATTTCTTGTTCATGCTGTCTACCATCGTTGGCAGGAAGCCCTCAGTCATCCTAGTCCCTCAAGATCCTAAGCTGACAGAGGAGCAAGCATCTAAGGCTTTGCTAGTTACCACTTGAGAAAAAAAAAAGCTCTGAAATGTCTCACATTAGCAATTTAATGCTCTCGGCTGGTCATGACACATCCTATTTTCATTCAGAACTCATTGGTCAGAATTAGTCCCACATCCCCATCTACTACAGTGAAACCAAGAAGTTAGTTCTACTTTGACTAGAAGGGGTAGACATGGGAATAATTGGCAGATGACACTGTCACTACCTTCTGCCTCTGCTTGAGCACTGCTCATGACTCTGAAGATTGAAAGAGGCGCATACCAGTGTTCCATTTGTAGCCTTTCTACTCATTTATCACTATGGTTCTTTTTTTCCAGAAAGGCTTATAATATACAGAGGGGGGAGGGGTTCCTTCTTGGCTGCTACTTTCCCCATTGCTGCCAGCACATTGCTTAACTTCTCTTTCCTCTTGGCACGGATGTGTGTTTCCACAATTTTCTTGATGAACTTAAGGGCGCCCTTGCCCTTAGAAATCTTGAGCACTCCGTGTCACACTGCTCATAGGGGTGAAGCCACACACCTCTTGGATCATGTCCCACACAAACTTGGTGTGCCTTAGCTTGCTCACATTCTTTGTCATTCTTGTGGCCCTTGTTGAGGCCCATTAGCCATAGGTAGTGGAGAGCCTTAGCGGCTTCTCCTCATGGCTCCCTTGGTGGAAGCCAGTGTTCTCTCTATTTTGACATTGATGCTAGGGATTTCTTAAGGAAATTATATCTCTTCCTTTCATTCTTGCTACTTCCCCGTCCTCTACCTTAGATCTGTCAGTAATGGCAAATCTAAGATAATGTTTTAAGTTTTGAAACAATGACAGATAGTTTTTCTTTATAGACCGCAAGACATATACAGAAAGAGGAACATGAGATCAGTCTGAAAATGACAGAGGAGAAACTTTTGAAGGAATCTTAATAAGAACAAAATGAATTTGAAATTGGGGGAATGAGAGAAGATATAAAAAAGTGGATCTGACAACAAATTAAAACAAATAAAATTGGTAAATGAAAGCAAAAAACAACTTTTGAGAACCGAAAACAAGAAGATATTTAAATGCTATGGTATAGAAAGAGAATCCTGCATATATAAAGTTAACAGGAAGAGGAACAAAGTAACGGATGAGTGGTGGCATTTCTTAACTTTGTCCAATATACATACCAGGAATTAGGCTGGAAGCTGTCCCCATATCTCTACAGGGCATAACAAATTTTGCTCTTAATAGTAGGAACTGCTTCAGAAGTAAACAGTATAGCAAGGGTTCAGACTTGGGTTTCTTTGACTTTGATAGGGAAATGAAACATACTACAAATAAATCATGGAATTAGGAAAAATCTATAGCTCATGGGAGACCTATATAAGGGAGCTGTAGCAATAACTTATACCTTATATATTGATCTAATTCTACAGTTAAGTGGAAACATGAAAAGTATGTATTTTCTTATGTATTATTCATGTTTGTTGCTTACTAAAACACTAAAACAGATTAGAACGAATGTAAATTAGCATTATTCCAAATACAGAGCCATTTAAAAGTATATTTCTTGGGGCGCCTGGGTGGCTTAGTTGGTTAAGTGTCCCAACTCTTGGTTTCACCTCAGGTCGTGATCGTAGTAGGGTCCTGGGATCCATCCCCGCACTCTGTTCTCAGTGTATGGTGGGGTCTGCTTGAGGATTCTTTCTCCCTCTGTCCCTCCCTCTGCTAGCGTGCTGTTGCTCTCTCTCAAATAAATCTTTAAAAAAAAAAAAAAAGTATATTTCTTATTTGATGAAATATATGGATTTTTTCATCTCTCCAGATGTAATTTGATTTAAGGAATAGATTTGATTAATCTATTAGCTCAATTTTGATTCTGTTTGTAGCATCTTACATATTTAGAAAGATTTTCTCAAGTGGAAATAAAATATATGTCGGGAAAGAATTCTTTCCTGAAAAGGCCTTATCATTCAAGAATTTATTTAAAAATATATTTATTGAGTTTCTACTTTGTGCAGTGTAAGTACAGTAGGACTTACTACCTGCCCAAAGAGAAAAACAATTTAATTAGATTAAGTTATGCCCTGGGGCTCCTTCTGGCCAAATCTGGAACAATGTATATATGAAAATAATTAATTGCCATAAAGAACTATAAACAGGGCCACCTAGCTGGCTCAATCAGTAGAGCATATAACTCTTGATCTTGGAGTCATGAATTTGTGCTCCACACTAGGTGTAGAGTTCACTTTAAAAAAAAAAAAGAATTATAAACCATTGTGGGGGAAAAGGAATTAATGAGTCCATACCAGTGATAGATGATAGCTAGGTAGGTGGGTGGGTGGGTGGATGGATGGATGGATGGATAGGTAGGTAGATAGGTAGGTAGGTAGATAGATAAAGGGAAAAGAGAGGATCCTTGCTTATAGTAGAAGGCTAAGTGCCAGTTAGTAAATGTATAGGGATTGTTGGAAGAAAATCTGCATTTTACACAAATTATAGGAAAGATGTGGATCAGGATGGTAAATCTAGGGAAAGTTTTGGTAAAGAGCATGATTTTTGCATAGTTTTAAAATGTTTCCCCACAGATTATTTATTCATTGCAAAGGAAAAATTAGTAGTTATTTTGTATAGTACTGAATAGTACATTGGCTGGATGATCAAAATTAGCATCAGTGACAAGCAGATGGACATTTGTGCCTCCAACTGTGATGCTCTTAGAGGGACATATCATTGCTTTTATAGTATTCCACCAAGAATGCATAATCTGAATCTAATTATATAGAAACATCAAGCAAACCCAAAATAAAGAATATTTTAATGAATAAAAGGAAGGAGTGTGGGACAGCATTCTTCAAAAATGTCATAAAGGCTGTAGAAATGTTTCAGATTGAGAGAGGGCAAAGAGACATGACAGCCAGATGAAATATCTGGACAGGAAGCTATACTGAGAGGGGGAGAAAATGCTGCAAAGGATACTAATGGGTCAGTTAACAAAACGGGATTACAAATGGTAGATAAATATTTTTTTTAATATTAAATGTATTAAAATTTAGAATTATACTGTTATTGTGTAAGACCATATCAGGTATTCACTAAAGTATTTAGAAATAATATACCAAAATATACATAATTTACCTTTAAATGTTCTGGAAAGTGCTATTTGTGTGAATGCATGTATATATAAATATGTGTCCTTTGTATAATAGGGAAAGGTGAACAAATAATAAAGGATTGGGTAAAATTTTCATGATGAATGTGGGTGAGATATATTTGAAGTTATACAATTTTTATTCTTGCAACTTTTGCAAGAGCTTGAATTTATTTCCAGATTAAAACCTTAAGAGAAATAGTTATGTCTTAGACATGATCGCAACATAAGAAAGAAGTACAGAGTAATTGACCAAGGGACACGAGCTTAGAAAACTAAGATGCAAACATGTTTACAACCCTCAGAAATTGGTATGTGTTAGTCTCTGCTAGGTGCCACGTGCTTGACCCAAATATCAGATAATAATTTAACCAGAAAGTACACTGTGATTTAAAAATAAGACTAAATTCATTTTTAGCTGTTCTGTCTTAACGTGTTGCAAATGTGTAGTACAAACTACTTATGATTCAATGTTTGTGTTACATATAATGGTTTTTACCCCCTTTATTCATGTTAGTATATTAAATTTCACTACAACAATAATGGTAATTAAAAAATTTTTTTTATTTTACTTTTTTAAGATTTTATTTATCTATGAGAGAGAGAGAGAGAGAGAGAGAGAGAGAGAAAGAGAGAACTAAAGCAGGGAGAGGGAGCAGACCCTTGCTGACCCAGGGAGCCTGACGTGGGACTAAATCTCAGGACTCTAAGATCATGACCTGCGCCAAAGGCAGATGCTTAACCAACTGAGCCACCCCGGAACCCAGGAATTTTTTTTTTAATCATTTTTTTTAAAGATTTTGTTCATTAGAGAGACCACAAGCAGGGGGAGCGGCAGAGGGAAAAGAAGAAGCAGGTTCCCTGTTCAGCAGGAAGCCCTACTGGGGCTTGATCCCAGAACCCCAGGATCATGACCTGGGCCAAAGGCAGATGCTTAACTGACTGAGCCACCCAGGTGCCCCATGATTGAAATTATTTATGTTCATATGTTACATCTAATACAGGGCCTTTAGAATAAGTCATTATTCACAAATTGCAGGAGTACATTTTCATCATATTACTAAAGTAAGAATGTATATTGTTTGTAGTACAGGATATTTGGATAGGATATATCCAATCTGTTAGTTCATACTATAACTTATAATAAATGTGCCAAATATAAACAATGTAAGTAATCTCATGAAAGACCTACCTGAAAGCTAAATCATTTTAATTTTTTTTTAATTTTTATAAACATATAATATATTTTTATCCCCAGGGGTACAGGTCTGTGAATCGCCAGGTTTACACACCTCACAGCGCTCATCATAACATATATCCTCCCCAATGTCCATAATCTCACCCCCCTCTTCCGACCCCCCTCCCCCCAAATCGTCATTTTAAAATTAATTTTTCTACCACATTAATTTTTTTAAAGGCATGACTGAATTTTTAATATGAAACTCTAGTAATATTTGTATTATCTTAAAGACATAAGAAAAATCTTGGTACTGGCTTTAATTAAATAGAAAGATCCAATAATATTCTAGGATATTATGTTTGAATTTAAGATGAATATAAAATATGATAATTCTTTTGCCTTCTCCACAATGGAAATAGACACAGATTTGGGGGTACCTGGGTGGCTCAGTTGGGTTAAGTGTATGCCTTCAGCTTAGGTAATGATCCCACTGGGGTCCTGGGATCGAGTACCACATCAGGCTCCCTGCTCAGTGGGGAACCTGGTTTTCCCTCTGCCTGCAGCTCTCCATGCTTGTGCGCACACACTTTCTGTCAAATAAATAAAATCTTAAAAAAAAAAAAAGGGGGAGTAGGCACAGATTTGGAAAGCATTATAGCAAATGCTGTCTAATACAATTTCTAGTGAATCTGAATATTAGATCTGGATTTTAGAACTCTTTATTCTGTCATTATTGGCCAGCTGTGTCTATCTTATTTGATTTATTCTGTCGCCAATAGACTTTTCTTTCTAGCTTTAAGTAAAGAAAATAATTTTAATATCTCAATTATGGTTGTTAAAAAGAAGTCCTCTTAATCTATTGCTTTATCAGTAGATCACATTTAGACATATAGAAGTTCTTTGTGGCTGTTTTTCAAATCTTTCCTTTTTTGTTGGGTTTACCTAATAACATTAAGAGTTTTTTTTTCAGGGTATGAAAAAAGTGTCTGAGTTCTTTGTTTTTTAATTTTCTGCAGTCCGCTAGTCAGATGTATCATTTTAACAGTAGCTTTTATTTCCCAATCCCCATACTACCATGCTCATTTAAGAGACTCATTTTGTGTTGAATTGGAATGATCTTGGTAAAAGCACATGATAACTTGTGTTGGCCTTACCAAAGTCTATCGAAATATTTCAGCCATCAAAACTACTGGAATTGTCATTAAAAACCAAAATAATTCCCGGGCACCTGGGTGGCTCAGTCAGTTAAGCATTTGCCTTTGGCTCGGGTCATGATTTCAGGGTTCTGGGATCAAGCCCTGCATCTCAGCAGGGAGCTTGCTTTTCCCTCTCCCTCAGCCCTTCCCTCCCCTTCAGACCCACTCATCCTTGCTCTGCTTTCTCTCTGTCAAATAAAAAATAAAATCCTTTAAAAAAAAATAATCCCAGCCCATACTAGATCTACATTAATTTAAAATGAAGAAGGCAGTGGAATAGATTCTTTGTATTCAGATAAAGTTTCAGAAAGTGGCAGAGTGGTGTGATTTCTGATCAATTTTATTTGCCCTGTGATAATAAGTTACAGACTTAGGTGTCAAATTAGCAGTATTGCTGAAAAACTAATTTTACAGATTGGAAATTTTAAATGCCTAGCTCCTTTTTCTGTTTCTAGTTGTTTGGTGACTTGACCTGGCTGCTTGTTTCACCATTAAGCATTTAGAATTTTTTTGCTTAATTCAAAAGAAGAAATCTTTCATTGGTGAGCATTTAAATTGTAGGCCGGACTTCGTTTTTAAAATTATCTCAATCCTAGAGATGTATTGTTCAGTATATACATATAAAGTAATATATTAAATTTATTTTATAGTTGTTTCTGTAATTATGCCATCTCTACTCACCATGGTTATAATTTGGTATTAACTTCTTTTTAATGACAGACGAATCCTTAGTACTGTGGAAAAGAGCAGACAGAAATATAAACCAGCTTCTCTCACAGTGGAGTTTGTCCCTTTCTTTTATCGTAAGTATCGATCCTAATTTCTCTTTGATTTTGATGTTATTCTGATTATTCTTTATATTCTTATTCTGATTCTACTTGATTCATCTTTGTGTATTTGTTAACTAAAGATTATAAGAACCTATCACTGGAGTACTTGATTCATACTTTGCTATGATTATTGTTCTTCCTCTAATTTATTGTTCTGAAAGTGTTTTTATTTTGAGAAGAGCTTAATATTGTAATGACTGTAGTATAGACCTTCTGAATTTTTACTGAAATAAACGTAAGAGCAGCATGGGGGCCCAGCTTGTGCATGGCCACTGCCGGGGAGCCTGAGGCCAGGGCCTCCTGCCCAGGCACTACCCAGCTGGGCTGTGAGCTGGTGGTGGACTCATGGATGAGGCCTCCCTTTTGCCAATTGGGGCTCAGTAGAGCTGAGTGCAGCCTGGGCCCAGGCCACATTTGGGATAGGGGGCTACAAGGCCCACTCACCCCACGGTGGATGGCGTAGGGGTGATGGTGATGGACACCCTAGAGGAAGAGAGCTTTGCACTGTCCTTTTCCACCTCTGATACAGAATTTGATGCTGTGGTTGGATTTTATTATCATGGATGAAGAATTCCAGTTATTAAAGGAAATTTTTATAGACAGGCACTCCCACCTGTTTGTAATGGGTATATGTCTTCGGTAGAAAAGTATATTGAAGAACATCTGCTAGAGCAGATTTCTGGATTTAACATGGTGACTCGCACAGCGTCTTTCCAGCACTGCGAAGATGAAGTAGCTGGTGACATATTGGACATGCTGTTCATGTTTACAGCATTTCTGGCTTTTAAAGAAATGTTTCTGGGCTATAGAGCAGAAAAAGAAGTCTGGGGATTGGGTTTATGGAGCGATTTAGTGGTGACTTTGTTATGCAACTCATCTTTATCAGCTTCCCAGACAGATCTGAGGCCTAGGGCGCACCTCTAGGCAGTGTGATCATTGTGGGTGTGCCAGCCCATTAGGCTGGGGGAGGCTAAAGCTAACGGGACAGAAGAATACATCTTGGAAAGAATGACTCTGTTTGGCAACTGTTCATTAATGTTAAGTATTGTTGGGTTGAAAAGAAAATTACCTGACCCTCCTGGGACCTGTTTCTCTAGTAACACCATCTTGTATTCAGTGACCCTGTTACTCCTCCCTGTAGTAAACACCTTTCTCAGGGATTTTTGAGTCAAGCTCAAAGGCCAGCCTGCCACCTGGGGGCCTCTTCCCCAGCATACATGTTGGTGTGTCAGTGTTTTTCACCATCACCAACCTTCTTTGGCCCAACAGGCTTTGCATGTCCCAACAGGCATTTTGTACACTCGGGTTTTTATTTGCATCAAAGTTTCAATCCTGCAGCCTCATTGGGGTTTTTGACTAGGAGTATTTATCCAGGGCATTAAGCCAGCTGATCATCCTGAAACTTCTGAAGCTTCTCCTGTAGCAGTTAGTCTTGGCTAAAGGAATCAAGTGAGGGAGGTGGGCCTTTACCCAAAAGCTTCTTGTGAAGATAAGTTTGTAGTCTTATATTTGCAATCCTTGTGTCACTGTCTTCTGCTGGTCCTGATGTAGTTCCACTGTTAATTGAACTTATTGTAAGCATTTTGAAAAAAATATTTTTTTAGATGAATACTCAGGCTCACCTAGTAGATGTAATCTTGGAACTTCCATGATCACCCACTTGAAGATCAAATTAATATATGCTGTGTGCTTTTTAGTTATTAGTACTATGAAAGCAAAAATGCTTTCTGCCTTGGTGTTTCTCTGTTAATGAGTACCAGTAAATGTATACTTCTGCTGGAGGTAAATTAAAAGGTATCCTTTTCTTATAGCATGTTAAGTGTTTGTGTAGGTTTGCTAAAACCCTTGCTGTATAAACAGGTTCATTAGGTTTTCTCTTGAGGTAAGGAATTCCTTCTTCCTGTCAAAATCTACCAAGATGCTTTCCATGGGTGTAATCAGATCAGCATGAATAGGATACAGCAAACAGCTTTACTGGTCATCTGTTTGCTTTGATTCAGTACAGTGTTTGAAAGAACATCACTGACCAGAAAACATGATGTCACATCTCCAGAAAGAAGAACATAGTTGTTGAATTCCTGATGTGTTCTCTTTCTTTCTCTAACCATACACACACACACACCCCCATACCCATATGTGTATATATGTATATAAATTTTCTGCTTATTAATTTTTAAACCTTTTTATTTATTTATTTATTAAACCTTTTTAAAGTAAAAATTCTTTACTGAATTTTCACTTGGCTGTTTTGGTTTTAAAGGATGATCTATAGGTTATGTGTTTTTTAATGTGTTTTCACTTAAATAGTTATGTGAGTTAAAAAAAAAAAAAAACCTTAGGAGTAACATGGAGGACATTAGGAGAAGGAAAGGAAAAGTGAATTGGGGGAAATTGGAGGGGGAGATGAAGCATGAGAGTGTTGGGTCCCCCAATAATGGGTCCATGGTCAAAGGAGCGAGACTGATACAAAGCGAAGGTCAAGCAAAGCTTTATTTTGCGCCAAGCATCAAGAATCAAACAGACGGGTGGGGGCTGTCCCTTACAGAGAGGGCGACCTCTCTCTTCTTTACAGACTAGCTTTAAAGGGCAAAGGCCATGTGGTTGGGCCTGGCCACGCACAGGTGACCAAGGAGATTGTAACACGGAGAAAGCTGCACAGTCCTGCTAGGTCACACATAAGTGCCAATTGAATTACAGTTTACCCTATAGTAGCTATTTGAACTAGCCTATCACCTTGGTCAGAACTGGTGCCCAAAAGGCGGCACCCACACTCCTTGGTAGCTAGGGAGACAGTATGCACGCTTTACTGATTGGATGTCTCCATCTGACCCAACTCATGCCCAGCATTCGGGTTGTTATCTCCACCTGACCAGACCCACCCATGTATTTGGGCTTTGTTACCTGGGACTGGTTTCCCAGACTTGCTTTTAAGTAAGTTCCTTACCTGGGACTGGTTTCCCAGACTTGCTTTTAAGTAAGTTCCCGGGTCGGTTTAAGTTTTACTACATAAACAACAAAATGGCTGTTCAACCGGGATGGGGCCGCTCTGGCTGAATAGGCCCTTACACGAGACTGTGGACTCTGAGAAACAAACTGCTGAGGGTTTTGCAAGGGAGGGTTTGAGGGGGAAAGGTGAGCCTGGTGGTGGGTATTAAGGAAGGCAGGTATTGCATGGAGCATTGGGTGTGGTGCATCAACAGTGAATCTTGGAACACTGAAAAAAATTAAATTAAAAAAATTAAAAATTAAATAGTCAAACTAAAAAAAAACTTAGAAGAGATTTGGCTACTATAGGCGTGATCTATGTGGATTTAATTTTCTTTCTTAAAAAATGGTTATGCCATAGTTCAGGAATATGGAAGATATTGCAGAATATATACAAGGAATACCCTGTGTTTCCTACTCTCATTTGTCAGATCTTGCCGTAACATTTCGCTATATTTGCCTTAGTTCTATTTTCTTTTTTTCCTAAGAATTTAAAACAAAACAGAAATAGCCCCCCCCTTTTTTTTTGCTTTTTATCATTGGAAATGAATATACACACATTAAAGGTATGATTTTAAAAAAGAGAGAAATAGTCCTTTGTTTGAGTGCCTGGTGAAGATGATTGCAGTGCCCACTCTGACCACCAGTGGTAATATTGGCTTCAGCTAGATAATCAAAATAGGCTCATTTCTGGATTCTCTTTTTTTGTTCCACATAGCCGCCATTATGATATTACCACACTACATTGATTGTTGTGACTTTATGCTAAATCTTGAAATCATTAAGTCCTCTAACTTTGTTTTTCTTCAAAAATTTTTTGGCTGTTCTGGACCCTTTACATTTTTATATGCATTTTAGAGACCAGTTTTTAAATATTTTTTTACAAAAACGCCTGCTGATATATTTGTTTGGGATTGTATTGCATCTAGGAACCGTTTTAGGAGAATTGACATCTTGAGAATACTGAGACTTCCAGTGCATGAATCTGATAATCTCATTATTTGTTACTTATTTCTTCAATCAATATTTTATAGTTTGCAGAATATAGATTGTGCACATATTTTGATAGTTTATCCTAAAGAAGTTATCAAAGGTACTTAGAAATGTGAAGTCTTTAAAATAAATTGTAGATTTTTTAAAAGGTGAGTTTCATTTTCATTTCCTATCTTTAATAATGACATTTCCCTTTTTACCCATAGTAATATTCCTTGCCTTACCTTGATAATATTTCTTGCCTGCTTTGTCAGATACTAATATAGCCCCTCCAGCATTCTTATGATTAACGTTTACATGGTTTATCTTTTTATATCCTGTACATATTTTCTGTGTGTCTCCTGTGGCTGATTAGAACTCTGTCTTCTTGCAGCTCTGTGTAAAATCTCACAGTTACTCAGCTTAAAACTTCTTGCTAGGTTTTTTCCTGCCATGTGGGATTTCACAGTATCATATAAGGATTGATACTTTGACTCAAAGTGAGTCCTACTAATATTTCTGGAGTGCTTTCTCTTTATACCTTCCACTCCTGTACTGCTTGCCTAGGCCTTCTCAAACGTTTCATCTGCCTCCTAACTCAACAAATAGTCATCTTCCTTTAGGTTTTCCCTTTTCTGTGCAGTTGTTCCGAACATATGTACAACAGGAAACTGAGGTAATCATTGAGCTTACTTTGTTTCTCTTGAGAGAAGGAAAATTTCTAGAGTGCATTAATTTCTACCTATATCGTCTAATTTTCTAGTTATTTCTAGGAGGAAGCCATGTATAGTGACAGTTATTCCAGCACAGCTGGAATCATTTAATTTTTTAAATGTAGATTTCTGTCAGTATATTTACCTCAGAGCGGTTTGTTTTTGGTAATGTTTATTATGTATAAAATTGAAATAATTCTGTTGTTAACACCTTGTCTATGATATATACAAAAAATATTCATTATTGGGTTATTAGACTATCAAAACGAAGAGGAAGATCATAAATGTTTATTAGTAGAGAATTGGTTAAGTAAATTAAGGTACATCATTTTATTGGTCATAAAAATGAATAAGGAAGATATATATGTAAAGATATCCAGTATATATTAGTGTTAAAAACAGAAAACATGATGCAGTGGTATATGTATACTTTTTTTTTTTTTTAAGGTGTGGGGAGCATGGTATATTGAGGAATAGGTTTGGGGGAGACTTACTTTTGGTCACAGTTGTTTTATGCTGTTTTAATTATTCTTTGTCATGTGCATGTATAACCTTTTGAAAACAATAAAATACTTTATAATATTAAAAGAAAGGTTATTTTTGGTACCAGAACTTCAGAATGTTTGCCTTGGAGTAAACCCAGGAAATCTTTTCATCAATTATTCCAATTTTATAGTTGAATAATTATTGTCAATTATACTAATAAGAGGAAGTAGTAGTAGCAAAAAACCACATCTAATTTAATGTCAGATTTCAGTTAGCTTCTGGCCTTGTCACTTAGCAGCTCTGTAACTTTAAGACCTTTCACTTGCTCATTTATAAATAAGGGCAAAACATCCTCACATGGAGTATTATGAGAATTAAATGAGACAACATAACTAATCTAAACTACTACCTGGTAGATGGTTTCTCTTTTCCTTTATTATGAGAAAATGCGTATCAACCTTGCCTTTTAAAGATTTTTAGCCTTCTAATAGTTTTTAATGTTTCAGTGTCAGACATTCCTCAGAGATAAGTCATACTGTGAAAGAGAAATCCGATTTGTTTTATTTGTGTGTTATATTCACAGAGTGTTTTCAGGAAAGTGAACATCTCAAGGAAAGTCTCAAGTGTTGCTTATTGCACCTCTTTGGAGCCGTTGTGGCCGGTGGGCAGGTGAGGAAAGTGTTGACAGTGCGAAAAGGTTTCCATGGGTTATTTAGTGTGTTCTTTGTTCTTTTGTAATTTCATGAGCCACACAGATGTTTTTCCAAGTTTACGGCTTGTTTAGAACTAATCTTTTATTTAAAACTTCTTTAAAAACCTAAGTAATAATATTAGCACTAACAATAAAATTACTACATAAATAACCATATTTAACAATCTTTTTATTGTAAGTTCTTAGTTGTGTCGACTTTCAGCTACTAGTTCTTACCTTAAATAAATAAAATCACCCCTTGTTACTCCACATTATGAAATCAAACTCAAAATTAAGTATACATGAGTTAACCACTCTTCTGTCTATGTAATTTCTAAATGCATATATACAAGGTTTATGTGCTTTTTTTTTTTTCAACAAACCCAACCAGCTTCTTATTACTCACAAGAAAGAAATTCTAGTAATACTTACTTCTTTATTTTTGAAGGTGAGTATCTTAAAAGTTGTCTGTGGTGAACTTTGAGTATAAGTACTAGTTGAAATAGGATTATAATTCAGAAAGAACATCCTCTATGTTTTCTTTAAGTACATAGTTTAGATCAGAAGTTTCTAACACCTTTTGTCCTGCATAAAGCCCCTTGTTGGAATATTTCAGATGCATGCAATAAAATACATAAGATCGGAAAAGAAACTAGTCATGCTAAAATGCAGTTACTAAAATATTAAAATAAATTTGTAACATAGTAATGTGTTTTTATAACACACTAAAGAGAGCAGCAAGTCTAGTAATAAATGTGATTTCAAAAAAAAGACAAACATGATGTTTCAAGACATTGCAACAACTATAAAATATGAAAATATATAGGATTTCTTTTGGTTAACAAAGTTTCAGATATTGCTAATAATACTATTTGGGTTTCCTAGTAGCCTACCTTTCCTTTTCCTCTTCACTCTAGTAGAAGAGTCTTTTTTTGTGAGGGGGGATAATGACTAGAATCTTATTTTTCAGTTTGTTTGCTTTGTCACCTTCCTTTATTAGCTGATAATCTTCTTTTGCATCAGTATCTACCCATTTCCATCATTTCTCTGCTACTAAAAATAAGAATTAATAAGTATACATGAATAAAATTGGAAATGACGTGTTTTTGACTAGTGGAGAAGCTGGTTGGATCCCGTTACCATTTTGAACACACAGAGACTTGTTTTTGATAGTGCCCAGGGGTTATCAAGCCTTGAGAGACCTCCCATAATGAAAATTCACATAGAGATCAAGAGACCTCCAGTAATTAAAACTCACACAGAAATCAAGTAGGTACTTGAAGGCCAATTTATTATTTTACATAGTAAAAATACTCAACATCCTTATAATCAGGTTATAGCTGTACTTGTAGCTATTTTGAGGTCAGGAGTTTATTTATTGAATATAGAGTAAGTGCAGGGATATTTAGAGAGATATTTAGATGAATATTTAAAGGTGTAAATGGCAGGAAAATTGAATGGTATCGGCAAGGACTAAGTCCTTTCACTCATAAAGGGCAGGAAAATTGAAGTCCTGTGACTGGTCTCCCCTCTCCAAGCATCATGCCTGGACTTCCTGTTGACATATGTGTTGTTTTGCATTGTTAAGAGGATAAGCTTTAGAGACAGACTGACAGAGGTTTGAATCCCATGTCTGTCTCTCATTGTGTGACCTTGGATAAACTTTACGTGTGTTTTAGTTTCTTTATTTACATGTGTTTTAGTTTCTTAATAATAAGAAAACAGTAACAATTACAAGATAGTCATAAGGACCAAATGACACATGATATATGTAAAGTGCTTATAAGCGTTAAGTAAGTCACAGATCTGTCAGATTTGTGATTCCCTTAATTAGCAGTAAATACTAAAACTATAACAGCTTAAGTTAGAAGTTTTACCTTTTTCCTTCATAAAAAAATAAAGTAGCAGTAAGTAGTCCAGAGTTAATCTGGTGGCTCTGGGATCTTCAGAGGATCCAGGTTCCTTCTGAATGTCAATTTGTTATTATTTCTTTTGCTACATGATTAGCTTCTAGAGTTCTAACCATTTGCATTTGCACTTTGGGCACAAAAATGGAGGGGGAGATGAGGAGGGAGACAAATGGCACATGCCAACTATCTTTAAAGGAGATGCTAAAAAGCTGACACTCATCTTTTTTTAATCTCATTTGCCAAACTCCATGAGATAACTGCGAAAAAAGGAAATACGTCCATATAATAACTTCGATTAAAAAAAAAAAAAAACAAAAAAACAAAACTTGCTTCCTCAGCCTCCTTGGCAACAAGGGAGGTTAGGAAATGTAATCTTTATTTCTGCTAGCCTCCTATCCACCAAAACATCAGGGATTCTTTTAATAAGGAAGCGGAGGAAAATGGATATTGGGTGCTCTGTTGACAGTTTCTTCCATTGTAGCCCTTGTTACCGCTATTATTTATTATATTGATAATAACAAACTCTAATGGCCTAAGTTCTGTTACTTTCAGATGATTTTGCATCATTATGTTTGGATTCATTCTATATCAATTTAACAGTTTTAGGCAATATATATTATTTCCAAGTTTAATGGATCACCTTGAATAGCTACCAGTTATTTAGAATTTCAGAAATATGTTTGTAGAACCAGAGTCAAGCCAGTCCTCTTCTATCTCTATGTCATTTGGGATGAATTTGCTATAACCAACATAAAACCCTAGAGGAGCTTAGCCAAATTGAGGATTTTGTTTGGTTTTGTTTTTTGTTTTTTTTGTTTGCATTAGAAATCTAGATGTAGGCAGTTCTGGGCTGGTACAGCAGCTCCATGGCATCGGCAAGGACTAAGTCCTTTCACATTCCTTTTCTGCTCTCTTTAGCCTATTACTTTAATTCTTGGGTTTGTTTCTTCATGACTTAAAGGTGGCTCCAAACATGGTATCTGCATTCCAGGCAGGCAAAAGATGAAAAGGCCAAGAGCAAAGGGTCCTTCTGTTTTTATCTGTAAAGTTATATTTCCTTCATAGTCTACTGGCATATATTCTTGACCAGAACTATGACACATGGCTGCCCCAAGCTGTAAGGGAGGGTGGTAAACAAGTTTTCTATGTAGGCAGATTGCTGCCTGAATAAAAATGAAAATCTAGTAATCTAGCAAGGAAATGAAAACTTAATATGCATAAAAACTAGCAATGTCTATCAGGTATGTGCTTAAAATTTTTTATGTTGATTTATTAAAAGAAAAAGTCTGCAGGGTCTCCTGGGTGGCTCATTCATTACATGTCTGCCTTTAGCTTGGGTCATGATCCCGGAGTCCTGGGATCGAGCCCCACATCAGGCTCCCTGCTCAGCGGGAAGCCTGCTTCTGCCTCTCCCACTCCCGCTGCTTGAATTCCCTCTCTCGCTGTCTCTCTGTCAAATAAATAAAATCCTTTAACAAAGAAAAGAAAAGGGGTGCCTGGGTGGCTCAGTGGGTTAAAGCCTCTGCCTTCGGCTCGGGTTCATGATCCCAGGGTTCTGGGATCAAGCCCCACATCGGGCTCTCTGCTTGGTGGGGAGCCTGCTTCCTCCTCTCTCTCTCTGCCTGCCTCTCTGCCTGCTTGTGATCTCTGTCTGTCAAATAAATAAAATCTTAAAAGAAAATTTAAAAAATAAAAAAAGAAAAAGTCTGCAGATTTATTAAACTTTATTTTTACAAACATACAGAACTTCAGTTTGGTTGGGTTTCACGTTTATTATCTTTCATGTTTCAGAGGAATGCTTTGCAAGCAATTTCTCCAGCCACCATGGAAGTTCTTATGAGAGTTTTGGCAGATTGTGATTCCTGGGAGGATGGAAATCCTGAAGAAGTGGGGAGGAAGATCGAACTTACTCTGAAGTGCCTTACAGAAGTGGTACATATCCTTCTCACTAGCAGCTCTGATCAACGTCAGGTGGAAACCAGCACTATTTTGGAGAACTATTTTAAATTGCTAAATTCAGATCATTCAGCTTTACCTAATCAAAGGAGATCCAGACAGTGGGAAAGCCGGTTCATAGCTCTGCAGATCAAAATGTTGAGTAAGTATTACATAAAATTTCTTATACTCCGTTTTCTCTGAGTCTGTTTTTTTAGACTTATTTGAAATTCAAGGCTGTCATATAGAAGTATGGATTGTTTAATTCAGCTATTATGTAACTTTAGATTATGACTTTAAAATAATTAACATGGAATCGGTTTGTTTATAGCATCTTTGCTTTAACAAAATTGAGCCTCTATTGTTTTTTGAAAGTGTATTCCAGTAAAAGCATCACTGTTAAAAAGAAAGTCAGCTATTATTTTCAAATTCTAGGAAAGGTCAGTTTCCAGGAGATGGCATTTGCGTTGTCTAACCTATGGCAAGAGTAACATACGGCAATATTAAGTGTCCTTCTATAAATATCTGTAGATGTCACTTTAACATCTGTCCTTTCTTCAGAGGGCCTCTATTTGGTTTTTCTCAGAGCCTCTATCTATGTGTGTCTTGTTTCTCTGCCCTCTCTTTGTTTTGTTGGTTTTTCTCTGTAAGCGCTTTCATCAGTATATGTGGTTTCTTATTGCATTCCCCTGTTAGATTGATAGTACAAGTATTATTAATTGAGAGTTTCTTTTTATAGAAATAAAATATTTTCATTACAGCTGTACTAGGAAATTTGGATAAGTAAGAAGTTTTTTAAATCCTACAACCTAGACATAACCGACATTAATGGTTTATTGTACAGCTCTAGAGACTTAAAAACATGGTTGTATGAGGGTGTGTGTGGTGTCCAACTTAAAAATATTGGACATCAAAATCTTGGTGAAATTTGATCAGTGCACAACAAGAGACTTTGTTTCTGTAAGAAAATAAGATTCCTTTTATCTAGTTTCTGTTCTTTTATAAAACATGTTTTATAATTGTACTAATTATAACTTTCTAAGAAAGTTTGAGTCTATATTGAATAGACTTCTTATTTATTAAGGACTATTGTATTACTTATGTCAGTTATCCCTTGATTTCTGAATGAGAGTATCTGTTCAGTAGGAAACAAGAGCAAACCATCATCATAAATGGATTGAATCCCTAAGTCTTATTTTCTGACCACATGCTAATTTTATACTGTATAAATGAGACTGTTGCAGAATATAACTAACTAGGTGTTGCTTATTAATAGCGAGTTGGAAACCACAGTTAGTTATACTTGAGCATTATATTGGAAGAATAACTGTAATCTTTGGGAAATATATGTCACTCTTACGTAGAAAAACAAATATTTTTAATAATAAACTATAAAAATATTCATTTTTCTTAACAAGTAATAAGTAGTTTTTTTTTCCAATCTCCATCCCTATTTCTTCCTAATTCGTGTTACATCTGTTTGTCACTGAAAAGCCTAAATTAAAAATATGGCCAGAGGGAAATGTTTCTGTGATCCCAAATTTTCCACTATATAAATGGATGATTTTGTTTTTATTTTCCTAGATACCATCACAGCCATGTTAGATTGCACCGATAGGCCTGTTCTTCAGGCCATTTTTCTTAACAGTAATTGCTTTGAACATCTCATACGACTGCTGCAGAATTGCAAGGTATTTTTCTATTATTGTTGTCTTTCACTTTAAAAAGCTATTATTTTGTTTATGCTCTAATTCAAATTTAAACATATTATTAGTAATTTTCTTTTTTTGATTATGGTGAAATACACATAAAATTTACCATCTTAACTATGTTTAAGTGTATTAATCAGTGGTACTGAATGCATTCACATTGTTGTGCAGCTATCACCACCTTCCATTCTCTATAACTCTATAACTCTATAACTCTCTAAGTCTTATGGAACTGAAACTCTATACCCATTAAACAATTCCACATTCTCCCCTCTCCCCAACCCCTGGCAACCACTTTCTGCCTCTGTGATTTTTGGTTACTCTAAATACCTCATGTAAGTAGAGTCATATAGTGTTTGTATTTTTGTGACTGACTTATTTCCCTTAGCATTATGGCCTCAAGATTCATCCATGTTGTGGCATATTGCAGAATTTTCTTTTTTTAGGCTGAACAATATTCCACTGTGTCTACATACCACATTTTGTTTACCTAGTCATGTGTTGATGGACTCTTGTATTGATTACACCTTTTGGCTATTGTGGATAATGCTGTTGTGATCCTGAATATACCCGTATCTCTTTAAGTCCCTGCTTTTGTTCTCTTGGATATATTCCAGAAGTGAGATTGCTGGATCATATAGTAATTAAATTTTTAGTATTTTGAGGAACCACCTTACTGTTCTCCACAGTGGTTGTGCCATTTTACGTTCCTGTGAGCAATGCACAAGGGTTATAATTTTTTACACTCTCCTTGACAGTTATTTTCTTCTTTCTAGAATTAGAGATGATCTCTAATTCTAATGGGTATGAAATGGTATCTCATTGTGATTTTGATTTGCCCTTAATGATTAGTTATACTGAGCATCTTTTCATATGCTTATTGGCTATTTGTATATGTTCTTTGGAGAAATGTCTGTGCAAGTTCTTTGTGCCTTTTTTAATTGGGTTGTTTGTTTTTGTTGTTGAGTTTTAAAGTCTTTTGTTGTACATTGTTAAAATTTGGTGTGAGCATTTGATGTATATAATTTTGTGTTTTTATTTCATGTAAGATGATTTTGTTTGCATTTTCCTCTGTATGATTTAAATACCTATAGAATATTAAGTAGATGTGCCATAATGTACCTATTTCCTATGGCATATACTCAACTTAATTTCCAACTTTTTTGCTGTTACATAACTCCTTCAAGTTCATAGACTAGAATTCTATTTCTAGTAGAATTTCTAGGTCAAAGGGCATAATGTGCTTTTTTAAAGTTAGGGAACATTGTATAGAAACAATTTTTAAATAATTGGGGATTATGGAAAAGTAAGAAAATAGAAATACTGTTAATATTCTTGGTATATACTGCCAATTTGCTATTATTTTTCTTTTTTACTAGTTCATACTTGTAGCAGATTTGTGTGTGAGTATGTAATAATTAATATCTGATTATTATATTTTCATAAATTTCAAGATGGTATCAGAAATTTTTTAGCGTGCTTCTTGAAAAGTCTTTGAAAATGGAACTACTTCAAAGAGCTTTTACTTTTCAGTTTGAGGTATTCTTTTCATGGAATCTGTGCTGAAAAAACTAGGGTTTCATCCTGATTTTGTGCAGATATCCCAAAAGGAGGATTTTAATATCAGCCCCTCAAATTTTTCCACACTGTTAGGAGAGAGATCCATGAAAGCATTTATGTCACTATGTTGCTTAGCTTTCAGTGAAAAGTTAAGAAATAACATTTTAAAAATAAGGAATATATATTGATGATGTAAATTGTGATGAACGTTTATAGACTCAATTAAAGTACTAAACTACCACTAGAGAGTGAACAAGCCTCCCCCATCCCTTAAACTTGTTCTTAGGAAAGAAATCCTAGGGAGATGAAAACAGCATAAGAAAACTTTATAAAACCTTTTGTTTGTTGTTAAAAATATATATATATATCAGTTACAAAGGCAACTTCATCAAGACAAAACCTCCCATGTATAAGAGAACCTGCCAGTCACACATTGTAGAAGGGTAAATCACTAAGATAAAATGTAGTTCTGCTAAAATTGATTAGTATTTTTCTTCAATATATGAAACTCAGGTATTTTTTAAAAATGTCATATCATGGTCAACAATATCTTTTTAAAAAGTACAAAGCTTTTTAGCATAGCAGTCATGCTGTTGAGCTAATATTTACTCTTTCTACTGTTGGATAGGCCAGAGTTTCTTGTAATTTAGATCTGGAGACTTGCTGACAGTCCTTGTGTTTTAAAATTTAATTATTTGAGGGACGCCTGGGTGGCTCAGTTGGTTGGGTGGCTGCCTTCGGCTCGGGTCATGGTCCCGGCGTCCTGGGATCGAGTCCCACGTCGGGCTCCTTGCTCCTCAGGGAGCCTGCTTCTCCCTCTGCCTGCCATTCTGTCTGCCTGTGCTTGCTCTCTCTCCCTCTCTCTCTCTGACAAATAAATGGGTGGAATCTTTAAAAAAAATAAAATAAAATAAAATAAAATAAAATTTAATTATTTGATAGCACTTACCACATTTTGTTTTGAGCCAGGAAATGCTAGAGTAGAAACCCATTTCAGAGGGGAAGGCTAGGCTTTGGGACCATCCCCAGCCTTCTCTGCTGGAGGTAGTGTCCTAGGCAGGATATTCTAGTCAGTATCACTATAAACTCATCACTAACCATTATAGTTATGGAGTCCTAACAACATGGAAGAACCTTTGAAATAAATTGTCCAGCCCTTTCATTATACAAATGAAGAAATATGTCCTAAGAGATTAAATGATTAGCACAAGGTTAATATGTTTCATGATGGAGGCAGGATTTCTTACCCAGGTATTCTGACCCTGGGTTCACTGGTTGTAGTAGTTTTGTTGTACTGGTACTTAAGATCAATAGAAAAATGTTTTCTGTGTATTAAATATAGGAGGAGTACAGGTTTTATTGTTGAATACACTTGATAGGGATAGGTTAATAGGATTCTTAAATATATAAAAATGGAATCTTATGAAAACTTTTTTTTTTTTAACTTATTTAACAGACAGAGATCACAAATAGGCAGAGAGAAAGGAGGAAGCCCCTAATGCGGGGTTCCATCCCAGGACCCAGGACCCTGGGATCATGACCTGAGCCGAAGGCAGAGGCTTTAACCCATGAGCCACCCAGGCACCCCAAAAACTTTGTTCTTAAATGTATTACAGGATGCTACAGATGATTATGATAGACTTCTGTTTAAATTATTTTGTTAGTAAGGAATAAAGAATTTATTTTGTTTTACATAGTAATACAGAATAGAATCAAGACAACTGTTGTTTAAATATTCAGACCCAGAGGAAACATTGTCAACTAAAGCTTATTAAACAAACATTTTGTGAATTACATGGAAAACTTTAGGCTGACTGCTGTAGTTTCTATGCTTTGTTTTTTATGAGATTCACCAGCCAGTTTATGCATTAATTTCCTTAAGTATTTATGTGAGGACCTTTGGCTTGTCAAAATGAGTTTCATCATACTGTGAAGTACTTAGAATATAATTCAGTGGAATCATACATTTAACTTTCCTGATAGCTGTGATGAATGTTAAACATTTGAGAGTTATTTTGTGTCACCATATTGTATTTTGGAAGGGGGATATGCTTTGAATTATTGTAAAATTATTTTTAGAAACTTTCCAAGGATATTTGGAGTAATGAGAAGAAAATAACAGCAAATTTCTAGTAGCAAAGAGAAGAATTCAAAACCATAACATTTACTTTAGCACTCTGCTTGGAGTTTTGTTTTTTTTTTTTAAATAAACATATAATGTATTATTAGCCCCAGGGGTACAGGTCTGTGAATCGGCAGGTTTACACACTTCACAGCACTCACCATATCACATACCCTTCCCAATGTCCATAACCCTACCTCTCCCTCCCACCCCGCCCCCTGCAACCCTCAGTTTGTTTTGTGACATTAAGAGTCTCTTATGGTTTGTCTCCCTCCTGATCCCATCTTGTTTCTTTTATTCTTTTCCTATCCCCCAAACCCCCCATGTTGCATCTCCACTTCCTCATATCAGGGAGATCATATGATAGTTGTCTTTCTCTGATTGACTTATTTCGCTAAGCATAGTACTCTCTAGTTCCTTCCATCCACGTCGTCGCAAATGGCAAGATTTCATTTCTTTTGATGGCTGCATAGTATTCCATTGTATATATATACCACATCTTCTTTATCCATTCATCTGTTGATGGACATCTAGGTTCTTTCCATAGTTTGGCTATTGTGGACATTGCTGCTATAAACATTTGGGTGCACGTGCCCCTTCAGATCACTACGTTTGTATCTTTAGGGTAAATACCCAGTAGTGCAATTTCTGCTTGGAGTTTTAATCAGTTTTTTAAAAATACAGACATTGCAATGTATTCTAAATATGTAAAGTTTTTTTTGAGGACTTGAGTCATAAGATTCTGGAAAGCTATCGATACTGTTGTCTTGTTTACATTCCTTAATTTGTTTTCTTCACTTTCTTCCTTTTCTTGTCCACATCTACCCCTAAAAATCAACTACAAGAAAAAATTTATCACTAAGGCAGTCTTAGTAGGAATGAGAATTTATGAAAGGAGCATCTAAGGGATGCTTTGTGAAAAAGAATGTTGGGAGTGGATACATAGAATGGTATAGTTGAAAGGTTGATTTTGGGAGTTGTACTTGCCTGGATTCATACACATTGCCTTATTTGAACAAGTTTCTTTTTATTTTTTTAAAGTTCTAGAGCAATGATTAATAATAGATTTTAATGGAGGAAAAATGAAATCAAAAACATATTTTCTTAATCTTTTAATAAAACATGTCTGTATATATAAATATTTAAATTTTAAAACTGTGGCAAAATACTCATAACAATATTTCCATATATATTCTTCCCTTTTTTTTTTTTTTTTTTAGATTTTATTTATTTATTTGACCTAGAGAGACAGCGAGGGAGGGAATAGAAGAAACGGGAGAGGGAGAAGGTTTCTCGCTGAGCTGGGAGTCCAACAGAGGGCTTGATCCCAGGACCCTGGAATCATGACCTGAGCCAAAGGCAGACACTTAACGACTGAGCCACCCAGGCACCTTTTCCAAGGATATACTTTTCTTTACAAAATTGGAATACCAGTGAATATTTCTGTATTCTGCTTTTAAATGTATTATATCACGAGTCTTTCCCATATATTTTTCAAAAACATTGTTTTTAATGACTGCAAATATTTCAACCCAGCATTTCTCAAAGTATGGGGTCCCCAAGATCATTTTAGGGAATCTATAGTCTAATCTTAACATTTCAGTTTGAGGCGAGATTTTTTTCATAAACTTGAATCAAAACAACATCATCATAACAGTCTGAATGCAAAGTAGGTATTAGAGTTCATCTGTCTTCTATCAAGTCAGACTTTTTAAAGAGATTGCAGAAATGTAAAAGCAGTACCATCCTCACTAATGTAATTTATTAAAATATAAAGGTTTTTTTTATAAAGATGTGTTATGTCATCATATAATAGGTTTATTGTTTTTGAAGATTTTATTTATTTATTTGTCAGAGAGAGAGAGAGGGAGAGAGAGCAAGCACAGGCAGACAGAATGGCAGGCAGAGGCAGAGGGAGAAGCAGGCTCCCCGATGAGCAAGGAGCCCGATGTGGGACTAGATCCCAGGACGCTGGGATCATGACCCGAGCCGAAGGCAGCTGCTTAACCAACTGAGCCACCCAGGCGTCCCATTTATTGTTTTTGAATGACTAAACAAATATTATTTAAATGTCTTGATTTTCATTTCTCGTATGGTAAATATTAAGAGGTGTAACCCCATATAAACAGAAGTTCTTTGGTGTTCTCAATAATTTTTAAGACTATTAAGTGGTCCTGAGGCCAAAAAGTTTAAGGACTTCCCTTTCAGTGTATGGTTGAATCATAATTTATTTAACTGTCTCACTATTTAATGATATTTGGGTGGTTTCTTTATGTTATTGTAAATAAAGTTGAAGTGAGCATCTTAGTTCTAAAATCTTCATTTGAGTTTTTGACCACTTATAGGTAGATGTTTAGAAATACAGTTACTGACAAGAAGTAATTTTAAAATTCTTGATATGGGTTACTTTCTGGAAAGCCTTTACTCATTTTTGCTCTCGTCAGTTTTTAGCATTCCTGTGTCCTTGCACCAGGTAATATGGAGTATTACTATTTTAAAAATTTGGGTTGATCAGTCAGTTAAGCATCTCCCTTCAGTTGAGCATCTCCCTTCAGCTCAGGTCATGATCCCAGGGTCCTAGGATGGAGCCCTCCATCAGGCTCTCTGCTCAGTGGGGAGTCTGCTTCTCCCTCTCCCTTTGCCCCTCCACCCTGCTTGTGTTTTCTCTCAAATAAGTGAATAAAATCTTTAAAAGTAAATTTTGTTGTTAATAATAACAGCTTTCATTTATTAAATCCTTGTTATGTGCTAGATACTGTGTTAATGACCTAGCATGGATTATCTCATTTAATCTGCGCCTCTATTTCATGAGTTATTCTTTTCCCTTTTGGGAAAATAAGCTTAGAGAAGTTTTTCTTAAAACCAACAGCTAATAATTAGCAGAACTACAATTCATATCCACATTTCTATTCCAAAGCCTATGTTGTGTACACTAATCTAATTTTAGGTTAAGCTTTATATATGTTCTGCATATCATATCATACCTTATCTTTATTTTATTTTATATCGCATTATTTCAGTATATTGCTGGACTTTTGTTTTCTATTTTCTGAAATGATAGAACTTTCTTCTTAGGATTCTCTTGTTAAATTCCTATATAATCTTTCTTTCCCTTTCCACTTCCATTTGAACTATCTTTCTTTTTATCTAAAATGTGCCTGAGATCTTTGGGAATGCTAGTTTTATACACTTAAACCAAAATACTAGATTCCCTTAGCAATCTCCATGTATGTCAGAGATAATCCTAATCCCCTTTTGTGTAGAAACTAATATAAATTATACTCAACTCTTGATAATTTTGGAAAATACATACCTCCTTTGTCAAAGCACATTAGTGTACCTGAGACTGAGAAGTATTTTCAGAAAGAACTCTTTAAAGTTAAATAGCAGTTTACAAACATACTTGACTACAGAATCCTTATTGTACATTATTTACTACAGTATCTTTAGTCTGTCTCAATAGCAAATTTCCTTTTTTGTGAGACATTTATTTTCTGCTGATTCTTTAAGAATTTAGAAATGTTAACTAATCTCCTTGTTGCTGTTATTTCTTATTTTAGTAACTTTGAGTTCCAAGAGAGAAATAACTAACAATTAATTATATGGTGTATGAACTAATGTTAGTTTGTAACCCAAAAAGTGAATAGTTGATTGTCAGTTTAAAAGTGATATACTTCACCAGTGGGTTCTTGAATTTATTTTCAAGAAACATGGAAATCCACTTAAACTTCATTTCTGCTTATAGGTAACTATTTAATGTTCTTTCTCCATTATTCTTGTCTCTGTTTTTAACAGCTGTTTTTAAATGCTAACAATAAGGTGGCAGACAAGAACGAGAAAGACCTTGCCAACAAATTACTGACAGAAATAAATGAGGACCAGGTATCTACAAAGCCTGCATCTTGTTTCAGCTGAAGTCCAAAATCAGTCAATGGGAACAACTATTCCTGTACTTTTCTTCTTATGTCTTAAAATACACAAACACTATCTAATTCTAATCTTCATTAATTATTTTTGAAAATTGCTAAAAAATTAAAAATAAAAATTTTTTCATCTAAAAGATAAATACGTTGATATCTTGGTGGTTGATATAAGTGATCAACAGTATTCCATCCGTATATGTGTGCATCCTTTTCAGTTTAAAGAGACACAGAGTACAGGAATGGGATCCCAGTATCAATGCTGTCCATGTGGTGGTGACTTCATATTTTGGGAGCTTCTTTCTCTAAGCATTGCAGTGTATTGGGATCTTAGGCTTTGTTTGTGAGTTTGTATGATCAGTTTTAATATCTTGATTCTTTGCTTCTTTTTGACAAGTAATGATTATAATTCAGTGGACATCCAAATCCTGGAGGAAGGGGAGAAGATGCTTAACACTTTGAATCTTAATTTAGCATAAAACTTAACTGTTTTCCTTTCTTAGAGTCACCTCTATATGGATATAGAGGAGAAATAAGCAGTTTTTGTTGCTTTTCAGCATTAAGTAATTCAGTTTTGAAGAAACTACCGATTAAAAATGCTTTGGTTTTTTCCTTCCCCAAAATGTTTTGAGAGAGCTTACATGATGTCTTTTATTACTATCTTAATACCGAGATTTGTAAATAGAGCTGTGTTATAAAGAGACATGAAAATCTATTATTTTCTGTTCAGGATGTAAGATACCAACTATAGAGTACTATTTTAGATTTCTCTATGTTAGTCTTAAGGCCTTCTTATTTAGATTAATAAAATATTTACAATGATATTGATAAGAGGTTTATATTAATATTCCTAATTGTAGGTACTACTGATCTCTAGTAGTCTTGAACAAAGTGTAGGAAAGATCTTATTCATATGAAATTCTTTATACAGAATGATTAATGTAAACTATGTATATGTAGTAATATTTAATAACATCAACAAAAATCAAGATACTGGCTTATATAACTTGCCTAAAAGTGGTAGAGCTTAGCTTAAAATGACAAAAATCTAATGAGTCCCCTTTTACTCAAATCATTTTTAGTGGAAGGGAGAAAGGAAAATTCTATTCATGGAATAACTAGTTTTAAGTCATAGTAATATATTCCCAAAGGCAGATTTTTGGGACTATGAGTTTTCATAACTTTCTGCTTCTCCTGCTATGCTTTCATGGTTGATTAAACCTGATGATATAAGTCATGTTCAGTTTTTTAATGTTGTTAATGTTAGCTTTTGTTTTCACTTTTTTTCCTCTAAATGTACAGCCCTGAAATTTAACACATCTCTTTATGATGAAGCTTAAACAGAAATTCACAAAATGAAGCTGAAGCTGGTTTTTATTTTTTAATTATTTTTTACAGCTTTTGACATTAAGGGTTGCCTTCTCAAAAATGTGATAATGATTATAGATATTTCATTTTCTATTCTTCCTCAAATTTTGCATTTTATGTTAAAAATAGATATGCCTTATGTTTACAAGTATGATCGGTAAATAAACATACCATTTCAATTATAATGCAGGGCTTGTAAACCAAATAGACAACACCATTTTAAACATCTTATTATACATGCTAATGAAATTTCAAACTAGGAAGTTAGTATATTTCTGAAGGGAAATTAAAATATGATCGAATTTCCAATGATAGACTTCCCTTCCTTCCTCTGGAGATTGTCCATTATTTTTTAAAGCATGTATTAAGCTTGGTGTTCTTTTTGGTTTTTGTTTTTTTTCCAAAACATTTCAAAGTAATGAGTGAATTTAACTTTATCCTTCTTGACACATGGCTTATTTTCTGTCAGGTAGGTAACTTTTTTTGCAGGTATGTCTCAGAAATCTGTTCTATTGGAAAAGGAATGTATTGCATGTTAAGTAATTATTTTTTCAGGTTTTCAGAACAAAGGTTTCCTAACGGAATACAAATCTCAAACACATTATTAATTTCTTACCCTTTTTTTTCTCTCTCTCTCTCTCTGGTAGGTGTTTCAGGGACAGTTGGATTGTTTGGCTATATCAGCCATTCAGGCTTTGACAGCAGTAATGAACAAATCTCCAGCTGCTAAGGTGAAACATACATCCTCAGTTTCTAAAATGTTATGTTACTTTATTTTTATTAACATATAATGTATTATTAGCCCCAGGGATACAGGTCTGTGAATTGCCAGGTTTACACACTTCACAGCACTCACCATAGCACATAAGCTCCCCAAGGTCCATAACCCCACCACCCTCTCCCTACACCCCTCTGCCCAGCAACCCTCAGTTTGTTTTGTGAGATTAAGAGTCTCTTATGGTTTGTCTCCCTCCCGATCCCATCTTGTTTCATAAATTGTTGTTTTAGATAAACTAATTTTCACTGTATAATTCCCAAAGTAATATATGAAAGTATGTATATAATACCTGTGGTTTTACGCCTGAAGTGAAAAAGTCACAAACTATTTCAGTGTCAGAATCATTTTGCTAATAATTTTGGAGTAAAATACCTATGGGCACTACTTTGGGATTATACGATAGAATAGTCAACTAGTAGAGATTTACAGTGTCAGTCAACAAAGGTAGCACTGTGTTGAAATGATCATTTTATGTGATTCAATTGTTAGTGTGTCTAAGAATTACATTTTATATCATAGTTTTTCTTCATTAATAAAATAATTACTCTTTCACTATTTCTCAGTTTATGACTGCCTAGGTTGTGAACATTTTCTACATGTGAACAGCCTTATCAGTTTGGGACTTGTTTTTCCAGATGGCCTTGGAAATTCTTTTTTGTTACTCTCAGGGTTTTTTTTCTGTCTCATTCACGACCACTGACTTTCTCCTGCTGTTCACTCATGCTCGTTTTGTGCTAGTAATTGTCTCATTGAGTAGTTTTAAGGATTGGTGAGATCATCTGTGTAAAGTGGTAAGCATAGTGCCAGGCACATGGTAAATGCTTAATAATTATCAGTGTCTATCATCATCATCATTATTCTTACTATTACCGTTTTACCTTCTCTCTACCACCTCTAATATATTTCATGTTTTGCCTTTTTTTTTTCCCCCTGTTTTGCCTTTCTAATGGCAGACATGAGTGAATTATTCTTTGTTCCCTAAGCCATGCCTTCAGTAGTATTCCTTGCTTTCCACTGGTTTTTCTTAGGAATCTAACAATTGCTCTATAGTTGTTGCTATATATAACTCATGGTTAGATGCCTACCAGATAGGCTTTTACAACTTTTATAGGCTGGCTTGGGAATCAAATCCCATTTATAATAGTTGCTGTAAGAAAAAACATCATTTTAAGTTCTCAGTAATTGGTTTATGAGTATAATGGATTGGCACTGTATTATGATATTCAGACCTGGAATGATGTTCAAATCTTAACTAAAATATAAATTTTTTTATTATGTAATCCTTTGCATGGTTTAAAATTCAAAATGTTATTTTTAAAATAACCCTTTTTTGGGATATCTGGGTGGCTCAGTCACTTAAGCGTCAGACTCTTGACCTCAGCTCAGGCCTTGATTTCAGGTTGTGAGATTGACCCCCACGTCTAGCTCCATGCTCAGCATGGAGTATTCTTTAAAGTCTTTCTCTCCCTTTCCCTCAGCTCCTCTCCCCACTCATGCTTTCTCTCTTTCTCTTTTTCTTTTTCTCTCCCTAAATAAATAAAATAAATAGAATCTTAAAAAAAAACCCTCTTTTAAAAAATGATTGGTACTCTTTCAAGTTTTTATTTAAATTTCAGTTAGCATACAGTGTAATACTAGTTTCAGTTGTACAATGTAGTGTTTCAACAATTCCGTATAATACTCAGTGCTCATCACAAATACACTTCTTCTTTTTTAAGATTTTATTTATTTGACAGAGAGAGACACAGCAAGAGAGGGAACACAGGCAGGGGAAATGGGAAAGGGAGAAGCAGGCTTCCCACTGAGCAGGGAGCCCGATGGGGAGCTCAAACCCAGGACCCTGGAATCATGACCTGAGCCAAAGGCAGATGCTTAACGACTGAGCCACCCAGGCGCCCCAGTAGACTTCTTGGTCCCCATCACCTATTTAACCTGCCTACCCACCCACCTTCCCTCTGGTAACCATTAGTTTGTTCTCTGTAGTTAAGACACCGTTTCTTGCTTTGCACTCTCCCCCTCTCCTTTTTTTTTTTTTTCTTCCTTTTTTGCCCTTGGCCTGTTTGTCTTGTTTCTTAAATATCACATATAAATGAAATCATATGGTATTTGTCTTTCTCTAACAGACTTATTTCTCTTAATGTAATACTCTCTAGGTCCATCTGTGTCATTGCAAATGACAAGATTTCATTCTTTTTTATGGCTGAGTAATATTACATCATGTATATATTTATATGTTTGTCTCTCTATATCTATCTATCTGTACACACACATACTCTCACACTACATCTTCTTTTTTTTTTTTTTTTTTTAAAGATTTTATTTATTTGTCAGAGAGAGAGAGAGTGAGCACAGGCAGATAGAGTGGCAGGCAGAGGCAGAGGGAGAAGCAGGCTCCCCACAGAAGAAGGAGCCCGATGTGGGACTCGATCCCAGGATGCTGGGATCATGACCTGAGCTGAAGGCAGCTGCTTAACCAACTGAGCCACCCAGGCGTCCCACACTACATCTTCTTTACTCATTCATCAATTGATGGACACTTCGGCTGTTTCCATAATTTGGCCATTGTAGCTAGTACTGCTATAATCATAGGGCTACTGTATCCCTTTGAATTAGTATTTAAAAATGCCTTTTGAAAAAAGATTTTCTACCTACCCTTGGCTCACAGTCAACTAGTTTCCCTCCCCAGAGATAACCAGTTACCCATTTTGTTTGAATTATTTGATTTTATAGTAAGTGTATAAATTTATACCTGAGTTACTGGACCAATTTAGTGTTACTAGCTTTTTTGGTTATCTTTTTATTTTACTTTATAGTTTTGTGTGCCCACAAATTCAAAAATACATAGGACTTAGACCTTACTAAAATGAACTTGATGTTCCAGATAAGGTATTCCATTTAGATACGAAAAGCAGAGAGAAAACTACCTAGTTTTTTGTGGTCACCACTCAATATTGTGAGAACTCGTTAGTCTTCTGAGACTGCTGTCTGACTCCTGTTATCACCAGAGTCTCCTCATTTTTTCTTCAGTTTTGTTTTGACTTCACGTAATACTGTGTGATTACAAATCAAGTGAAGAAAGGAAGTGATTTTACCCTAATCTGAAATTAATATAATAATTTTATAATATACAATTATTGCTTATTTCATTTATTTTACATTTTGGTGGATTATGGTCACATCATATTTCAGGAGGTATGTGGAATCCATTTTAAGATGAAGAAGTGATGTAAGAAGCAAATATTGAACTCAGTCTTTTTAATATTAAGTTAATTAAACAGGTGTTACTCAGCATTTTAAATATTCCAACAAATTCAGTCTTTGAAAATGTGCTTTGTTGGATTTATTTCCCTTTTTCCCTTCCTCTAGGAAGTATTTAAAGAAAGAATTGGTTATACACATATGTTTGAGGTTTTAAAATCCCTGGGTCAGCCACCACGGGAACTACTTAAAGAACTCATGAATATGGTGAGTTTTTTAGCTTTATTAAACAAGTTCCATTATCTCCATTTCCAAGGTGGTTATTAACCTTTTGTCTTTTATGTTACTTTATAGGCTGTAGAGGGTGACCACACTTCAGTTGGGATTTTGGGCATTAGTAATGTCCACCCTCTCTTGCTTCTTATCCGGTGGCTTCCAGAGCTAGAATCCCATGATCTGCAAATCTTCATCTCTGATTGGCTGAAAAGAATTTGTTGTATTAATAGGCAGAGCCGAACTATTTGTGTCAATGCAAACATGGGAATTCACATCATCGAAACCCTTGATTCCCATTCTTCCCTCCACCGAACTTGTGCTGAGAACTTGATTGCACTTCATGGTTCCTTGGGGAGTCAGTCAGTGAGCTCAGAAGAAATCCGTCGACTACTAAGATTGCTGAGAGTGGATGAACCTGAGTATATTCACCCCTATACCACTCCTGTGACTCGAGCAATTCTGACAATGGCCCGAAAACAAAGTCTAGAGAGCGCACTGCAGTATTTTAACTTGTCACATAGTATGGCAGGAATTTCTGTGCCTTCCATACAGAAGTGGCCGGGGTCTGCCTTTTCTTTCAATGCTTGGTTTTGCTTAGATCAGGATCAGTTGACTGTTGGCAACGCTAACAAAGGAGGAAAAAGAAAACAATTGTACAGGTACTGTACAAGTTACGGAATATAAATGAATACTGTCATAACAGCATATGCTGTAATTCCCAAATAGGAAAAAGCTTTTCAAGCTTTTTAAATGCAGAACAGTTTAGCTGAAGCCTCTTTATCCTTGGGGTGTACACAGTTTAATTATAAGTGTTTTATTGCTTTCTTGATATTGATTACATAGCTCAAATATTTTGCCAGTTCTTAGGCTAGTTTGGGAAGAAAGTTCCTTCTTAAAAGTATTGTAAAAGTAGAAAAAAAAGAATAACAAATTTTAAAATGAATGGTGATCTTTGTGCTCCATTGAAGAATCTGTGTATTTATATGAAGGATCAGAAAACCTTTGTGTATGTACATCCAAACTTAAGTTACTTCAGTAACTAATAATTTTTAATATGCCTTGCGGTTTTTAAGACTTTCATTTATGCTTTCTGAATCCTATTTGAAAGAATTTTGAAGATTTGCAAGTTTATCATTTTACTGGAATTTTACTGGAATTTTAATGGAATTCCACTCATATGGCTACCTTTTATAATTTACTAAACCATTAATCCCCAGAAAGATTTAAGAATTATCTTTCAAGCAAGACTGGACTGATACTTGGCAGTAGAATGTAAGCCACAGCATTATTGATAAAGATAATCATGATAACATGGTTTTGTGTGTTTCAGTGGTGATAAAGCTGAACAACTGATTTCAAAAGTTCTGATAATATATATTTTTGTTAGCTTCTTTACAGGAAGTGGCATGGGTTTCGAAGCTTTTATTACCCATTCAGGTATGTTGGTTGTGGCAGTGTGCACAAAAAGAGAATATGCTACAGTTATGCTTCCTGACCACAGTTTCTGTGATTCCCTCTGGGTAAGGTTTTAGGACATCACATTTAACTTTCTGGTTCTTTCCTTTAAAAACACATTTGGTGCATGTACAATCAGGAGTTGTCTCCTTTTTGAGAGTTGATTAATTTTTACTTTAAAATTCTATGAATGTTCAAGTTTATAAGGAAGTTAATAACACTTTCCTCATCATTATAAATTCAGCAGCAGTAAGTTTTCTCCTAAAAAGTTAAAAGGAAATGTTATCATTCCTTTCAAGTTTTCTAGAATCAGATTTGATTTTGAAATTAATTTAAAATGAGAACATAAGTTATTGAAAACATTGCATTTCCATTGCTTAAGGTATAAATTGCTTCTTATTAGAAAAATTAATTGTAAAGAATACTCAGACTTGGAAAATGCAGAGAAGATACTGTGTTACATTTATGTACAAATTTCTAGAACAGATTAAATGCCTTTATACTTTATAGTACTACAGAAAAAATTGTCATTCACTTTAAGAACAGAATTTTAACCAGCATTTAATTATCTTAAACTCAATGTTCTATTGTTCACACAAATTAGTTATAAAGTAATACTCTGAAAACAGTTGTCATTCCAAAGATTTAATGTAATTTTAGTCTTTAAATGTATGTCTTACTTTATTAGCACAACATAACCATTGTTCACATGCCTGGAAAAAGACCCTTTGGTCAGAGCCTTGTCTTTATCTATGACAATGGACAGCAGAAGGTCTCTGCCCCTCTCAGATTTCCTGCCATGAATGAAGTAAGCACATCTAACCTACTCTTTTTTTTTTTTTTTAATTTAAATTCACTTAACATACCCGTGTATTACTGGTTTCAGAGGTAGAATTCAGTGATTCATCAGTCTTATATAATTCACAGTGTTCATTACATCACATGCCTTCACCCAGTTATCCCGTTGCTCCCTCTTCCCTCCCCCTCCAGCTACCCTCAGTTTGTTTCCTATGATTAAAAGTCTCTTATGGTTTGTCTCCCTCTCTGGTTTCCTCTTGTTTTATTTTTTCTCTCTTCCCCATGAGCCTCTTTTGTTTCTCAAATTCCTCATATCAGCTAGGTCATTAAATAATTGTCTTCTCTGATTGACTTATTTCGCTTAGCATAATACCCTCTAGTTCCATTCACGTTGTTGCAAATGGCAAAGTTTCATTTTTTCTTGATGGCTGCACAGTATTCCACTCTGTATGTATATAAAACACATCTTTATCCATTCATCTGTTGATAGACATCTGGGCTCTTTCCATAGTTTGGCTACTGTGGGCACTGCTGCTATAAACATTGGGGTACACGTATCCCAACAGATCACTGCATTTGTATCTTTGTGGTAAATGCCCACTAGTTCAATTGCTGGGTCATAGGGTAGCTCTATTTTCAACTTTTCGAGGAACCTCCATACTGTTTTCCAGAGTGGCTGCACCACCTTGCATTCCCACCAACAGTGTAAGAGTGTTTCCCTTTCTCTGTATCTAACCTACCCTTTATGGGACCCATTGATTGAGAACTTTTGAAAAATTTCAGTTTAATGTAGAAGGTTCTGTTTATTTTAAATATGTGCCCATGAATTTTAAAGTGTTTTCTATATTCTAAGATATAGTAAGTTAATATTTAATAATATTAGTCCATTATTATTAGATGAAGTCAGGCTTAAAATAGGAAAGCCAGAGAAATTGAGTAGAGCAGAGCAAAGGGTCATTAAGTAAAGCTCTCCAAGGGATGCCTGGCTGGCTCAGTTGGAAGAGCTTGGGACTCTTGACCTTTGGGTTGTGAGTTTGAGCTCCATGTTGGGTGTAAAGGTTCCTTAAAAATAAAATCTATAAATAAATAATAAATAAAGCCCACCAAGTATACAAAATACTTAGAGACGCTTTTGTTGGACTCATTTCCATCCCACTGAATTTGAATTAATAATGAAGAAACTTTAAGCCTTTACATATTATATTGTAGTCAAATATAAGATGGAATTTATTTACTGAGATAATTCTTAACGTTAGTGTAAAAGTTTTTTGAGAATTCTTAGATGATTTTGAAAGAGCCTTTATTAAAGATAACGAAATTTATTATTTCCCAAGTTCTTCTAGGATTCTAGTAATTTCTTTTTTTTTTTTAAGATTTTATTTATTTATTTGACAGAGATCACAAGTTGGCAGAGGTAGGCAGAGAGAGGGGGAAGCAGGCTCCCTGCCAAGCAGAGAGCCTGATGAGGGGCTTGATCCTAGAACCCTGGGATCATGACGTGAGCTGAAGGCAGAGGCTTAACCCACTAAGCCACCCAGGCTCCCTGGATTCTAGTAATTTCTTGTTGAAGTTCATCCTGATGCTCATTATAGGATAACCTGTAATTAGTATTATTATACTAATGTGTAGTTTTTTTTATAAATTTTAAAGGGAGAAAAGTAGTAATTTCCTCTATTTTAGAATATAGTAAAATAGTGGAAGTTTTTTAAAGTACTCATTGAAGTGTGAGTTATAAAAGTAATGCATCTAAATCCCATAGGCCGAAAGTAATATCTATAATCACTTTATATATGTGCACACGTGCACACATTATGATCCAATATAATTAAAACTTCCAGTTTTATCTTCCATCTATTTGTTTTCTTTATTTTATGTACTATTTTATTTTCAATATCAAGATAGAGATGTAATTAAAATTATGTGATTTATTTTGTTTCTTAATTTATAGCCTTTTATTTCCTGCTGCATTGGTTCAGCTGGGCAAAGAACCACCACTCCTCCACCTTCCCAAATCCCAGATCCACCTTTTTCTTCCCCCATTACCCCTCATCGGACATCATTTGGTGGAATTCTGTCGTCAGCCTCCTGGGGAGGAACACTTGAAAAATCAAAATTGATTACCAAATTGATATCAGCTGGAACCCAAGATAGTGAATGGGGCTGCCCCACATCTCTGGAGGGTCAGCTAGGGTCTGTTATCATCTTCTTTGAAGCACTACAGCCTCCTCAGGTGAAGGCATTGTATTTAGCAGGTGAGCATGTATAGTCATACTGTTTAAACTTAAATAGTCTTTTTGTTGCCTACATATATTTTGAAGAATATATTTGATCTGAAGAGTGTATTAGTATTTGTAATGGAAGCTGAAAGGGAAGAAGAAGCCTACTACATTCCATGCCCCCTCACTCCAACTTGATTAGGATATTATTGACATAAAACAGGTAAGTTTAGAAAGTACAATGTAATGATTTGATACACATGTATATTACAAAATGATTACCAAAATAAGGTTAGTTAGGACCTCCATCCCTCACATAATTACAATGTTTTACATGTGTGATGATAACATTTAAGATCTACTCTCTTAATAGCTTTTTGGGGTAAAATATAGTGTAGTTAATTATAGTTAATTATAGTACACTGTACTTTTTTTGGTAGGCATAAGTAAAGCAAACCTTTAGGAAATTTTTTAAAAAAATTTATTTATTTGACAGAGAGAAATCACAAGCAGACAGAGAGGCAGGCAGAGAGAGGGGGAAGCAGGCTCCCTGCTGAGCAGAGAGCCCAACGTGGGACTCAATCCCAGGACCCTGAGATCATGACCTGAGCCTAAGGCAGAGGCTTAACCACTGAGCCACCCAGGCACCCTAAGAAATTTTTCAAACATCATCCATAATAATGTCTGTATTAGTCTATTAGGACTGCTGTAACTCCATACCACAGACTTGGGTGGCTTATACACTATTTCCTCACAATTCTGAATGTTATAATTCCAAGATCAAATTTCCTTCAGGCTTGGTTTGTTGAGAACTCTCCCTGGCCTGTAGATGGCTACCTTCTCACTATGTACTCACATGGCATCCATCTTCACTTGGTGTATGTGCAAAGAGAAAGATATCTATTCCTCTTCTTATAAAGGGCCCTTTTGACATCACTTAACCTTAGTTACCCTGAAGACCTCCAAATATAGTCATAAAGAGGGTTAGAGCTTCAACATATGAGTATGTGGAGGGAACATTTTTCAGTATATAATATTGCCAATACTTTTGACAGATTTTAATAAATTGGTGAAACACAATATAAACCTGTATTTATAAGAAATCATATGACTGATTCTAAAATCATGTGAGTCTTGTTCTAAAACTTGTCATTTTTATAATTTATTGTTAATATACCTGAAGAAATGAGAACAGAAGAATTAGGAGACCTTGGATAAGATTATAAGCTATTTTTGTTTTGGCTTTTTCCTTTTCTTTTGGCTGTGATTTTAAAGATACACACTGATGGTTATTATTGGATCATAACTATTTTCAAAATTCAAAACTTCTAAGTATTCATATAAACTGCAGAAGAGCTATTTTATGTAAAAATACCTTTTTTAGGTAACATAAGAGTTTTGAGGTGAATGGGACTGCCCAAACTTTGAAAGTTTATATTAGAATCTTATCATTACTTTAAAACTCACCAAAGTATATGAAAGTGCTCTATAATCTAAATAAACTTAAAGTTACTGAGTCATTTAGTGTGGTCATTACAGCTTATATAGTTTGGATTTTATTTTCATTTTTCCAACTTATAATTCTACTCTTATAAAATAATAATTATTTGTTGTATAGTCTTCATAATGATTGTTTTGAATGGCTGCATAATAGTTCATTGAATCCATATTGCATGATTTACTTAGGTTGTTTATAATTTTTAATTTGATATAAACTTCAGGTATTAAATGAGATGAACTATTGTACTTTTGGTGTTTTTCCTTATTTGGGTGGGTTTACTTATGATAAATTCCCAGGATAAATATTCAGAGTGTTTGAATTTTTTTGGAGAGGGGCTCTCAATAATGTTGCCTAATCAATTTCCAAAAGGTGTATACAAATTCACAGTGCATACTAGTAAAATGTAGGTATACTAGTTTCACCACAGGCTCATTAAGATGGAATGATCAGTACTGTTTCCTCCATTTTTTGGTGTAAGATGGAACCTTGCTGTAATTTCTGTTTCTTTGATTTTTTAGTAAGTCCTATTATTTTACTGTTCAATTTCTATGTTATCTATTCACATTATTGGTTGATTGTTTTGCTCTTCTGTCATATAAATTTAAATTACATTAGACAAATTAATAGGTAAATTTAGTTATATTTGAAATTAGTCTTTTAATACCATATAAAATTTCCTTTCTGTAGTGGAGATCTAACCGCCCCCCAGCTTTTCTAGGTTTTAGACAAACTACAGGTGGTATAAAAATAAAGTTCATTTTGGCTATTATGTTTTTACTGTGTTAAGTAGCTGGAAACGACTTAATTTAAAATTTTATTCTAATTACACAAACCAAGGTGGCCATATATATTCAATGATGTTTGTGTATATGTGTATAAATAATTTTCAGGTCCAAACTGTTTAAGCCCTTGGAAATTTCAGGAGTCTGACATGGCTGACCTGCCTGCTAACATCCTTCTTCACTACACTGCAAAGGTGAGAGTAAATGCATGGCGTGTATCTAGTTGTAACTATCCTATGAGCTAAAATTCCTTTCTTGTTCCTTTTGTCATTTCAATGGATAATTAAGAAGGACAGACTTGAATTTCCACTAAAAAATTATTAATTTTCGAAAGAAGAGGAAAAGCAATAAAATTAAAGTGCAGTTCTCAACTAGGATTCAAATGTTAATTATTATGTCATCCCAGTAGTATGAGTGGGAATCGTTGGGGTGGGAATTTGTACTAATGAATTGACATCAGTAAATGAAACCATTTAAATTTTTTGTTATCCTACTTCTTTGGAAGGAGAGATTAAACAAAATTATGCTCAACATTTTTTTGTTTATTTTTAAAATGTAATGCAAGGAAACAAACCCCCAAAAATGGAATGTTTATTTCAGAAGGAGAAAAAAGAAACTGCATATATGCATAGCATGTGTTGTCCTTTTTCCTTCAAAGAGCTACCTAGTGAAAGTAATTAAGGTCAACAAGGGCTGAGGGAAAGATCAAATGTAGAACTGGGAGGAAGAAAAAGAAAAGTGGCATAAACAATATTAGTTGTCTTTGTTATACTAAATGTTACATTGACCCAGAAAGTGCTTTTTGTGAGATTATACACTGTAAAACTTTTTTTCTAGTTTAGCCAGATAGTACCTGGTCATAATTTATTACTTTGAATACTTATTTGTTATATTTGACCTAATAAAATTTACCTATCATTTGTATTCCCCTAACTTTTTATTTTAATTAATTTCAAGCCTAGAGAGGTTGAAAGAATGGTAAACTGAAATCCTGTGTACTCTCCATTCATTCGCTAATTCACTAATCACTAACATTTTGCCATACCTGTTGACTTTGTTTCCAGTCTTTTGTGAAGGCAGATTGACTTAACTATTAGACACTTTACTCCTAAGTATTTCTGTGTAATCATTAACGTACCCAGGAAAATTATGAATAATTTCTGTACTATATGATTCATTCAGATTTTCCCAGTTTTCCCAAAAATACTTTGTTTAGCCTTTTCAAAACTTTAATCTGGAGCAAGGTTCATGCATTGCGTTGGCTATCATGTCTCTTGGGCCTCCTTTTTTTTAGTGTTTGCCTTTTGTAACATTAACTTTTTTCCAAAGATATGTTTGTCTGCTGAACTAAACTTTATTTTCTTGGCAAGAACTATATCATATACTTATTTTTACTCTATTATAAGTAGATAGGAAATAATTGAATTTAATCTCACTAATGTATCTGGTAGCATGTTCTAGACATGTGATAGCTAACGGAATCTTTCTGGCATTGTGGTTGTCATATTCTTTTTTCAGATTTAAACTTGATAACATTAGGTTGAATTTTTATTATTGGAACTTCCAACAGTAAAAAATTTGTAATAAGAAAATAGCCATTCTTGTTTTACTTCAAGAAACTCAGATGACAAATATATACAATAAAGAATTTCTTGGAAGAATATTTCTTGAAAATGGTGATAAAATCATGATACGAGGGTTCTGTGTTTAACAGAGTTTTGGAGAAATGTATTCCGTATATCCATTTTTGGAGATTGATGATACACTTGAAAAATCTTGTTAGAATCCTGTTAGAAACTAGTTTACTTTTATTTTATCCTACTTTTTCACCAGTTATTTGAGCATAGAACATGTTCTATTTTTTAATCTCACTTACTAACAAATGCTAGTCTGGGAGGAGCTGCTCTAGAGGATTTTTTTGACAGTCAACAGTTCTTCATTTTTGTACTCATTTGTAGGAGGTGTTAAACCATCCATTACTGGTAATTTTTTGAGTGTCTTCTCCGAGCCAAGAATTGTGCGGAACTTTCAGGATATAAAGATGAATAAAGTGTCTGACTTTAAGAAGCTTATAACCTAAAGTCAAGTAAATATGTAAAAAAAAAAAAATAAGTGCAATATAATTTTATGAGCATTTTTCATTTTAGTTCTCATTTATTATTTACACTATATCAAACATTATGCTAAATGTTTTACATGTATTCTTTCACTTACCCTTCACAAAAATCTAAGGGTTATATGATATTACTTGTGTCTTTTATAAGTCTAGTTTTCTTAGGCTCAGTAAAGACAAGTAACTTGCCTAGCCTCATAATTGTAGTGAGTGGTAGTGCTGGATATAGAACTCAGCCTATTTAATGCATATCCTTAACCTATACAATATTTCTGTGTTGGAATTAGGTACAAAATACAGTGAGCAACAAAGGAGAGTGGTTGGTTCTTTCAGAAGGCTAGAAGATCATAGAAAAGATGGTTTGATTTCTGTTTTAAAAAGCAGAGTTGATGAGGCATGTGCCAGGCCTAACAAGCAGCACCTTCAAAGGCACATACTATAAAACTGGGATCTACATATATTTGGGTTTAGGGCACTAAGTAAGCAGGCACTAAGAAGAGAAGATGGCAGGAAATTAAATCAGAGGGCGCGTGGAGGCCAGATGATAGCAAGCCTCCTGTGCCAGACTAACTAGGCAGTGCACAGGATTTTGAGGAGAAGAACAAAATATAATTAGATTTGCATTTTAGAAAAAAGGTCTGAAGTTGCACTGTGAAAGTTGGATTGGAGGGATAGCAGATGGGAGGCAGTCATGCCATAAGGAGTTTTACTGTGTGAGGACAAGTCATAGATACATGATATCCAAACAAAGGTTGTAATGGGAGAAAAACATTTCTGTCTCTGAGACTAATATAGTTTACATTGGGTTAACTGTAAACTCGATTTACATTTGTTTTATTAAAGCATATTTCCTCCGTTGCTTTAAGAAGAAAATAACTAATACATCATTTGTGCTACAATTTATAGGGTTTGTGATTTTTTTTGTTTTTTTGGGGGGTTTTTTTGGAATGGTGATTGGATTCAAGGATACTTCATTATCTGCAAATTCACAGATTGAACATGAAGTTGTGTGCTTTATAATTCTTTATGGAAGTTAATAAATTTGACAGTTTCTAGAATTATGGACTAGACTCTGAGTATGAATATAACCAGAATTGTCAAGAACATGGAAGAAAATAGTGTCTATGTCTGTGACTGGATTTTTGTAAATTGTTTTGTGATTTTTTATATCACATTTTAACCATGTATTTTATATGTATCAGTGAAATTATGCCTAGTGAAATACTGATGGGAATAAAACACAGAACTTTTTTTTTTTTTTTTAAGATTTTATTTATTTTACGGATGGAGATCACAAGTAGGCAGAGAGGCAGGCAGAGAGAGGGGGGGAAGCAGGCTCCCTGCTGAGCAGAGAGCTGGATGTGGGGCTCAATCCCAGGACCCTGGGATCATGACCTGAGCTGAAGGCAGAGGCTGTAACCCACTGAGCCACCCAGGTGCTCCCAGAACACTGAACTTTTTAAAAAGCCAAAAATCTGTTTGCATATAATTGACTTAAAACTTCTCTATTTTTAATTGTTTTAACTTCACAGAATTTTAAAAAAATTATTAATTGAAGTATAGATGACACACAATGTTACATTAGTTTCAGGTGTACAACATAGTGATTTGACAAGTCTATGTTATGCTATGCTCACAAGTGTAACTGCCATCTGTCACTATACACCACTGATACAGCACCACTGACTGTATCTCCTTTGCTTTACTTTTTATCCCTGTCACTTACTCCTTGCATAACTGGAAGCAAAACCCTTCACCCGTTTTGCCCATGGCCCTCTCCTCCCCTCCCCTGTGGCAACTATCACTTTGTTCTTAAAAGAGAAAAAATTTTAAACTATGGTGATTGGTGAGTAAGTTGTTGCTATAGCTCATCTGTCAAATGGCATGCAGCAGTGGCCTATTTTTGATGAGTGAATGCTTTAGAATCTAGTCCCTGATTCTTTTAAAGGACAATTAGAATAGTAATACTAAACTTCATATTGTAACCATCTTATCTTTGACTATAATATATACCCTTTTAAATTATAGTGAAATGTTTCACATATAGTTAAAATTATGTTTTGTCCTCATTGTGCTTAGCTGTTTGCCATATTTTCCTTTTATTCTTAGGCCTGCAAAAATTCAATCTGTCTTGATTTATCTACTAATTGTTTGCATGGAAGATTAACAGGAAACAAAGTAGTGAACTGGGACATTAAGGTAAGTTAATGATGAGCTATATAATATGTAACTTTACTGATCCTTTTAAAGAGTTTAACTTTTAAGCACCGCCGGATTGATCTGAATAATAAGTTCCGGTGAAAATTTTTGCAGGCAAGATAAACTGAAGTATAAACAGATAGGTAGTTGGATGATTAATTTGCTTGAAACTTAGTTACCTCCTTAAACTATGTCATAAATTTAACAGTTTCCTTAAGAAGAATATACTGTCTTGGTTCATTGCTCCACTTTTAAGGTATTTAATCCCTAAAACTGTGTGGCAGATTTCGACCCCTCCTAACCTCTCAGGGACTTCATTGATTATCATTTTTCTTCTCTATTACTTCTGTCTGTAGTCTCCTGTTTGTTAGCTTTGAACACAGATCTCTCCTCTGTGAGGCTAAAGATGAGAGACTTTCTTCTTCCCCGCATCCCTCTCTAGCTATCATGACTTGTCTGTCTTCTTGATGTGCCTCATATGTGTGTGTCAGTTGGACATAATGTCTTTGGTTCTATCTAAGAGGCCTCTGTTTATTTTCTAAGACTGAGTTAACCATTTTTGTCATGAGTACTGTAACACTTTATCATTTCACTTATTGTAAATAGTGACTTGCTTGATATTTGCTTGCTTTGATTCTCCAGTAGTCCTTAAGAACTTTGAAAGGACGTACCACAGCTTTTTTCCACTTGTGCATTTTACAAGGATATGCAGTAACATTGTTTACTGAATTGTTAAATTAATAAAGGTTATTTAGATTCATGTCAAGTTAACTTGACTTTAGAAAGTCAAGTCAGAGATACCCTATTTCTAAAATATAGTATTCCCTTGCAAGTTATCTTACAAAGAAATTATAGCCTAAGTAAAATTAAAAATATAAAAGATAGTTATAAGGCAACTTGCTGGTAAATTGGCAAAAAAAAAAAAATATATATATATATATCTTTTATATATATATATTTTTAAGAATTTATTTATTTATCGTAGTGAGAGACAGAGCACAAGCACGGGAGGGGCAGAGGGAGAGGGACAAACAGATTCCCAGCAAGTAGCCCAGTGTGGGGCTGGATCCCAGGAACCTGAGATAATGACCAAGCCAAAGTCAGATGCTTAACCAGCTGAGCCACCCAGGTGCCCCTCTTTTTTTTTCTTTTAAACACTTATTTATTTAAGAGCATGCACATTTAAACGGGGGGGGGGGGGGGGGTAAGGGAGAGGCAGAAAGAGAGAGTCCTCAAACTGAGCTGAAATCAAGAGTTGGATGCTCAACGGACTGAGCCAGACAGGAGTCCCCCAGATCCCTTTTATCTTGTAGTCGGTTAACACTGATTAAATACACTTACTGTTTCAGTGGAACAGAGGTAATTAGAATAATTCTGCCAGTGTAAAAATGAATCTATCAGTTAATGTTAGTCTTGTGTTATTCTCGTGGTATAAAGCATTTTTCTCTTTGACTTTGAGATGAAACCACTTAATTTTACCTGTTAAAATAGTAAGATTTATGACATTTGTCCATTTATAAGTTAACTTTTGCTGTCACTTGTAAGATTGGCCTTATAAGGCTAGTTGCATATCTTACTTATATATAGAAAGCTGATTATTTTTGCTATACATTATACTTGAAAATCAAAGTAGTTTTTGGTGCCTTTGAGTTATAACTGTGGGAAATCAAATGGCAATAGAATTAATAAGAACGTTCATTGTGTTTTTTTCCTTCAGAAAATTATATTTTACTTTTTTGTTAGTTTTAAGAGCTATTTTTACTAGTGTCAGAGGTAGAACTTAGTGATTCATCAGTTGCATATAACACCAAGCTCTCATTCCATCAAGTGCCCTCCTTAATGCACATCACCCAATTACTCCATCCCCCCACCCACCACCCCTCCAGCAGCCCTCAGTTTGTTTCCTAGAGTTCAGTGTCTCTTACATTCATTGTATTTTTATACTGCAACAAAATCAAACACAAAAATAGTTAAATGACAACTGAGAAAAAAATACTTGCCATCCAAAAAGTTAATTTGCTTGCTATTACCTTAAAAATCAATATGAAAAACAGGCAAAAAGTATGAAGAGGGTTCTTTAATAAATGAAACTCAGTCTTGGTGGCAGATCGGAACATTTTAGCAGTTAATGTTGGCTAACCTTGGGTAGTACCCGGTTTGTAAGACACTATTTAGTAACTTGTTAAAGAATATGGACTGTATTTTGTTAAGCTATGCAAAATAGTCACTTTGAACTTCTGTTGAAACCACCCACTTCACTTTTTTGTTAAGTAAAAGGAGAGGAGTCAGTCATATTTCTACCACCAAATGTAATTTTTTCTTAATTTATTTTGTTGTTCATTATACTTAATTGCCTTTGACAGTTGTTTCCTCTTATTTCATTAGTGTTGTATTATAAAGTCTACTTAATGGGGTCAAATTTAGATTGCCTGTGTTTGTGAAAGGGTCCGTAGACAAAAGGACGAGACTGTTACAAAGCAAAGGTCAAGCAAGGCTTTATTTCGTGCCAAGCATTGAGAATCAAACTGACCGGCCAGGGCCGTCTCTTGCAAAGAGGCGACCCCCCCCCCCACCAGCCTCACAGACTAACTTTTATAGAGTAAAGGCCATGTGGTTGAGCCTGACTACACACAGGTGGCCAATTGAATTACATTCTACCCCATAGTAGTTATTTGAATTAGCCTATCACCCTGGTCGGAATTGGCGCCCAAAAGGCAGGGCCCACATTCTTGGGTGGTTAGGGAGGTGCTTTCCTGATTGGATGTCTCCACCTGGCCGAACATGTCCTTGGCGGGTAGGGAGGTAATACGTGCACTTTCCCTTGATTGGACGTTTCCATCTGGCTGGACACGTCCTTGAATCTGGACTCCGTTATCGGGGGCTATTTGGCTGTATTTCACCAATTCTGTTTCTAAGCGCTTTCCTCTTGGGGGAAGGGGCATGTTCAATCTAAGTTTACTGCATAAACAACAGAATGGCTCGCTCTGGCTAAGTAGGCCCTTACATTTGGAATCCCTAAACTTTGGAAAACAAAGGTGCAGTAAAAATGGTCTGGCATAGTCTCAAGTATCGACCATGGTGACCCCATGGCTATTCTTTAAAGCAGCTGCCCAAACAAGGGTTCCTTTAACTTCGACATTGCCTGAAAGCTTGGCAAACTGTAACTTTATACATGCTTGTGTGAATAATAAATGACAGAATTGTCCTTGTTTTATAAAATTAAAAAATTGTAATTGTCTTTTTTCAGGACATCATAAACTGCATAGGTGGATTAAATGTATTGTTTCCTTTGTTGGAACAAATCAGCCACTTTGGTGAAGGACAGATTTCTGAAGGAATGAATGAAAGCACAGTTTCTGAATTGATAACGCCTGTAGAAGGAGATTGGGTTGTACTGACCTCCACGAAGGCATCAGGTATTGAGATAAAGTTAATACAAAATAGTCATTGAGAGATTTGGTTATTAATTGAAAAATAGATAAAAATGTCTTAACCACCGTTAGGAAGAAACTTAACCATTTGTAGCTGAAGCAGCCCACTCCTAATTTTACTAACGTGATTCAAAAAGTTCATAATACCTTAGTCAAAAAAATTAAGAAATTGGTTTTACTCTTGACTATCCTTAATTTGTACTATTAGTGGAAATATGATAGAACTGCTAAATTTAGGGTAATGAAAATATTTGCATGTGTATGTAAGTGTATGATATGCAGTCACTGCTTTTCTCTGACACTTGCATTCTGCAAGTGACCTTTGGAAACAAATTGCTCAACCAAAGTTCTTGTTTGTTACAACACGTGCTATAACATAGAAAATGTGATGTAAAAGTGATTAGAGTAATTATGATAATTAAAGACATGTTCACAATTCCTCAGAGTCAAGATTAGAAAGGAATTTAATTGCAACATTTATCTTGATTGTGAAGCACTTTATTCAAAGACATCCTATCAACCAGGACAATCTTACTCACTCCCATGGAGTTGCCACTCTTGGTGCCTTGCTGCAGAAGGTGAGCTAGTTTAACATTCGAAGATACGGCCAATGATTGTAATTAGCAGTTTGTCTTTAGGGGTTTTCTTCTTACTAAGTAAATGTTTTTTTAAAAACACTATTGTGGCTTCAGTTATATTAGTGGACTTAATTTTATTTCACAGGCAGATTTTTAAAACCTACTCTGAATCACCTTTTTACAAGAATTACTCATCTTATATAACAGTATATAATCTTTGATATGTAGGACTTTGTTTATCTTGGTATTTGGGATATTTGATAAATCTAAAACTGTTGTGGAAAAATATGTTCTAATGTACATTGGTAAATTAAAGTTTTTATTTTTGTAACAAAGATTCTCATATTTAGATGTTCTAAATTAATCATTTGAAATTAAGTGTAGCTTAATGATAATTATTAAACTGAAATTTACAGGACCCTCATCTGTTTGGATTTCAGGTGCCAAGCTCCTTGATGGATGTTAATGTACTGATGGCAGTTCAGTTATTAATTGAACAGGTGTCATTAGAGAAAAATATGCAGCTCCTGCAGCAAATGTATCAATATTTACTTTTTGACTTCCGTATTTGGAACCGTGGAGATTTTCCCTTTCGAATCGGTGAGAACAGTCTGTTGGATCAAATTTTACATTTGTTTTAGAAATTTATAACTACTTGTGAGGTTTTATTTTAGTTATTCATTTAAGAGTGAACTTTGTATTTTAGGTCATATACAGTATCTTTCCACCATCATCAAAGACAGCAGGAGAGTTTTCCGAAAGAAGTATGGTGTGCAGTTTCTCCTAGATACACTTAGGATTTATTATGGGTATGATGTCCTTGCTCCTTCTCAGTTTGATGTTGTTTTCTGCCTGCTGCTTGCTTGGAATGTCTAGATTATTTATTTTCCAGAAATTTTAATATCCTTTAACTTCAGAAAGATGATGCAGAGGTTAAGATGATGAACAATGGATCACGTAGATTGGGTTTGAATCTTGTGTTTCGTTAATTGTCTGATTGTAGGCAACTTACTCAACTTTTCTGTGCTTAAGTTTTCTTGTCTGTGACAAAGAGATAATAAACCTGTGACATCCTGTCCATTTTGAGGATTAAACTAAATGCATTAATAACATGTAAAGCACTTAAAACTGTGTCTGTCACCTAGTGTTGTTTAAATATAAGCTGTTTTAACTATATCTTTGTCATTGAAACCCAAGGTTTTCCTTAAAAGGAAAAAGAAAGATACCATGAATTCTAATAGTTACATGGAAACATCTTTTTTTAAACTAAGAATTCTTTTGTATAAAAAAAGCACTAAAATGTAAACATTTTAAATTTCAATTCTTGCACTTTTACTTTCTCTTTCAGGAGTGATTGTAAATATAGTGAGCTGTCTCTAGAAGACATTCGGACAATAAGGAATTCTTTGTATGGACTAATTAAATATTTTCTGTGCAAAGGTGGAACTCATGAAGAGATACAGAGTATTATGGGTTACATAGCTGCTATCAATGAAGAAGAACAGGTATTTTGCTCAAGAAAAATCTGTTTTTTCTTTTTCACACTTAAGTTGCTATATCATCTTTTGAAATTATACATATATTAAAAATATTTTAAGAGTAAGATGTTTATTATGTAAAATATAGTATTTTGCAGTTATAGAAGTAAATTTTTATTTCCTAACTGAAAGTTAAATAAAATAATAGATGGTGATGCAATAAAATATTCTAGTTAGCTAAAAAGTAGTATCTGGAAATAGTTGTTTGGCAGTTCTGAAGCCTTTTTTCATAGGTCACACAATGTATACTTACTTGTCATCAAAGATACTGGGCAGATTTCTGACATGAATTTTAACATAGGTTCTTAAAAATTTTGCATAAAGAATAAATTATATTTCTATTTTTATATACTTTTACGTACATTTCTCATTTATACCTCAGAGCTACCCTTTAAGACAATAGTTCTCAATGTATGGTTCCTGACCAGATTTACCTGTCATAAACGCACACTTACTGAACCACGCCTTCCAGGTAATTATGGTGCATGGTAAAATTTGAGGACCACTGATGTTAAGTATACAGACCAGGAATCAGTATTCCCATTTGCGCATTTGGAAGTACTTTTCAGGTAGATTAGGTGACTTAAAAAGTCATACATCTGACAAACACGGGAACAGAACACAGGCATATTTACTGCTGTTTCTCTGCTCTTTCTGTATACCACTCTCAGCACCAAACTTAAGTATCCTTAATTTATGCTGATTCAAATATTTTGTGCTCTATAATGAAGTATTTGTTGTGTACTCAGAGATTACATGACTTCATAATTGATTTATATAAGTGAGTTAACTTAATCTATTTCCCCATAAAGTTAGACTACTTCAGAAGCTTCTTTTGGGGTGCCTGAATGGCTCAGTCAATTAAACATCTGCCTTCGGCTCAGGTCATGATCCCAGGGTCCTGGGATCAAGCCCCACATCAGGCTCTTTGCTCAGTGGAGAGCCCACTTCTCCCTCTCCTCTGCTGCTCCCCTTGCTTTTGCTCTTTCTCTGTCAAATAAATAGATAAAATACTAAAAAAGAAGAAGAAGAAGAAGTTTCTTTTTATTTAGAGTAACCAATAGTCTTATTTCATGATAGCTGTGTTGTCACCCACTGTGATTCATTGCCAGTGATATTTTCTTGGTCAATTCAGTCAAAGAGGTATTTACTGAATGCTGATTATACACACAGAGTAATAGTAGATACTATAGGTATGTTATAATGAATGAATTAGCATTCTTTTAACCTAAGAGAAGCAAGGGTGGATAAGAGAGGTTTATAAATAATTATGAAACAAACAAACAAAAAAAGACTATGACAACAGCTATAAGAGAGAAGCAAAGTCCTATGAGGTTTTCATAGAAGAGTATTACTGTTGAGAAGACCAGGAAAGGTTTTATGGAAGACATGGTTTTTTATGTGGCTACAGCATTATACATATGGCCTAGCAGGTGAATATTCGTATTGAAAGGATCTACAAAAGGAAATAAGCCAAAAGCATAATGGAGGTAAAAGGCAGGGCTATTTCAGAAGACATCAGATCATTGAGTTAAGCACTAAAACATTAGGGTATATAGGATTTAGTTTAAATAACTGTTTGTGGTTTATGACTTTATTTGTACTTCCATATATAAGTGTGGTTGTTTGTTTTGTGTTGTTTAATTTTAAAAGCTCTTTGGAATTTTGGATATGCTCTTCAGTCTCCTCCGTACCAGCCCAACTAGAGGTCAGCTTTTCTTGTTGCTGTTTGAACCAGGAAATGCTGACATACTTTATGCCTTGCTGTTAAATCAGAAGTACTCTGACAGACTAAGAGAAATCGTTTTTAAGGTACAAACATTTCTTAAGCATCTTTATATTTGGGGACATTTGTGAGTATATGAATTTACTTGTAAATATCCATTTTATGAATGTAAATTCTCTTTTCATGTCTACTTTAATTTTAAGTTCTTGTATGGGTGCCTGGCTGACTCAGTAGGTTAAGTGTCCAGCTCTTGATCTTAGTTCAGGTCTCAGTCTCAGGATCATGGGTTCAAGTCCTACGTTGGGTCCATGTTGGGTGTGAAGCCTACATTAAAAATTAATTAATTAATTCTTCAGTTTGTTTTGATATATATTTCTCCTATTTTGAACATTTAAAAACTAATTGTATTGTAATCTGATCAGTTATTTAGTGGAAAATCCACTTTGTTATATCATCCTCAGTATAAAACCTCTCATTTCCCTTTTTTGCCTTCTTTTATTTATTTATTTATTTATTTATTTTAAGATTTTATTTATTTATTTGACAGACAGAGATCACAAGTAGGCAGAGAGGCAGGCAGAGAGAGAGAGAGAGAGAGACAGGAGGAAGCAGGCTCCCCGCTGAGCAGAGAGCCTGATGTGGGACTCGATCCCAGGACCCTGGAATCATGACCCAAGCCGAAGGCAGAGGCTTCAACCCACTGAGCCACCCAGGCGCCCTGCCTTCTTTTAAAATACATTTTTTTATTTGAGTATAATTGATATGTAATGTTACAGTAGCTTCAGGTGTACAATGTAGTGATTCTACAAGTTTATGCATATGCTGTGCTCACCACAAGTGTAGGAACCATCTGTCACTATACAACCTTATTATAATACCATTGACTATGTTCCCTTTGCTCTACCTTTTATTCCTGTGATTTACTCATTTCATAACTAGAGGCGTGTACCTCCCACTCTCTTTCATTAATTTTGTCTCATTTCTCTTTTGACTTACCATGGGTCTGTGAGGCAGGTCAGACATTTTAGCAGTTAATTATAATAACCAACCTTATGTAGCACCCACTATTTATCAGGCAGTAAACATTCTTCATATATTAGCTAGCTTAGTCCTTGCAAAAACTTTACGAAGTTGATATCATTAGTCCCATTTTACAGATAAACTGAGGCCAGAGAGGTTAGTAACTTGTCAAAGGATAATGAATATATTTTGTTAAGCTATCCAAAGTAGTCACTTTGAACTTTAGTTGAAGCCATCCACCTTACCTTTTTTGTTAAAAAAAAAAAGAGTTAGTCGGGACGACTGGGTGGCTCAGTGGGTTAAGCCTCTGCCTTCAGCTCGGGTCATGATCTCAGGGTCCTGGGATCAAGTTCTGCATCGGGCTCTCTACTCAGCAGGGAGCCTGCTTCCCCCCCACCCTTCTCTCTCTCTGCCTGCTTCTCTGCCTACTGTGATCTCTCTCTGTCCATGAATAAATAAAAATCTTTAAAAAAAAAAAAGTCATATTTCTACTTCTCATGATTTATTCTGTTCATTATGCCTGATCGCCTGTGACATTTGTTTCCTCTTGTTTCATTAGTGTTACATTATAAGGTCTACGTATGTGGTCAAGTTTGGATTGCTGCTGTTTGGAATCCCTAAACTTTGGAAAACAAAAGTGCAATAAAAATTACCTAGCATAGTCTCTCATGAGTATTAATTATGGTGACCCCTATGGCTGCTCTTTAAAGTATCTGCCCAAACAAATGTTCCTTTATGGAGATTAAATGTTAGTTGTTCAAAAATGGCCTTATATGGATTGCTCATCATATTATTCTGCCAAAATTACCCTTTCCATAGGGTTTCAGTATGTCACTTTTAAAACATTGATCTCACTTCAAAAAGTATGGAATTACTAATTCATTCTCCCATTTTGGCATATGGATGTGTTGCTTCACAAAATGTTTCCTTGTTCTTGACAATTATTTTGATAACTCTTATATAAATGTTACATAAATGTTAGATAAATCACTAGATGGATCTGGAATATCCTTTTTCTCTTTCACAACATACTTTTGTTTTTCATGGAGGCTGTAGGGTTTGTTTCTAAGCCTTAGCCATTAAAAAGGAAGTTTTAAGTTATTTCTTTGATCTGCAACACATGTAAACACAGGAAGCACATGTAAACACATGCAAACACATGTAAACTACAGGTTTAAATATATTAATTATTTAAATACAAATGCATTTTAGTTCAATCTTCTTAAATCCATTTTTTAATAAGAGTATGATATGGAATATTCCTCCCTGTTACTGCTGGGTTTGTTTGTTACACTTAAGGAAAAAATGATTCTCCAAAATCATGCTTGTACAGTAACATTATATTTAATATTAACTTAAGTGACAGACTGTTCTTAGTTCTCTGTATTGAGAAGAATATATTACTGTTGTGACCAGGTTATGGAACAAATGTTGAAATGCACAAATGTTTATGAACGAAGTAAACAACGTATTCGGCTCAGAGAAGTTGGCTATTCAGGATTGGGACTTCTTCTTAATGAAGCACCCATTAATACCTCTCTCATTAAAAGCCTCACCAATCAAATTATAAATACAGGTATGATTAAGGCTGATAATACTGATATATTTAAGAAATGTTCTTTGTAGTAGCATAATTCTGTTTGATGGTTCTCAATTGTTTTTTTCTAAAGAGTTTTTTTTTCCCTTCCTCAGGTTACTTTTTAACTATTTATTGTTTGATTCAGCAGGGCTTTTCTTGGGTACTATTTTTTATTTACCTTTTTTGTTTTTGTCTCCCCAGGGCATAGTATAGTACCTTACTTGGTAGGCTTTCAATAATTATTGATTCATTGATTAGTAAATAATAGGGTCCTCTATAATAAGAAAAGGATGCTGGAGAAAATAACATACAAAACATGGTTTTTTTTTCTTTAGGGAGCTTAAACCCTTAATTTCAGATATTCTTTTAGATATTCTTTTTTGTTTCTCTTTTTTTTTTTAATAAAACTTTTTTAGTACTTACTATAAACTGTAGTGTTTATGTCAGATGCTAAGGGTTCAAAAGGTATAAGTTAAGGTTCTTTGTTTTGAATGGTTTATCTTCTCATTGATAAGTATATAAGATATAAGACATTTACATAAAAAGATAAATAATAGTACAAGATCAAAACAGTATGGATGGTGTGTTCAGGCAACTAAAAGAAAAGAACAGTTATTTAGGGCTTACTCAGGAGACTGTCAAATATTCTAAATCTATTTTCTTCATAAAATTTAAACATCTGTAATTCTTACTTTATTTCTTTAAAGATTTATTTATTTTAGAGAGAGTGCATATGGGGGAGGGTAAGGAAGAAGGAAAGAAAAAGTCTTCAGACATACTCCCCAACACAGGGCTTGATCCCAGGACTCCGAGATAATGACCTGTGGTGAAATCAGGAGTTAGCTGGTTAATTGGCTAAGCCACCTTGGAGCCCCTCTATAATCCTTATTTTATTTTATTTTTTTTTAAAGATTTTATTTTTATTTATTTGACAGACAGAGATCACAAGTAGGCAGAGAGGCAGGCAGAGAGAGGAGGAAGCAGGCTCCCTGCCGAGCAGAGAGCCCGATGTGGGGCTCGATCCCAGGACCCTGGGATCATGACCTGAGCCGAAGGCAGAGGCTTTAACCCACTGAGCCACCCAGGCGCCCCTATAATCCTTATTTTAAATGAGACAGTTATTTCAGTATTTATATAACTATTTCCCACAGTTCAGTCTTTGAGAAAGAATTTGAAAAAGAAGAGGATAGCTGGAAGCATCACAGTTCTTGATTTCAAACTATACTACAAAGTTACAGTAATCCAAACAGTATGGTACTAGCATAAAAACACACATAGACCAGTGGAACAGACTTGAAAGCCCAAAAGTAAAACCATGTATATCTGGTCAACTAATATGTGACAAGGGATCCAAGAATACTCAGTGGGGGAAAAATAGTCTATTCAGTGAATGGTGTTAGGAAAACTGGATATTCATATGCAAAAGAATGAAAATGGGCGGGGCACCTGGGTGGCTTAGTGGGTTAAGCCTCTGCCTTCGGCTCAGGTCATGATCCCACGGTCCTGGGATCGAGCCCCGCATCAGGCTCTTTGCTCAGCAGGGAGCCTGCTTCCTTCTCTCTCTCTGCCTGCGTCTCTGCCTACTTGTGATCTCTATCTGTCAAATAAATAAAATCTTAAAAAAAAAAAAAAAGAATGAAAATGGGCCCTTATCTTACACCACTCACAAAAATTATCTTGAAATGAATTAAAGATTTAAATGTAAGCCCTGAATTATATAACTCCTAGAAGAAAACATGAGTAGGAGGAGAAGTGCTTACATTTGTCTTGGCAATAACACCAGAAACACAAGCAGTAAAAGCAAAAATAAACAAGTGGGACTTTATCCAACTAAAAAGCTTCTCCACAGCAAGAAAAACCATCAACAAAGTGAAAAGGCAGTCTATAGGGTGGAAGAAAATACTAGTGAATCAAATATCTGAGAGGGAATTAGTATCTAAAATATGTAAGGAAATCATACAACATAGCAAAAAAAATCCAATTAAAAAATGAACAAGGTACTAGACACATCACTGGGGGCAAGGGAAACAAAAGCAAAAATGGACTATTGGGACTTCATCAAGATGAAAAACCTCTGTATAGCAAAGGAAACAATCAACAAAACTAAAAGGCGGCCTATGAAATAGGAGAACATACTTGCAAATGAGGGTTAGTATCCAAAATCTGTAAGGAACTTATTGAATTCAACACCCAAAAAACAAATAATCCAGTTAAGAAATGGGCAGAAGACATGAATAGGTATTTCTCAAAAGAAGACATCCAGATGGCTAAAAGGTACTCAACATCACTCATCATCAGGGAAATACAAATCAAAACCATAATGAGATACCACCTCACACCTGTCAGAATGGCTAAAATTAACAATACAGGAAACAGCAAGGCTGCAGAGAAACAGGAATCCTTTTGCATTGTTGGTGGGAATGCAAACAGGTGCAGCCACTCCGGAGAACAGTATGGCAGCCTAAAAAAGCTAAACATTTATAAATTCCTACTTAGGAATGTATGGCAGTTCCTAAAAAAACTACCTTATGATCCAACAATCGTACTTCTAGGTATTTACCCAAAGGATACAGAAATAAAGATTTGAAGGGGTACATGCATCCCAGGCTTATAGCATTAATATCAGCAATAGCCAAACCATGGAAGGAGCCCAAATGCCCATCAACTGATGAATGGATAAAGAAGATAGTGGAATACTAGTCAACCATCAAAAAATGAAATTTTGCCATTTGCGATGACATGGTTGGAGCCAGAGTTTATTATGCTAAGTGAAATAAGTCCATCAGAGAAAGACAAATATCATATGATTTCACTCATATGTGGAATTTAGGGGGAAAAAATGGATGAACTTTCAGGAGGGGGAAGGAAAAGAGACGGGAAAACAAATCATGAGAGACTCTTTGATTAGAAGACAAACTGAGGGTTGATGGAGGGGGGTGGGTAGGGGATGGGATAGGTGGGTGATGGATATTAAGGAGGCCACGTGTTATGATGAGCACTGGGTGTTGCATGTAAATGATGAACCACTGAACTCAACTCCTGAAACCAGTATTGAACTGTATGTCAACTAACTAAAATTTAAAAAAAAAAAGCAAAGGGCATGAATAGACATATTTGCAAAGAAGACATGCAAATAACTATTAGGTAGTTGACAAGGTGCTCCACATCTCTAATCATAAGGGAAGTGTAAATCAAAACCACAAGGAGATAACACTTCACACCTGAAAAGGTGGCTATTGCCAAAAAGACAATAACAAGTGGTGGTGAAGATATGGCGAAAGGGAAACGCTTGTGCATTGTTGCTGGGAATGCAAATTAGATGGCCACTGTGGAAAACAGTATGGAGGTTCCTCCAAAAATTAAAAATAAACTGTCATATATGCCAACAATCCATCTTCTAGATACATATCCAAAGAAAATGAAATCACTATCTTGAAGAGTTTTCTGCATCCCCATGTTCATTGCAGCGTCATTTATAATAGCCAAGACGTACACAACCTGAATGTCTGCTGATGGATGAGTGGATAATGATGAGGTGTTTTATATGAATATTATTCAGCCATTTGTAACAGAAGAACCTGCAGGGCATTATTCTGCTAAGTGAAATAAGTCAGAGAAGGACACATACTCTATGGTCTCACTTATAGGTGAAATTCAAAAAACCAACCTCCTAGAAACAGTAGATTGGTAGTTGCCGGGGCTGGGGGCAGAGGGCAAATGAGTGAACGTGGCCAAAGAATACAAGCTTCCGCTTATAAGATGAATAAGTTCTGGGGATCTAAAGCGCAACCTGGTGACTATAGTTAATAATACTATGTACTTGAAAGTTGCTTAAAGAGCAGATCTTAAAAGTTTTCACCACTAAAGGAAAATGGTAACTATGTGAAGTGATGGATGTTAACTAACCTTATTGTGGTAATTATTTTGTAGTATATAAGTATATCAGGTTATCCTGTTGTAAATTAAATTTATATGCTGTTTTATGGCAGTTATATCGCTATAAAGCTAGAAAAAAATAAAGGATATCTTGTTGGCAGCAAGAAAAATAAAAATGAAACAATTATTATCTGTCACTCAGTCTCTTTCGCTATCTCTGGAATTTAATTTTAAATTTTTATTTTTTTTTCCCACCATAGATACTGCTATTAATTTCAAAGATCTGTTGTCTGTGGTATATATATCTCACAGAACACATATAAATGTCAGAGTGGTTATCTGCAGAAAGGTTAGTAAACTTTTAAGATGTACTTTAAAAATGACAGTATTATTATACTGTGAATAATTCTGATGAATAATTTTATATTCATGATGAATATATTAATGAATAAATTTATACTGAGTATTTTACACTGAGTGTACGTTTTAATTTCTGTTATTTTATAAGTGACACAATTTTATAAATAAGTAATTTTCTTTTTTGAGGTGAATTAACTTCATTGTAATTAAAAAATCAGCATAAAAATGTGTTCTTAGCTTTACATGGTCTCCTGGAAATATTTCCTTTCCACAGTAAAAAAAATTAGTACAAGAGAATAGTTTTTTTGTCAGGAAACTTCAACGATTATGACCATTTCTAATTCATATATCATATTTTAGAATTTCTGAATCTTGAACTTTGTGGAAAAGCAACAGTGACTTGCCTTCCATGCATGCCTTTAACTTGAGTCAAGAAATAGTTACCCCGTGTGCTTCTTCTTGATTTTGGCCTTCTCTCTCTTCCACTAGTAGTCACTGACCTACTATTTAATTTGCTTCCTTGCTCTTCTTTTTACTTTTACTCCCTAATTATGTTATTGTATTTTTCCATCCGTAAGTCTGGATATATATCTTTTTCTTTAACAGCTATGTATAGTTTTTATTCTGTGGCTATTGTATAAAGTATTACCTGGTTCCCTATTCATGGATGTTTAGGTTGTCTCCTGTTTTTCTGTGTAAAACTTCTGTTAAGAACTTTTTTACATATATTTTTACCTGGTTTTGATAGTACATCTGTGAGACATTATCCATGAAGTGGAATTGCTGTGTCAGAGTGTACTCATATTCCACATTTTGATGGATTCTGGCATAGTGTTCTTGAAGCAGGTCATAGAGATTGATCTTTCCTTTCAGTTTGAAAACAGCTTTCAATGAAGCCTCGTTTTTATCCATTACATGCATATAAAGTAGCCATAAAATAAGTCTTATTTTAAGGAAATTTTAAAATCATGAAAATTTCTTCCCTAAGAAAAAAATGGATATTCTGCATCAGTAGAGTAATGGTAGCTCACCGACAGCATTAGTGAGGAAAGGAACTTCACATCATTGTGACTCATTGTGACATGTTGCTTTTTGTATCAGCATCAGCAGGAATTAGAGCCACTGATTCTGAAGTCCCTACCAACATTATTTATCTCCTATGACACTTGTCAGAGTTAGAGATAAATGAGATTTTCTAAATACTGGGAGCAAAAATTTTTTTCATCTACATAGAAGTTTACTGGCTTTGTGATAAAAATGTTTGAAAGGTCTTAACTGGGTATCTGACGGTGTTTAAGACTTTGTTATCCAAAAAATGTGGAATCAGTTGTACAGTAGAGATCATACATATTGGATGTCAATGTCTCTTCTTTAATTTCAGTTTCTTTTTACAGCTAAATAGTGGCATCCATCTTGTTAGAATTAGTGTTTGTACAATATAGAGTTAATGGAAAAAATATGTTTTTGCAAAAGCAACCATTAACTTTGCCTGGAAAAAAAAATGAGCCAAGGAAACATTCTTGGGATATCTAGATTCTATTAAAGTGTCAGTGTGTCGTTCTTTACTACTCCCTTAACACTAGGGCCAGAACAGGGCCTGGTACATAGTACGTATTCAGTATTTGCTTAACAAATGTAGTAGGGTCATGGCAAATATTTAGTTGAGAGGATATAGCTTTATTACATTTTATATATACTTCATTCTAGTTATATTTTCTCTCTGACCAAATTAACAACATGAGTATGTTGACATGTGGAGGATCATTTTTTCCCTTTTTTATCTTTCAGCAAATATTTAAGTACTATGTACAATGAGTAATATGCAGATTAGTTAAAAACACAGTATGTACCCTACAGATAGTTTGTAATCCAGTTAAGAACATAATCTTGTGAAAGTTTATCTTCCCACAGTTTCTCATTAAATTACTTTGTCACTAAAATAACAGAAAAAGAACTTTTTGATGTGAAGTACTGTGTACTTTTTGATGAATTTTGTATTCTTAATCTTTGCAGATTTTACAGATTTTGCAGTCCCAGCCAGATGCAGCACATCAAATATCTCAACAAGTGGGTTGGCAAGACACTTTAGTTAGGCTTTTTTTACAAACAAATTTTGAAAATGGAAATACTCTTCATAAGCACAGTAGGGCTGTTTCAGTAAAAGACAGTGACAAAAATTTATCAGCTGAAGATACTAAGAAGAACTTTGATGAAAAGATTGATGAGGAAAAAATCAACTCTTTTGCCTCAGCCAATGTGTCTTCAGATCAGTGGAGTTTAGAGGATGGACACTCTCTAGACTCAAACATACCATTATTTCAAGAAGATAGTTCTGTGGGAGAATTATCTTTCAGATCAGAGAATCAAGAAGAATTCTGGAATAATAACCCTTCACATCTGAGTTTAGATCTCAGTGGAATAGACTCATGTGAACTGAGCGACAGTGGAAGTCACATGCCAGACAGCCTGCCTAGCACGCCCTCCCCAATAGAATCTGCCAAATCCTTTTCCGTGCAGTCTGACAAAGAGAGCGGTGTCTTAAATGATCCTGGGTTTGGTGATGACTTCTCTTTACTTGAAAGCCAAGAGGTAAAATTCCTTGTGTCCAAATGCTGTTTTTATTTTCACATGTCTATTACACACTTCTAATCCTTAGAAGTGTGTAATTGTTAGCAATTCCATATTCTATTCATGTTCTGAGTCTCATGATCTAAGATTTTGGAAGCCTGGAAGTCACTGAATTGTATCTTGAGAAAAGCAGGTGTTTTAGTCATCCTCGTATCTCTAGAGCCTACTTAGCAAAGTTACGGGTTCATCAAGACACTTTAAAAATATGTTAAATGATTACAGTCAGTATATGTGATGGTTCTTTCTATGTGCTTTTAACACCACCTCCTTCCAATAATTTGATATTAGTTCATCTTTTTTTCTAGAGATGTGAGGAGGAGCTTCTTCAATTACTGACAAATATTTTGAACTATGTAATGTGTAGGGGATTAGAAAAGTCTGATGATAGTACTTGGATTGAACGGGGACAAGTGTTTTCAGCACTAAGTAAACCAGGAATATCCAGTGAACTACTTCGACCATCAGATGAAATAAAATTAATGTAAGCATTCAGTTGGTGATTTCCTCTTTCCTTTGGAGTGGATGGGAGTCTAAAATGATACTTTTTATTGAACATTTATTCAGGATTCAGTGGGTTTAGTGAGAGAAAAGGAAAAACTTCGTGCTCAGCCCCTTTTCCTCTCTGTTGCCATTTTAATGGAATCTAGAAAGAAATTCAAAGGCATGAGGAGATTTAAATCTTTAGTTTGGGCTTCAGTAATATATAGTCCTTATTGTTTAACTTAGTTTTTGTAACATGTAAACATGTGGTGTATTGTGTTCTGCAGTCTTGTCCATGTTTGAGAGTTTCCATGCTGAGGGAACCAAGTAATGTTTTCATAAAAATTACTTCTGTAAAGCACTTAGAGTTCTCTGCAGGGCTAGACCTTCTGCAAGTCCTATAAGGCTTTTTTTTCTTACCTTCCCAGTTTCCAACTTTAAACTTTTAAGTACCTACTAGAGACTGGAATTTGAATTATTTCAATAGCTTTTTTTATAATTAAACAGATAACTTTTACTTTGCCTTTTATATCAAGTTTATTAAAGATAGATACTTTAGAGATTAAAAAGCTGCTTCATTGTTATTAAATATCTTCTGATCCTTTCCAGTGATAGTATATCTTTAAAGACATAATAATGAATAACTGGGTTTCTTTTCATGTTTTACTATTTTTCTAAACTTAAAATGATTTTAAGAGGATTTTGTTTTGCACTTAGTTTGCTACAGAACATGTTAGAATGGACAGTCACAGAAAACAGAGAATCAAAAATGAATCCAGTAACTGCTGAAAATGCCTTCCGACTCATCCTGATCATACAGGACTTTCTGCAGTCAGAGGGGCTTGTTAATTCAAACATGTGGACTGAGAAGGTGCAGTAATAACTCCTTGATATTATTTTTCTGGTAGTCAAGGACTTTATTCAACAAAAAAATTTTGTGCCCTCTTTTTTTTTTTTTTTTTTTAAGATTTTATTTATTTATTTGACAGAGATCACAGGTAGGCAGAGAGGCAGGCAGAGAGAGAAAGGGGTGGGTGAAGCAGGCTCCCTGCTGAGCAGAGAGCCCGATGCTGGGCTTGATCCCAGGACCCTGAGATCATGACCTGAGCTGAAGGCAGAGGCTTAACCCACTGAGCCACCCAGGTGCCCCTGTACCCTCTCTGTTTAGAGCATTAATATTTAATCAGATACAGTGAACATGGATAAAAAGTGATAGTTAACTTTGTTAGCTATTACTAGAATAGCTCTTTTGGTTTTTATCAATTGAACATTAATTAAGCTAGTTTTGAAATATTTATGATGTGTATTACTTTGGGGAAAACTCATCAGTAGAATTTAAGACAGTGTTTTTGTTTCTCAATTTTTCCCTTGTGATAGCTTTTAGATGATCTGATGCTGCTCTTCGATGGTCTGTCAGTTTGGTATTCTGAAGGTCAAGTGTGGGCAAAACTTTCTCGAATCCAAATCCAGTTGCTTCTAGGATTCATTGGAAGGGGAAATTTGCAGGTTTGTCAGTTCTTTTGTGTTATTTTCTATACTTTGCATGCAGCATAGGAGTTGTGTACTAACTAAATGATAATAAATTTTCAGTATTTTTATTTTTTTAATAGTTCCAAAAATATCCATGATTTCCCTCGAGTTTCAGTTTTGTTAATCAGAAAGAAGCTTCAGAGGCAGCTCATTGTTTCTTCCTGATGTATATGACTCAGTGTAATTTTAAGTTTTCCTTTTAAAGGATTTATACTTAGCCCTTTTTATTTTCTTTTGATAATTGGAATTTTAAGTACTTGGTAGGGGTAGGTATGGTTTCTAATATATATAAACTTGCCATAATGATGAGAATAGAGATTAAAATTCTATAAGGTTGCTATATTTTTTAAAGGCCATAGTTTTCAATAGATTTTTTTTTCTAATTATAAAAGTAACATGTACTCATTATGGAAAATACACAAAAACAAAAAGAGAAGAAAATAAATCCATCATCCCATAGCCCGAGAAGAAATAACTATCAGTATTTTTCTATGTGTATATTTTTTTCAGATGATTGAAATTTTCACATATTTTGATAATATGATAATGTGAATAGTACTATGTTACTAGCTATTTAAAAATAGGGTTTTTTTTTTCTTAATCACAAAAGTGACATATTCATTGTAGAAACATGGAAAATGCAGAAAAACTAGATAAATAAGAAGGTGGGCTTTCTGATACATGGATGGTGGAAGCTTGAATTGTGCAGCCATTCAAATGCAACTGGAAGGGGCGCCTGGGTGGCTCAGTGGGTTGGGCCGCTGCCTTCGGCTCGGGTCATGATCTCGGGGTCCTGGGATCGAGTCCCGCATCAGGCTCTCTGCTCGGCGGGGAGCCTGCTTCCCTCTCTCTCTCTCTCTGCCTGCCTCTCCGTCTACTTGTGATCTCTCTCTATCAAATAAATAAAAAAATAAAAAATCTAAAAAAAAAAACAAAAAAAAAAACAAATGCAACTGGAAAATACATGAATTAGGTACTTTAAAAAAATGATCACACTCTTATACTCAGATAATAATCCAAAATTCCAGACAACATTTGTACACATAGATGTTCATGGTAGTATTCTATTTTTCTCTACCTAGAAGTAAGATGAGGATAGCTTTTGGGGCTTTTTCAGTAATACTAGCTTGATGGCTGTTAAAGCAGTAGCAACCAGTATGCCAGATAGTTATTTTAGATGTGAGGACTTTTTTTTTTTTTTTCTTCCCCACTTCTAGTCACTCTCAGTGTTTATCTTTGACGAAATTTTCATAAATAAAATATCTGTTTAATTTGTCCACCATTAAATATCCAGTGTCTGTCCCATAGTAGGGCTCTATAAATACTTGTTAAATAAAGATTCAAATGGGCATATGCACCCCCATGTTTATAACAGCAGTGTTTTTAATAGTCAAATGTGGAAAGAGCTCAGATGTGCATCAACAGATGAATGGATAAAGATGATGGGACGCCTGGGTGGCTCAGTTGGTTGAGCGGCTGCCTTCGGCTCAGGTCATGATCCCAGTGTCCTGGGATCGAGTCCCGCATCGGGCTCCGTGCTTATCAGGGAGCCTGCTTCTCCCTCTGCCTCTGCCTGCCATTCTGTCTGCCTGTGCTTGCTCTCTCTCCCTCTCTCTCTCTGACAAATAAATAAATAAAATCTTTAAAAAAAAAAAAAAAGATGATGTGGTATATATGTATGTATAATACCCCCCCCACACACACGCACAGACACAATGGAATATTACTCAGCCATCAAAAAGAATAAAGTCTTGCCATTTGCTATGAGGTAGATGGAACTAGATGATATTATGCTAAGTGAAATATGTCAATCAGAGAAAGACAAATACCATATGTCATATCATATTTAATTTAAGAAACAAAACAGAAACACGGGAAGGGAAGGAAAAATAAAATAAGATGATAATAGAGAGGGAGGCGAACCGTAAGAGATTTAACTATAAGAAACAAACTGAGGGTTGCTGGAGGGGAGGTGGCGGGGGGATAGAGTAATTGGGTGATGGGCATTAAGGAGGGCACTTGAAGTGATGAACACTGGGTGTTGTATGCAACTGATGAATCACTAAATTCTAACTCTGAAACTAATAATACACTATATGGTAATTAAATTGAACTTAAATTTTTAAAAACCTGGAGGCAAAACATAAATAGAGTACATAACCTATACGTAGATACCTTATTTACCAGTAGTTAGTAACCTAAAACATTTTTTACTAGCTAGTTGTTTAATTTTTTTCTCTTGGGAGTAAAAACATAAAAGGCTGGGAAAGCAACTTCTTCCCTTAAAGGATTATAATAGAGCTTCTTTGCCAATCTGGCTACAAACTTGTTTTGTTTCACTCATACTTATTAGTTAATTGCCTGTATATAACTATTATATTGACATAAATGTCAGCATTTCTAGCTTCTAAAGCAGGATTAGGTGGTTGTTGATTTATTTAGTGCAGCGTGTGGTCTCCATTTTGTCCCTAGTTAACTCAACCAGTGATGAGAATATGAAATCACCTGGAGGAGCTTTTTTAAAAATACCTTTGTGGGTCATCATCCTTAGTAATTATATCAGAATGGAGGAACTAGAGCATTGGTATTTTTTGTAATTTCTCAGGTGACCCTAATCCAGTACTCTTTATAGTGGAGGTGGGAGGGGTCATATGTATCACACTACTTATGTAGTGTGTGTGTGTATATCCAAAATTAAGACAGTGGTCAAATAAATTATCTTGTATTCATTACAAGTATCTTTATAATTTTAAATAAATACATAAGTATATGGTTTATTTGATAATAAGTTAAAAACAAAGCACTAGATATTTAACTTTAATTAAAATAAACAGTATTTTAAAAAACACATAGCAAAAAAGCCCGGAATTGCTAGTATTGGAATTGCCTGTATGATGAAATTTTATATCCTTTTTTCTTATATTTGTTGTTCTCTATTAGAATTAAGTTGTTTTAGTCACATTCAAAGACTAAAATGAAGGATTTGCAGAAGTCTGAGGAGAGTATAAAAGTTTCACCAGTAGAAGCTTAAGTTAAAAGTAGAAAAGTTAAAGTCTTGAGCCATCTTAGATATTGTTTCCTCCGGTGCTATTTGCCTTTTTAAGGCTTGTGTGGAAAGACTGCTTAAGGTCTCTTAGTGCCTTGGCCTGCAAAGACCTGTGCATACAGCTCAGACTGCATTTGAAACAAGTGCAATCATAAAGTGATGTCAGATTCTGATAACTTTCCTCTTTTCTCTTGCTTTTCTTCATTTTGAAAGTAATAAGATCCAGCATTGTAATATATAGTGTTAAGTGAGAAGGAGATAGTTTATATCATTTGTCTTACCATGGTTATATGGCTTAGATCTAGTCTGGACAGAAGGAGACCCCATTTATGACCTAATTTACCTTCCTGTGTCAGGGTTAAGGACAATGTTTAATGGGAATATGGAGCATTCCTTTGCCTGGGCTTATTAGTACATGTATTTTCCTTGGGAAGTTTAAGGGTAGTGACATTTCTGTCAAGGACTCAGTCTCTCTTGTACCTATGCTTTATGTATCATAATGCTTTGATTCCAAATAACAGAAGCATCAACCCAAACTGACTGAGTTTAGGAGATTTATTGGCTCATATAATAGCAAATTCTGTAGTTCAGTTTAAGGCATGATTTAATCAAGGAATCTGTTCCATTTATTTGCTGTTTTCACAGCACTCCTTTCGCTCATGAGTCAGCTTGTCTTAAGCTGGCTGCCCTTGTCACAAAATATCTGCCAATAGCATTTGGTGCTACATGCTTCCTCATTTGTATCAGATAAAAAGAGTGTTTCTGGAGCACCTGCGTGGTCCAGTTGGTTAGGTGTCTGCCTTTGGCTCAGGTCATGATCTCAGAGTTCTGGGATAGAGCCCCTGCTCAGCGGGGAGTCTGCTTCTCCCTCTCCCTTTGCCCCGTCCTGCCCCCCTCCCCACTCATGCTCTCTCTCTCAAATAAATAAATAGAATCTTCAAAAGAGAGGGAGAGAGTCCTTCTTTCTACTGTCACTGTTGGTAGACAGTTCTTCATGGATCTCTTGTGTTTCTCTGTATCTTATAAATAGAGGCACTAGATGTCTTCATTATGAACTATCTTTTTGAGGATGCAGATATCGTCAACAGCTTTGGAAGACCGAGATTCTGTCTTCCTCCAGAGCAAAAGGCAGGTTTGTTTACTGCCCAGTGTAATATAGTGTCTCCCTCCAAGGCAAAGTTCAGGCTAATTTACTGCCTGGTATAGAAGATTTAGGTTCCTTATGTTTGGGGTTCCTCCCCTATACTGCAGCCACTGGTGTACATCCATCGTCTAGTCCTGTTCATCTCTCCCCATGGGAATATCAGTTCAGGGAACCAGGTTAAACACTGATATTCTGGCTGTTGGGATTGCTGTAGGTCTTTGTCTCTGAACCAGGAGTCTCATGTCTTCTTCCAGCATCTAAGAAACTGTGGCAGGCTAATTTGTTAGCTTGGAGGTTAGGCAAAATCTGAAACCCTTCACAGTGCTTGACAGTTATTATGTAAAAGTTCTGAACTTGAACTGATAAGGCCATCCCCAAATGAATCTCTGTGACTCAAACAGCGACATGAGTTGACTGAAAGATTAGTTACCTGAGCCACTCACTGTGCAAGGTGTTTGGATATTCTGTTTGGTTTATATCATTTAAGACCTGTTGTTGGAACTAGAGATGGAATCATTCCCCTATCCTTGCAGACTATAAGAAGGAGTAGAATGGATTTTGGGGTGATTAATTATCCACTCCACCTTTTCTGTATGTTCTGCTTTTGTAATTATGATTTTGAAAAAAACAAAAAAAACAAAAAAACTTCAGGAAGAGCCAGAGAACATTTGCTAAATGTCTGCTTTATTCTGTTCTTTCTCACCTATGTGGTTTCCTCAGGTTTGTGCAATGGCGTCAGCTAAGCTAAACACCCTTCTTCAAACCAAAGTGATTGAAAATCAGGATGAAGCGTGTTACATTTTAGGGAAGCTGGAACATGTTCTAAGTCAGTCAATTAAGGAGCAGACTGAAATCTATTCATTTCTGATTCCCCTGGTCCGTACCCTGGTTTCCAAAATCTATGAACTTCTCTTCATGAACTTGCACCTGCCTTCTTTACCTTTTACCAATGGTAGCTCTTCATTTTTTGAAGATTTTCAAGAATATTGCAGTTCAAATGAATGGCAAGTTTACATCGAAAAATATGTAAGTTTTAATCTATTTTGAGTGATATTTTTCTAAGTTGTCATTTTTATAGAAGTCTCTGTTAAATTTTCTGTGTATATATATGTATATTTACAAGATCGTGCCTTACATGAAGCAGTATGAAACCCATACATTTTATGAGGGTCATGAGGACATGGCACTTTATTGGAAGAATTGTTATGAAGCCTTAATGGTGAATATGCATAAACGAGACCGGGAAGGAGGAGAAAGCAAGCTTAAGTTTCAGGTAAAAATTATTAAATGTTTTTCGTATCTAGTTTTTTATGTTGATTTCAAGCATTTAATATTCAGATAAGAGTAAACACGTCTGAACTCTGAAAACAAATGGTATTTCCTGTTGTTTGAAAATTACTTCAGAATTGAGGGTGGTGGGTGGCTCATTTGGTTAAGCATCTGCCCTCGGCTCTAGTCATGATGGATCAATTCCCACATCTGGCTCCCTGTTCAGCGGGGTGTCTGCTTCTCCCTCTGCCTCTCCTCTCTGCTTGTGATCTCTCTTTCTCTGGTAAATAAATAAAATCTTAAAAATATTTCAGAAGTGAAAGAAAAAGATTAGTCAGTAACAACTAAAAAGTTAATGTCAAAATGTTCTATGCATAGTTCATATGTAAAAAGTCTGTTAAGCTGATAGTACATATCTCTAAGGAGGCTGGGCATATATCAGTGCTTACAGAATATTTATAGCACTAAATACTTACTTTAGAAAAGAAGGAAGACCTCAAATTAATAATTTAAGTTTCTATCTTAAACTAGAGAAAGAAAACTAATCTAAACTAGTTTCAAATAAGAAACTAACAAAAATAAGAGCAGAAATCAATTAAATTGAAAGCAGGAAAACAGTAGAGAAAATTAAAACTAAAATCTAGTTCTTTAAAATGTCAATAAAATTGGGGTGCCTGGGTGGCACAGTTGGTTAAGCATCTGATTCTTGGTTTCAGCTCTGTTCGTGATCTCAGGGGTTGTAAAGTTGAGCCCTGAGTTAGGCTCTGCTTTCAGTGTGTAGTCTTGGGACTCTTTCCCTTTCCCTCTGCATCTCCCCTGCACTCACTCACACTCTCTGTCTCTTGAATAAATACTAAAATAAATAAACAAATCTTTTGGAAAATGTCAATAAAATTAATAAACTTCTAGCCAGATTGACAAGGCAAAAAAAGAAAGTGGAAAATTATCATTACCAGGAATGATGGGGGCATATCACCACTGACCCCACATATACCAACATGATAATAAGAGACTGCCACCAAACAATCTATTCACATAAATAAGATGACTTAAGTGGATCAATTTCTTGACACATGTAAATTTCTAAAACTAATCCAATAATAAATTGATAGCCTGGATAATCTTATCTATTAAAGAAATTGAATTTATACTTTAAAAACCTTCTGAGGTGCCTGGGCATCTACCTTCAGCTCAGGTCATGATCCCAGGGTCCTGGGATCGAGTCCCAAATGGGCTTTCTGCTCAGCAGGGAGTTTGCCTCTCCCTCTGCTTGTGCTTTCTCTTTCTCTCTTTCTCTCTCCCTCCCTCTCCCCCTCTCTCTCTTTCTCTCTCTCCAATAAATAAATAAGTAAATAAGTAAATAAATACCTTCCAAAAGGGAAAACTACAGGCCTAAATGGTTTCACTGGTGAGTTCTATTGAACATTTAATGGAAAAATAACACCAATTCCTCGTAATCTCTTTAGAAAACAGAAAAGTAGAATCACTTATCAAATCATTATCTGAAGGCAATAGTATCCTCTTATTGAAACCATACAAAAATAATCCAAAAATACACCTGAAACTCCTGTAACACTGTATATTTATTATATTGGTTAAAAATCATAAAAGTAGGGGCGCCTAGGTGGCTCAGTGGGTTAAAGCCTCTGCTTTCGGCTCAGGTCATGATCTCAGGGTCCTGGGATCGAGCCCCACATCGGGCTCTCTGCTCAGCAGGGAGCCTGCTTCCTCCTCCCTCTCTCTGCCTGCCTCTCCGACTACTTATGATCTCTGTCTGTCAAATAAATAAATAAAATCTTTTAAAAAAAATCACAAAAGTAGTACAAGAAAACTACAATCAGACTACAGATCTGGCAATATATAAAAAACTACAGTATTTCTTAGGAACATAAATGCAAACTGGATCCAGCAATATATAAAAAAATAATACATTATACCAGGTGATTTATCCTGGGAATGCAAGATTGCTTCAGCATTTGATAATTAATCAATATAATGATAGTGGACCAAATTCATATTTGTTAAAATGAACCTAATGATCATATCCATAGATGTAGAGAAAGCATTTGACAAAATTTAATGTCCATTTTATGTTCAAAGCTGTCAGCAAACTAGAAATAGAAAAGAATCACTACAAAAATCCTACAGCCAGCTTCATATTTAAAGATGGAAAACTGGGGGCACCTGGGTGGTACAGTCAGTTAAGCATCTGACTCTTGGTTTTCACTCAGGTCATGATCTCAGGGTCGTAGGATCAAGCCCCATGTCAGACTCAGCACAGAGTCTGCTTGATTCTCTCTCCTTCTGATCCTCCTGCCCCCTGCCGCTCTTGCTTCCTCTCTCCTCTCTCTCTCAATTAAATAAATCTGTAGGGGGGAAAAAGATGGAAAACAGTGCTTTTCTTGTAAGAAGAGAACTAGGTGAGAACATCCACTCTCACCAGTCCTCTAGTCACTGTTATACTGTAAGTCCTAGCAAATGCATTAAGAATAGAAACAGAGGGGCGCCTGGGTGGCTCAGTCTATTGAGCATCTGACTCTTGGTTTCCTCTGAGGTCATGAGCTCAGGGGTCATGGGATTGAGCCCCATGTCTGGCTCAGCACAGAGTCCGCTTGAGATTTTCCTGTCCCTCTCCCCCTGCCCCTCCCCCTGGTTGCACCAGCTCTCTCTCTCTCAAATAAATAGAAATTTTTTTAAAAAGAATAGAAAAAGAAATAAAAGTCATTTACCTTGAGAAGGAAGAAATAAAACTATTTGCAGATATTACGATCATATGGATAATTTGAATGAATTTACCAAAAATCTCTTGTGATTAATGAGTTTAACAACATTTCAGGACATAAGATCAATACACAAAATTTAATCATATTTCTGTATACTAACAACGATCTACTGGAAACTGAAATTTTGAAAAAGCACGGTCTACAATAGCTCTAAAAAGAATAAAATACTCATATCAATCTAACAAAATCTGTACAGGATCTAAAAACAAACATGATGAAACAAAGATGACCAAATAAAAATACATTTATTCCATAAAATGATATAAAAAGAAACCTTTGTAATCCACCACTATTAACATTTTGGTATATATCCTTCCTGATTTTTATGTATATATGTGGTTAAACCAAAATGACAGTTTTGTTTGTTTGTTTGTTTGCTACTCCTTTTCTTGAAATGTACTGTGGGGGCGCCTGGGTGACTACCTTCAGCCCAAGTCATGATCCCAGGGGTCCTGGGATTGATTCCTGCTTCCCACTCCTTGCTCGGTGGGAAGACTGCTTCTCCCCCTGCTTGTGCTCGCTCATGCTCTTTTGCACGCTCTAGCTCTCTCTCTCTCTGACAAATAAGATCTTTTTTTTTTTTTTTTAACTGTTGCACTGTCCTCATAGTTCTGTCGATTTCTATTCCAGTCAATACTTTCTCCGCAACTTTACTCTTAGCTTTTCTAGGGAAACCTAACCTTAAAATATTCTTCTTGCTTCAACTTCACCCACCATGAAATTCATGTTTAATTATTATGAAGCTATCATGACTGCAGTTTTCTTAGCAAGGATCTGTGGTAAATATTTGATAATACCAAATCATTGATTTCCTAAAGGTCTAGTAATAATTACAGTAACAATTATAGTAATAACAGCTACATTTCACTGAGAGCTCACTACTTTTCTGGCACTATATTAAGCACTTTAAATCTTAATCTTTCTTGATGACAATTATTGTCCACTTCATCTTAGAGTTGAGGATACTGGGCCTCAGAGAATTAAGTAGCTAAGATTTGTACCCAGGCCTAACTCCAGAGTTACATTTTTTTTTTTTAAGGTTTTATTTATTTGAGAGAAAGAGAGCATATACACACAAGCTGAGGGCAGGGACAGAGGGAAAGGGAGACTCAGACTCTTCACTGAGCCCGATGCAAGGCTGATCTCAGGACCCCAAAATCAAGATCATGACCTGAGCCAAAGCAGGCACTTAACCAGTTGAGCCCACAAAGTTATATTCTTAACCACGCTCTGCTGTACTACCTCTCTAAAGATATGTTATAGGCAAACAGTGAATCATGGAACACTACATCAAAAACTAATGATCTACTGTATGATGACTAACATAACATAATTTTAAAAATAATAAAAAATAAATAAAAGATGTCTTTTAAATCCATGTCTTTAACTGTTTTCAGTGTAATTCAGTATTGATTTTTGAAACAAATTAATACTGTTAATTTAATTCCTGATAGATGAATATCAATGTGAGTCAGATAAGTCAGTCTTACCGCTTGTCTTTTTGAAAATGTAAAACTTGGGGCACCCGGGTGGCTCAGTCGGTTGGGTGTCTGCCTTCAGCTTGGGTCATGGTCCCGGGGTCCTGGGATCAAGCCCCATATCGGGCTCCCTGCTGAGCTCCCTGCTTCTCCCTCTCCTCCCCACTTGTGCTTTCCATCACTATCACTGTCACTATCTCTCTCTCTCAAATAAAATTTTTTAGAAAACTATAAAACTTGAATTTCAGGGCTTAACGTTATATCCTGATAGAACCTATTATTAGGGTCTATATTATCCTGAAAACTGGACTAAGTGCGTGAATTCATTTGCTAATAACTAGGATGTTTTTCAGAGAGCAGCAGTCCAAATGTTGAAATTTTTCATTGTGAGAGATTTGCCCCTGTAGATTTCTTTTGTCTTTGGCATTTCTTTTCCGGTCCCCAGTATTAGTATGGATGCGGTTACTCTTCCTTCTGCTGTATTTTAAGCATGAGTCTCATTCCATTGCCTTAAAAACCAAAGGGTCCCAAAGGAAGATCATTTTATTTGACTGTATGACGTTAATAATTCTGAGTTTCTGTAAAAAATCCTGTATTGAGGTATGTTACACTTTTGAAGTTCTTCACATGTTTAATTTTTTAAGTTTTACAAAATACAGATAAACTATAGTTAGAATCATATGCTTCATTAAAGAAAGTTATTCTAATGGAACAAGAAAGTACTGTTGGGTTACCAGCTTCTTTCCTTTACTGCATGGTTTTTTGGGGTCAGGTTTTTAAAATTCTTTAAATAAATGATTCAATGCTATTATTTGTTGCTGTTTCAGGAATTTTTTGTGGAACCATTTAATAGAAAAGCACGGCAAGAGAACTTGAGGTATAATAATACTCTTAAACAACTTAGCAGCCAACAGTTAATCACTCTGAGACGCTGGAAGGCAGTACAGCTCTACCTCACATCTGAAAGAGGACCTTGGGCTAAAAGGTAGGAGGATATTATTTATCAAATAACCCTTTTTTCTTTAGAACTCCTGCCTAGAACTTTTTGAGCCAGTGACCTCTCCAATCCGATTTTTAAAACATTCAACTTATAAAAAATTGCATTTAATTAATTTGGTTTTCTTTTTGTGAATTACAGGTCTGGAATGTTTAGAGCTTTGTATATATGTTTTTCACATGGAGTTACTTCCCTTCCTTTTACCCTGTCATGTAGAACTTAAGTCTTAAATCTGTCTTCCTGATACTGCCTCTTTGAGCTAGTTAGTGATGTTATGTGTTTCACTGTTTTACAATTTACTTGATCCTAAGTCACATACATTTTGCTGAATTACATATATATATAAAATAATGTAAAATGTAATATATATATATAATACACCCCTTTTATTGTGGTAAAGTACACATAATACAAACTTTACCATTTTAGCCATTTAAAAATATCCAATTTAGTGACATTAAGTACATTCATAGTGTACAGTCATTACCACTGTCTAGCTTCAGAACATTTTCATTACTGCAAAAAGAAACCCTGGACCTGTTAGGCAGTCATTCTCTATTCCTTTACCCAGCTCCTGGCAACCACCAATCCATTTTCTTTCTCTCTGAATTTGTGTATTCTTGATACTTTATATAAATAGAGTCATATAATATGTGGCCTTAATCCTTTCACTTAGCATTATGTTTTCATTGTATTGTAGCATGTATCAGTACTTCTTTTTTAATGGCCATATAATATTCCACTGTGTGGATATTCCACATTTTGTCTCTTCATTCACCAGATGATAGACATTTGGGTTTTCCATATGGCTATTATAAATAGTACTGCTGTGAACATTTGTGAACAAGTGTTTGTGTCAGTATTTTTTTAATTTCTTATTTTTAAGATTTTATTTATTTGAGAGAGAAGAGATCATGAGTGGGGTCTGGGGCAGAGGGAGAAGCAGGCTCCACCCTGAGCAGGGAGCCTGATGCAGGGCCAGGACTCCAGGATCATGACCTGAGCTAAAGGCATATGCTTAACCAACTGAGCCACCCAGGCACCCCTCAACATCTGTTTTTTAATTCCTTTAAGAAAGTATACACGTACAAATAAAATTGCTAAGTCATGAGATAATCCAGTGTCTAACTTACCGAGAAATTGCCAATTGTCCATAGAAACTGCATTATTTAACATTCCCATCAGCATTGTTTGTGGGTTCTAGTTTCTCCACAGCCTTACCAGTGCTTGTAAATTTTTTCCAATTTTTTAAATTATGACTGTCCTTGTAGATATAAAGTGGTATCATATGATTTTTTATTTGTATTTCCTAATGACCAGTGACATTGAGTATCTTTTCATGCACTTGTTGGCTATTTGTGTATCTTTTTGAAGAAATGTCTATTCAAGTTCTTTGCCCATTTTTAAATGGGATTGTTTGACATTTATGGTTGAATTGTAAGAGTTCTTTTTCTCAATAATAGACCCTTACCAGATATGTGATTTGTAAATATGTAGGTTATCTTTTCACTTTCTTGATAATTGCCTCTGGTATACGAATTTTTTTAAATTTCAAAGTCCAATTTATCTCTTTTTTTCCTTTTGTTGTTTGTTTTTGATACAATATCTAAGAAATCATTCCCAAATCCAGGTAACAAGATTTGCTCCTGTCTTTTCTTCTAAGGGTTTTAGCTCTTATATTTAGATCAATTATATTCTCGTTATTTGTAGTAAAATTATTTTACTTTGAATACTGTATTAGAATAAATTCATTGTATAGCTAATTAAGAACTTCCATTGAGCAGTTAAAGAGTAAAAGATACCAGGCTATAAGTGTGAAGATTTATGTTCAATTCTTATTTCTGATACCTGCAAACAACTTGGCATCTCAGGCAAATAATTTAGCCTGTCTTAGGTTCTTCATGTAAATAAACCGCAGCTGTGCATATCCACACTGGTTTTCTTTCAGGGTTCTTTGGGTCAAACGAGATAATGAATGTGTTTTTATAAAATGGTGCTAAACAAATGCAAAATTCCTGATACTTTCTTACTCTATTTCAATCAACCAATCTTTATAACTTCAAGCTAAGTAATTTTACTTGTTTACTTATGAATATTCATAGGAAGCAAAGTCCAATTCACTGGAAACTAGCTAATGTAGAAAATTACTCCCGCATGAGACTTAAATTGGTGCCAAATTATAACTTCAAAACTCATGAAGACGCTAGTGCATTGAGAGATAATCTAGGTGAGTCCTGATGCTGTTTATTTGTTATCTTAGTGAGGGTATTGGTGGGTTGGTATTGTTTTTGTTAATTGTTTCAGAATTGCTTACTCAGGAATGAAGGGGGCCATTTTGTTTTCAAAATGTTAAGATACTATTTACAAAGCTTTGGTGTACAGAAATTAGTTGATACTTAAAGGGTTGTAAAGGTTAAATTCTGTTACCTTTGGCCTAAATCTAAGATGAATTACTGTATGAATTGTAATTTTTCAAAGAAAAACATATATATAATCCTAAAATGATACTGTAGTTTATGTGCAATGTACTATCTCTTGTATCCATTGTGATATATTGAAACAGTGTTTCTTTTCCCTTAGTCTGCTTACCTTGATCAAGGCTAATGTTAGATATATTTAGAATTCTTAGCAATGCTTTCTATCTTTGTTTTATAACCTGTTCTTTTTAAACCTTTAGTATCTTAGATGGGCCAATGCCTTTTTCTAGAGAAAAGTACAAAAACACATAGCTTAGCAGTATTTCGAAACAGATTTCAAAGAGTCTCTACAACTCTTTAGGGAAACCCTGCCTTTCTAACCATCTGAGTTCATATCTCCCTTTTTGAAGACAGATCTGTGAAATACCCAAAATATTGACTGTCGAGTCATTGGCAGTCATATGTGTACTAACTTGCTTTATCATAGCTACCTTGTGTTCAGTGACTAAGTTTTAGATGAAATTCAAGTACTAGTTTTTAAGTCTTTTTAAAGTTGCCTTAATATATTGGCCAATACAGTTGATGCCATAAATTAATCCAGAGTGCTTTCTGTGATGCCTGGCGTTTACAGTCTTACATCCTAAAATAAATCAGATGCAGTAACTCATTTCCTTTAATGCAAAATAATGGCCCTACCCTACCCATGAAAGAAACTCTAAGAGTATCTTATATATGAAGTCACTTGCTTACAGCTTGTTCTCCCTGTACGTATCTTGAGACAGTTATACTTTCTCTACTCCTTGAAATTTTACTACACTTATCACTCAGCAAATATCTTTGGTGAATGACTTGAATCTAGTAATTCTTTTTTTTTTTTTTTTAAGATTTTATTTATTTATTTGACAGAGAGATCACAAGCAGGCAGAGAGGCAGGCAGAGAGAGAGGAGGAAGCAGGCTCCCTGCTGAGCAGAGAGCCCGATGCGGGGCTCGATCCCAGGACTCTGAGATCATGACCCGAGCCAAAGGCAGCGGCCCAACCCAGTGAGCCACCCAGGCGCCCCGAATCTAGTAATTCTTAAAGAATAGTGTCCCCTATTGTTTTCTTCTTTTTTTGTGAAGAAATTCCTCCCAGGAAATTTCTTGTTCCTCTTCCTCTCCTCACCCCTTTATACTGGTACACAGATACAATTTTATGACCCTTCTTCTTGGTTTTAGTATATGTGCTGCTGAAGCGAGCACTTCTTCTTGGTTTTAAATAAATCTAGGAAAACTTGTGTTCTTTCTTTTATTCATTTCTCAGTTTTTCTCCTTACCTAATTTTCAAATATACCCCAAGTATAATAGTGACAAAAATATAGTACAGAAGAAACAAAAATTCATAGTGTTATCAATCTCTAAAGCTCTTTAGAGTTTCCGAAGTATCCTTCAGAAATAATTGTAAAATGTTCTACCTGCTCCTTATTTTTGTCTGTAAGTATTTTTATCAGCTGCCAGAATTCATAGTATTTTAAAAATATTTTCTTATTTTGTTTTGTTTAACATACCCCAGTACTGCTTTGCAAGCATCCCATTGCAAATGTGCAGAATAGTTTTTACATTGTGGGCTAAACTACAAAATTAACTATTATCTGTAACATTTTTGATGAGAAATTCATTGTGAATTAAACAAGGGATTTGTAAAGTATCTTTTGGAGCACAACCACCTACAAATTATGGAATTTAAATAGTTAGTGGGGCGCCTGGGTGGGTAGCTTAGTGGCTTAAGCCTCTGCCTTTGGCTCAGCGCATGGTCTCAGGGTCCTGGGATCAAGCCCCACATCAGGCTCTCTGCTCAGCAGGGAGCCTGCTTCCCCCCTGCTCCCCACCTGCCTCTCTGCTGACTTGTGATCTCTCTCTCTCTCTCTCTCTGTCAAACAAATAAATATTTTTTGAAAAAAATATTTGGTTTTAGAGAAAAAAATTGTTTTGTTTGTTTTTTTGTTTGTTTTGGTTTGGTTTGGGTTTTAGAGAAATTTTTTTGCTCTTACTTCTTCATTAGAAATACTCTTTCCTGAGTATTTGCAACAACGTGTTTTTAGTCCTTACACCGTTTCCATTATCTCTGAACTTAGGTAGTAATCCTCCTGTATAAGTATATATTTTTTTCAAGCGCTGGTGCTTAAACTCCAACTTTTTTTCTTTCTTTGTTTGTTTTTTTACCAATTTTTAGTCTTCTTTTCTTGGTCACCTTTTAAATGATTGTGTTCCCTGATCCATACCATTTTGCCTTTTACTTACGCTTTCTGTGAAGTGGTGATTTCATGACCTTACCCATGTATATGAAATGATGCTTTCTCACCTGTATTTCTAATTCTTACCTGCCTTTTGAACTTTAAATATATTTTTTAAGATTTTATTTATTTATCAGAGAGAGAGAGACAGAGAGGGCATATATGCAGAGGGAAAGGGAGAAGCAGACTCCCTGCCAAGCAGGGAGCCTGATATGGGGCTCGATCCCAGGACACTGGGATCATGACCTGGGCCGAAGGCAGATGCTTAACAACTGAGCCACCCAGGTGCCCCTGCCTTTTGAACTTTAGACCAAGGTTTCCAGTTGCGTGTCTGCCTGTTGGGATACCTCTTCCACAGACACCTCCATATAAAAGAACTGAAACTGAATTCGTTATCTTGCTCATTTGTCTACCCCTCACCCTAGACTCTGCTTTTCTTGTATCTTGGTTGTAGTTTTATTTTCTCCATCTATTAGTTTCTCAGAATCATTAATATTAACCATGAATCTATCCTTATCCCTTTTAATCCCCTACACATAATAGGTATAATGTCCTGTTAATTCTCCCTTACACATCTTTTGAATGTTTTTTCTTATTCTCATTCCCTTTGCTGTTGCCATGGCTTAGCTTAGTGCTACCTTTTCCTAAAATTAACAGTAGTTTCCCAGCTGGCCTCTTAGCCTGACATGTTTTCCATCCTCATTTTATTCACCAATCTTCCTTTAAAAAAAAAAAAAAATTGAGAGGCAGAGAGCACAAGCTGAGGGGAGGAGTAGGCTCCCCAGTGAACAGGGAGCTTGCCCTGGGGCTCCAACCCAGGACCCTGGGATCATGACCAGAGCCAAAGGCAGAGGCTTTAACCCACTGAGCCACCCAGGTGCCCCTCATTCACCAATCTTATCAAATTTTGAACTTAAACCCTTAATGGAGTAATGTCATTCATCTACATAAAGTCTGTTTTCTATTTGTGTCGGATTATCTAGATTCCTTATTTTCAGTTTTCATTGCATATTCTCATGTGCTTTGTTTAATTAAGTGTTTAACAATAAATTTTGGCATACAAAATAAATTAGGCTACATGAAGAAACATGTTCAGTAAAAATAGTAAATTGTTCTAGGAAAAGTGTGAGCCAGTACCTCCCTAGGTATAAGCAAAGGTGTGATCAAAGCAGATTTACATTGACTCATTTTTTATGTCTGAGCAATGATACCATTTGAAAAACTAAGGGAGGATTTGTCATCTTTATAATGTTTTGTTACTTAGGGTTTTTTTGTTTTGTTTTGTTTTGTTTTCTTCTTTTTCATTAGGGAGGGGTGGAAGGACAGAGGAACAGAGAGAATCTTAGCAAGGCTTCACTAGTATGAATTATTTTTATTTCCCACAACTGAAATATCTTTATTCATAGTTACATACATAAAATTTTCCCAGTCCTACCTATAAATTATGCAGTTATTTTTATTACTATTCTTATGTTACTCAGGTAATTGAGAAGTGGATGTATAATAATGATAGCTGCCGTTTATCTTATACTCACTGTGATGTGATGTATCCCCATTTCACAGTTAAGAAAGCAGATTCAGAGGAGTCACCTGGTTAATAAGTGGTAGAACAGAATCTGAATTTAAGTTTACCACTTCACAGCCTTCATTCATCCCATTATACTAGCTCTGCCTTCTTATAAAATGTATAGTTTATAAAATGTATTGCATTTATTGCATATATTTGTATCCAGAATTACTTAATAAATTTCATGTGCACCAGAAAAAAAAAAAAAAAAAAAAAAACTTTAGCTCTTGGGTTATGTATTCTCTTCCAATTAAAGATAATTTGTCATCTTCTTTCTTAATGTTTCCTTAGTACAAATACAAAGTAAGAATAGTTCTATTAAGTTAATACAGTGAGGGCGCCTGGGTGGCTCAGTGGGTTAAGCCGCTGCCTTCGGCTCAGGTCATGATCTCAGCGTCCTGGAATCCCGCATCAGGTTCTCTGCTTGGCAGAGATCCTGCTTCCCTCTCTCTCTCTCTGCCTGCCTCTCCATCTACTTGTGATCTCTCTCTGTCAAATAAATAAATAAAATCTTAAAAAAAAAAAGTTAATACAGTGAGAATAATTCTTTCTGTGACTTATTGGCATACTTTAGAACTAAAGAGATTACTTGGCCCATGTTGAAATATAAATAATACCATCATTAAAATAGATAACCTATTTTTAAAACATTTATTCCTTTTATTATACATGTAATAGTTTTTAAGATCACAAATAACCTAGATTACTCTAAATCATGTATAAAAACTTTTCTGTAGTAAACTGAGGTTTTTCCCTAAGATTTATTTAAGAGAGGGGTACCTAGGTGGCTCAGTCATTGGGCAGCTGTCTTCGGCTAGGGTCGTGATCCCAAGGTCCTGGGATCAAGCCCTGCATTGGGCTCCCTGCTTGGCAGGAAGCCTGCTTCTCCCTCTCCCACTCCCCTTGCTTGTGTTCCCTCTCTCGCTGTGTCTCTGTCAAAAAAATAAATAAAATCTTAAAAAAAAAAAAAAGATTTATTTGAGAGAGAGCTCATGAGTGCAGGGGCGGGGGCAGAGGTTTGAGGAGCAGAGGGAGAGAGAGAGAATCCCAAGTATACTCACCTCTGGGCACAGAGCCCCACACACTGCTCAATCCCACAACCCCACCTGAGCCTAAACCAAGAGCCGACGCATAACCAACTGAGTCACCCAGGGACCCTGTACATTGCTTTTTTATCTTAGAAAATGTTAAGTCCTTCTTAGTTTTTTTCCAGTTTTATTAAGATATAATTGACATACAGTACTGTGTAAGGTGTAGAGCGTGATGACTTGAGATATGCACATATTGCAAAATGATCAGAGCAGTGTACAGTTAATATCCATCACATCATTACAAAATTTTTTTTCCTTATGATGAAACGTTTTAGGATCTCTTGTAGCAACTTTCAGCTGTGCCATATAGCATTGTTAACTGGTCCTCATGCCCATTATATGCCCAATACTTTATTATCTTACAACTGGAAGTTTATACCTTTTGACTCCTTCACCCAATTCCCCTGCCCTTCTCCTTTACTTAAAATACACATTATTATTATTATGTAATTAATAGTCAGGAATTATAGAAGGCCTGTAATAAGATTTTTTTTTACTGTGTTTAATGGATATTTTGTATTTATTTAAACAGGTATCCAACACTCACAGCCTTCCAGTGATTCATTGCTTTTGGAAGTAGTGAAACAAGTAAAAGTTAGCAATATGGAGGAGGATAAATTAGACCTTCCTGAAGACGACTTAACAGCGAGAGTAAATATGTATGTATAAGTATTTGAAAGAATTAAAAATTATTTTGTTCTGAAAAGGGGCCTATAAAATTGTGGAAGGTATTTGCTTATAATCTTAAGTACATTGACCCTGAATAATAAAAGTTTGAACTGCATGGGTCCACATATATACAATTTTTTTCAGTAAATACTGTATATTTGCAATTTAATTCAGTATAGTACTATAAATGTATTTTCTGAGTAATTTACTTAAAAACATTTTCTTTTCTCTAGCTTACTTTATTATAAGAATTCAATATGTATTATTGACTGTGTATATTACTGGTAAGGCTTCTGGTCAACAGTAGGCAATCAAAAGTTAAATTTTTAGGGAGTCAGATTTATTCATGGATTTTTGACTACACAGGGTTCAGTGCCACTAACCCCTGCATTATTCAAGGGTCAACTGTATTTCCAGCATCGATCTGTTACTGCTATGTCAGCTGTTAAGTGTCTATCAGTATTAACAGAAAATATATTAATTTCCTTAATTCTCCTTTGTGTTATTATTGTCATCAATATAGGCTTTCATATGTTTTTTTTTTTTAAAGATTTTATTTATTTATTTGACAGAGAGAGATCACAAGTGGACAGAGAAGCAGGCAGAGAGAGAGAGAGAGGGAAGCAGGCTCCCTGCTGAGCAGAGAGCCCGATGCGGGACTCGATCCCAAGACCCTGAGATCATGACCTGAGCCGAAGGCAGCGGCTTAACCCACTGAGCCACCCAGGCGCCCCTAGGCTTTCATATGGTTTAACCCCAATAATACAGTTTATTTTTTACTATATTTTTAAATTTAAATTCAATTAATTAACATATAGCATATTATTAGTTTTGAGGTAGAGTTCAGTGATCTATCAGTCTTATATAATATACAGTGCTCATTCCATCACATGCTCTCCTTAATGGCCCATCACCTAGTTGCACCATCCCCCCCTTCACCTCCCCTCCAGCAACCCTCCGTTTGTTTCCTATAATTAAGAGTCTTACAGTTTGTCTCCCTCTCTGATTGTCTTGTTTTACTTTTCCCTCCCTTCCCCCCATGATCCTCTGTTTAGTTTCTTAAATTCCACATATGAGTGAGATTATACGTTGTCTTTCTCTGATTTACTTACTTCACTCAGCATAATACCTTCTAGTTCTATCCACATCGTCACAAATAGCAAGATTTCATTTCTTGATGGCTGAGTAGTATTCCATTCTCTATCTATACACCACATCTTCTTTATCCACTCATCAGTTGTTGGACATTTGGGTTCTTATTAGTTTGGCTATTGAGGACATTGCTGCTATAAACATGGGGTGCAGGTGCCCCTTCAGGTCACTACATTTATATCATTGGGGTAAATACCTAGTGCAGTTGCTGGGTTGTAGGGTAGCTCCATTTTCAGCTTTTTGAGGAACCTCCATATAGTTTTCCAGAGTGACTGCACCAGCTTGCATTCCCATGAAGTGTCAGAGGGTTCCCTTTTCTCCACATCCCTGCCAACATCCGTTGTTTCCTGACTTGTTAATTTTAGCCATTCTGACTGGTGTGAGGTGGTATCTCATTGTGGTTTTGATTTGTATTTCCCTGATGGCAAGTGATGTGGAGCATTTTTTCATGGGTCTGTTGGCCTTTGGTATGTCTTCTTTGGAGAATTATCTGTTCGTGTCTTCTGCCCATTTCTTGATTTGATTAGTTCTTTGGGTGTTGAGTTTGGTAAGTTCTTTACAGATTTTTGATAGTAGCCCTTTATTTGATAAAGACGTTTATCTGATAAGACATTTGCAAATATCTTCTCCCATTCTGTTGGTTGTCTTTGGATTTTGTTTCCTTTGCTGGGCAAAAGTTTTTTATCTTGATGAAATCCCAATTTTCATTTTTGCCTTTATTCCCCTTCCCTTTGGAGACCTGTCTAGGTCACAGAGGTTGCTGCCTGTGTTTTCCTCTAGGATTCTCATGGATTCCTGTCTTACATTTAGGTCTTTCTTCCATTTTTAATTTATTTCTATTTATTGTGTAAGAAAGTGACCCAGTTTCATTCTTCTGCATGTGGCTGTCCAATTTTCCAACACCATTTGTTGAAGAGACTTTTTCCATTGGATATTCTTTCCTACTTTGTCAAAGATTAGTTGACCATAGAGTTGAGGGTCCATTTCTGGGTTCTCTCTTCTATTCCACTGATCTATGTGTCTGTTTTTGTGCCAGTACCATATTGTCTTGATGACTACAGCTCTATAATAGAGCTTGAAGTCGGAATTGTGAGGTCACCAGCTTTTTTTTCTTTTTCAACATTCCTTTGGCTATTTGGGGTCTTTTCTGATTCCATACAAATTTTAGAATCATTTGTTCCACCTCTGTGAAAAAAGTTGATGGTATTTTGATAGGCACCTTGAATATATAGGTGGCATAAACATTTTAATATTTTTTCCTCCAATCCATGAGCATGGAATTTTTTCCATTTCTTTGTGTCTTCCTCAATTTCTTGAGTACTTTATAGTTCTCTGAGTACAGATTCTTTTACTCTTTGGTGAGGTTTATTCCTAGGTATCTTATGATTTTGGATGCAATTGTAAATGGGACTGACTCCTTAATTTCTCTTTCTTCTGTTTCATTATTAGTCTATAGAAATGCAATTGATTTCTGTGCATTGATTTTATATCCTGCCAATTTGTTGAATTCCTGCATGAGATCTAACAATTTTGGGGTGGAGTCTTCTGGGTTTTCCACATAGAGTGGAAGAATGAGAGTTTGTCATCTGCGAAGGGTGAGAGTTCGACTTCTTTGCCAGTTTGGATGCCTTTTATTTCTTTTTGTTGTCTGATTGCTGAAGCTAGGACTTCTAATACTATGTTGAACAGTGGTGGTAGTGGACATCCCAGTCATGTTTCTGACCTTAGAGAAAAGCTGTCAGGTTTTCCCCATTAAGAATGACATTTGCTGTGGGCTTTTCTTACATGGATTTTATGATCTTGAGGTATGTTTACTCTATCCTGACACTGTGAAGAGTTTTAGTCAAGAAAGGATACTGTACTTTGTCAGATTTCTTTTTCTGCATCATTTGAGAGGATCATATGGTTCTTGTCCTTTCTTTTATTAATGTAGTGTATCACATTGATTTGTGGATGTTGAACCACCCTTGCAGCCCGGGAGTAAGTCCTGCTTGGTCATGGTGAATAATCCTTTTAATGTGCTTTTGGATCCTATTGGCTAGTATGTTGCTGAGAATTCTGTGTTCATCAGGGATATTGGTTTATAATTGTCCTTTTTGTCAGGGTCTTTGTCTGGCCTTGGGATCAAGGTAATATTGCTCTCGTAGAAAGAGTTTGGAAGTTTTCCTTCCATTTGTATGTTTCATGCCTTCAGAGGAATAGGTATTAATTTTTCTTTAAATGTTTTGTAGGACTCCCCTAGGCAGCCATCTGGCCCTGGGCTCTTTTTTGTTGGGAGATTTTTGATTACTCCTTCAATTTCCTTTCTGGTTATGGGTCTGTTTAGGTTTTCTGTTTCTTCCAGTTTCAGTTTTGGTAGTTTACGTCTCTAGGGATGCATCCATTTTTTCCAGATTGTCTAATTTGTTGGCATACAGTTGCTCATAGTAATTCTTTTAATTGTCTTCGTTGTTGTTTGTGATCTCTCATCTTTCATTCATGATTTTATTTATCTGGGTCGTCTCGTCTCTTTTTGATAAGTCTGGCCAGGGGGTTATCAGTCTTCTTAATTCTTTCAAAGAACCAGCTCCTAGTTTAGTTGATCTGGTATACGGTTCTTTTCATTGATTTCAGCTCTAATCTTTATTTTCTTCTCCTGATGGGTTTAGGCTTTATTTGCTCTTCTTTCTCCAGCTCCTACAAGTATAAGTTAGGTTGTGTATTTGAGACCTTTCTTGTTTCTTAAGAAAAGCTTGTATTGCTCTATACTTCCCTCTTAGGACTGCCTTTGCTGCATCCCAAAGATTTTGAACAGTTGTGTTTTCATTTTCATTTGTTTCCATGAATTTTTTAAATTCTTTAATTTTCTGGCTGATCCATTCATTGTTTAGTAGGATGCTCTTTAGCCTCCACGTATTTGAGTTCTTTCCAAATTTCCTCTTGTAATTGAGTTGAAGTTTCAAAGCATTGTGGTCTGAAAGTGTGCAGGGAATAATCTCAGTCTTTTGTTACCAGTTGAGACCTGATTTGTGACCCAGTGTGTGGTTTTTTCTGGAGAATGTTCTGTGTGCACTCGAGAAGATGTGTATTCTGTTCTTTAGGATGGAATACTCTGAATATATCTGTGAAGTCCATCTGGTCCAATGTGTCATATAAAGTCCTTCTTTCCTTGTTGATCTTCTGCTTAGACAAGGATTGCTTGTCCCTTGCGGTAAGTAAGTAAGTACTTGCTGTAAGTTAGTCCCTCACTATTATTGTATTTCTTTAATTTTGTTATTAATTGGCTTACATAATTGTCTGCTCCCATGTTAGGGGCGTAAGTATTTACAATTATTGGATCTTCTTGTTAAACAGACCCTTTAATTATGATACAGTGTCCTTCCTCACCACTTAGTACAGTCTTTGGGTTAAAATCTAATTTGTCTGGTACAAGGATTGCTTCCCCAGCTTTCTTTTGATGTCCATTAGCATGATAAATGGTTTTCCACCCCGCACTTTCAGTCTGGGGGTGTCTTTGGGTCTAAAATGAGTCTCTTGCAGATAGCATATCGATGGGTCTTGCTTTTTTATCCAATTTGATACCCTGTGTCTTTTGACAGGAAGCATTTAGCCTATTTACATTCAGAGTAACTATTGAAAGATAGGAATTTAGTGCCATTATATTACCTGTACAGTCAGTGTCTCTATATATTGTCTCTCTTTCTGGTCTGTGTTACTTTTGGGGTCTCTTTTCTCTTAAAGGATCCACTTTAATATTTGTTGCAGGGCTGGTTTAGTTTCTGTTCATCCTGGAAGTTTTTTATCTCCTTCTATTTTGAATGATAGCCTTGTCGGACAAAGTATTCTTGGATGTGTATTT